AAACGAGGATAGCTACGCGGAAATGGCGCCTTAACGATCTTCCCGAGGGGGAGTAAAACACCTATAATTCCGTTCCACTCCTTATCATCCTATCTTCTCTAAAAACCCGTTTCTTTCCTTCGTTTTTATTACCTCGGCCTAGATCTAACTATCCCTCGTACCACCTCGCTTTTATCTTGTATTTAAACCCCCTAGCCTGTCCTAAACGGACCGTCCGTCATAGTTTCCAACTGCATATAGACGTAAAACGAATCAATCAATTAATCAATCTGGGGTAGGGGTTGTTTCTGGTGGCGTACTTTCCTCCGTAAACTGGGGTTGGGTCGGGTTCGTTTCTTGTTCTATATCTATATCGTCGTCCGTTAGGATTGGGGAGGATAGGATAATTCTTGGGCGGGTTGAGGGGGGCGTGGAGGGTTCCTCCCGGATATTAGGGGGGCGGGTTTCTATCTCGAGATTGGCTGGGTGCCTCTTTGGTCTCGAAGTTATAGTTCCGGGTAGTTTCTAGGGGAAGGGTTTTTCTTGGCAAGGAACGCCGAAAAATTTTCCCGCTAGGTCGGAGGAAAGACTGGTATGTTTTCCGGTTGTAACGTAATAACTAAGGCCTGGGGCCTGGTGCAAGTTGGGGGGGTAGATAAGCTGGCTGTGCCGGTTCGTTTGGCGCCGGATTTAGGTCCCTGGGAGCGCTAGTTGCTACGTTCCCTTCTGATGGTTCGGCCCGGATGTAGATGGCGAGTATTAGGTGATAAATTATATATAGACTAGTAGTAAAACTCTTTAAATAGTCGTAGCCTACATATCGCTTAGGGCGATAGGTTAGGGTAAATAAATATAACTTAACTTAACTTAATTATAAAAGAAGATAACGTATAGTAGGATAATATATTAATTAATCTCTATCCTCTAAAGCTACTAGATTGACTTCCCTCGCTCCGCCTGTAGCTCTTTCCCTAATAATTAAGCTCTCTTTGCAAGAGAATCCTCTCTAAGTATAAAGTCATGCTATGCATAATAGGGTTCCCGAAAAGAATATTTCGTAGTATCTCTAGCTGGACTTCGAAGGGCTTAATATCGATTTTATCGCTCTCGTCTGGTGCGACATCACGAAGAATAATACACCGACCACTCCAAATATACTGACTTACGGGCAGCTCAAGGCTAGCGGGTGCTATAGCATAAACCTTCCATAGAGTCTGTATATAACTCGGCTGAGCCAGGATGACTGGATCACCCTCGTTGGCGAAGGATAGAAAGAGGGACGACGCTGGAGCGACGATAGGCGATGAGGTTATAGGTGGTCCTCCAAAGGTGATGCAGCTGACTGTGCGATCTAAGGCCAAATTCAAAGAAATGGTTAGCCAAATTTCACGGCAGCTGGGAAGCAATTTAATACTACTCACCACCCTTCAAAGCTGACAATCGAGTGTTGCGGCCATGAACGAAGCCGAAAAGGATCTGTGCCACTGCAGCTCCAGCAGAATGTCCTGTGAAGACGATATTGATCGGCGCCTCTGTAGGTGAATGGATGTCGTTCACTGCATCAAAGACCCGACTTTCCATTGTACGAGCCACAGAAAGAAAGCCGGTATGGCAAGTCATGCCATTACCCAACTCCTCAGCAGGTGCCAGCTCAAAGTTGGAGTTGACCATCCAGTCGGTAATGGATCGTGAGCCACGAACACTGATGAAAACTGTGGGAGTCCCATCGACTTCCCGACGATGTAGAATCGTCGTTTTCTCACTTCCTGTGCGAGTTTCCTTTAATATATGCCGCCCGTCGCTGCATGCTGCGGGCTTGTAGACGGCCTTTGACTCTTCCGCCGCGCAAAGCACGTGCTCCCACTGGGCAGGTGATCTTGAAAAAGTCGTCAACAACATACTATCGCTAGACGGTAGATTTACCCACAAATCACAGCAGCGAACATTATTTGGCACCTTGTGCTGCGGGTATTGTTCCACTTTTTGTATATAGTCGAGGTGTATGTCGCTTGGTGCTGCATACACATTAGCAACAATCATGTTGATGGCGGGGCAGGCTCCACGAACGTAGCCCCTGCGGCTCAGCATCTACTTCAAAAGTAGAGAGGCATTCGTCAATAAACCTAGCTGTTTCTGCTATAGCTGCTGAGAGAGCTGCAGCATTTCCCGACCAGAAGGTCGACCCTGACGTGCTGTGGATGCCAGCGGCAGATGCCCGCGCGCCCGATGCTGCAACTCTTCTCGTATGGCCGCTATCGACAACCCTGTGAATGGAACTATTGATCTGTTCCCGTTTACGTGGCATTTTCGCTGGGATCAAGTGTACGATTTTCCGACGGGCTTTGGATAGTCGACTGCAACTTCTCCAACCAAGAAGCAATGAGCGGTGGTAAGGCTATTGTGAAAGAATAAGAGGGCGAAAAGTTTGGTGGGAGGAACTGGATGATGTAGTATGACATATCCAGGCGCTTATGCTCATCACGCGAGTGGTTGCTTGTGTTACACAAAGTGAGGCTGAGCACGACACGTGCAAAGCTGGCCTGATGCGTTTTCGCTCAGCTTTAAGCAGCAGCATCTCAATATACCCCGCAATCGTTAGAAGCTCTCGATACTGAAGCTTGCATCCTGTTCTGTAAGAGCAGTAGAGAAGATGTCACAGGACCCGCTTGAGACCGCTGCGCTCATCGACGAGAGCGATGCAACAACAGACACGGTCTTAGCCCTTCTACAGAGTATGTACTGGGAAGGAGTTCAGAGGGAGATTTGCAACATGGTTCTAGCTCTGAAGGAACTCTCGAATCTACAGCCAGAGCCGCTACCACAAGAAGCCAGTGCGACTAGACTGGAAAGCCAACCTTTCAACAACATTTTCAATCTTTGGTGTAAGGCTGGCCCATCCACAGCCATATTGTTGTACATGCTGATTGATTCTCTAGCACCGCAACACAAAGACCCCAGCATGTTTGATTATAAGTCGGCATATAGGACGACCGTCCAGGCTGCGCAGGGTAGTTGACAAGAAATGAGAATAGCGATTTCAAGTCGTATGCTAATGATATGCTATGAATCCAGCAAGAATCTCCGAAAATCTCGAAGGCCGCAGAGCTCGGGCTATGCTTCAAGCTTCAGGTAGAGGCAGACATTCGAACCAAGCAGCGCACTATGCTAACATTTGGCAGGTATTCTGGATATCGATTTGGTCCATGAGAAAACTCTAGACACGATAATCAGGCGCCATCAACATAATCCACAATGTGAGATATTGTCCGTTCCAACTTCAGGCAAATATTCTTTGAAGCCAACCCTCGGGTTTGTAAAGCCGAGTCATTATTCCCCGAGTCAGAAGTCAGATTCTTCCGTGAATTTCGTTGCTTCCATTGCTGTAGGCCCATGAGAGGCGAGTTCTTCTACCAGTGTCAGCGAGGGTGCCTGGATCAGTAAGTTAAACGCGCGTGCCATCTTTCACGAAACGCTGATGGACTATGTGTAAAAGTCGGTCTGGTGATTATGTTTCAGCCCGGATTACTACTGACAAACTCGATGAAATCACCCATGCCTCGCAGCTTTCTTTGCAACTGGCGCCTGTGAGGCTTTGCTCTGGTTGCATAGCACTCCATGGATGGCACTCGCCATGTCGGCGGGACCATCATCGAAAAGTTGACTTCATCGCGAGCAAAGAGTCGGGTATGTGCTATTCTCCATGCAGCCTTCATTGCTTCGGAATATTGATTTGAAGCAGCGCAGCGCAAGTTTGAGAGGGAACTGGACCGGAGACATGACGCAAGCGTCAAAGGCCCAAAAGGGCAATTCCAACGACTTGCAGCGAAGGTTCTCGATCCTTCTCACACGGTTGCTGCTGGGCCCCTCCACTTCACAGTAATGTTCGGACCCCTTCTCTTTGAAAATGGAGCATCCCCGTAAGTGTTTTGAGGCACAAAGAACGGAGAGTTCTAGTCTGTTTCTAACCTTTGCAAAGGAGTCGTCCTGAAGCTTCGATAACTTCAAGACCAATTCCAAGTTTTCGTTACGATAACTCCACCTCACTTCTATATGGCACCACAGGTCGAGCGACTGGCGCGAACAAGGTGTTGGCAGGCTATTTATACCAAAGACACGATGACAGCTCTCGAGTGTTGAGCAAGGAATCCAAGGACCATGACAACCAACGTCAGTTCCTTGCGTGTAACAAAAGGATCCTCGGTGGCGCCTTTTCGGGCCACAACAGCCACTGGCAACAGAACGAAGCTGATATCGTCCAACTACTGGTTAAAACCTCGAAAGGCTTCGGATACATTCCTTCAAAATCTGTACTGTCTAACCGTTGCAGGCTGTCCAATGCTTGTAAGCCAATTGTTGGGCTCATAAAGGATGCATTCGGGCATGAGGTCGACCTCCACCTCAAACGCTTCTCGTCCAGGCTCATGGATAACTCTGTCAAGTTGAAATGGGACTTGCAATTGAACAACTGTCAGACCTTTGCTGTCAACCTGATCAGCGACAAAATCTTCAACGGGCTCTTCCACCCTATTCCCCGAAACTTCGTGACCGAAGAAAGAGTCAGACTGGCCCAGAACTATCCGATGCCGAGGTACCTGCTCAGCTTCGGCACCAGCATTGATACACCGATCGCTTTACTGAGACCGCAAGCTCGAAGTCTGATCTGGAAGTTCTATCATCGGAAACGAGATGACTGTGACATCATTGAATTTGGTCAGAATGCAGCAATGCAGAAGGAGCCTGAACTCGCCTCCAGCTGGCAACTGCTTTGTTCCGTTATGATCGATTCCCACAGCCATGGTCCAGTCATGGTACCTTCGGAGACGCTGTGGGAATTACCTCGTGATTCCATCTCGATCCTTCAGACACATATTCTAAGGAAACAAGAAAGATACTCCAGTACCAGCGGCTATGCGTTATCGAAGATGGAATGGATAGAGAACAGGCTCAGCGTTCTGAACAGCATCAACTCTTTTCTCAGCCTTGCCGGTAGTATGGGCGCCACAGACATGAAGATCATGACAGAGAACTTCTCCGTATTGGAAGACACCTGGTTCCCAGATGCCGAACGGTATGGGATTATGTTTCATTCTGAAAAAATCCTATCTGTGAAGATAGGTGGTCGGAGCTTTGGGATAATCTCGGGACGGGAAAGGCAATGGTGGAAGCGAGAATTGACTCGTCAATTCTCCTGGCTGACTTCAATGATCGAGCGTAGAAAGAAGCACGAGATGGTCGCAGGTGAGGATGGCTAATAATGCAGAGAAGTTCAAAATCGGTACCTAGCAATATAGCCATCCAGTATTAGCCAGACGGGCTGTGATTGATTGCTCAGTGCGATGGAACCGAGAAATTCCAAATTAACATGCTTTAATCATATAGAAGGGCCATCGTGCGAGACTATCAATCATTTGACAGCCTAGTGAGTCCCATGTGGCGCAATAGAGTCCAATAGAGTCATGCCACCTGTGGAAGGGAAGACTACCCCGCTTTCAGCAGCATCGACAGTAGCAAAACACGATGTAGCCCTTCGAGTCCAACTTCTTTCCTTCTCTTCCAGATTTGTGTTTCTACATTCCTACTACTCAACGAGTTGCAGATGACAATGGAGGTGCTCACTGTCATCGGCGCCATAGCATCAATCACGCAGCTGCTACACTTTGCCCACAGCCTTGCTGAGAAACTTCAAGCACCGGGCCCCCCACAGTCAAACTCCCTACAAGACATAGGAAACCAACTTCCGCTTCTCGTTCTGGTGCTTCAACGCGTTCGAAACGATTTTGAAGCGGGGAAGATAGCCGTCGAGGATCAGGCTGCCGTTCAGGATGCGCTCAATGGGTGTCAAGCTCAACTCAAAGACCTCAGTCAGCTCCTCCAAGACCTGCACAAGCCTCCTGATGCAGGTATTTTGGAGCGGGCAACGCAACAGTTCAGACGGCCGCGCCAAGCGAAACGAGCTTTACGCATATACAAGGCCTTCGAAACCTACAAAACAACATTTGGGTTATACCTGGGACAGAGTGTGTGGAGTACAATCGACAGACCACAGCGACATGTCGCAGGTGGTACGGTTTATTTGGTACCTTCCAACAAAATCTCCAAGTTCATCGGGCGTGAAGAAGCTCTAGCAGAACTGGACCAGGCATCATCATCTGCAAGCGTCTCTGATCCAAGCCCTCATGTTATCACAATCACTGGAATGGGCGGCATTGGGAAGACCCAACTCGTGCTTCAACACTGCCAGCGAAAGAGAATAGTTAGCAACGTCCTTTGGGCCGATGCGTCGAGCCCAGCATTGTTAGCGACCTCATTCGAAACTCTCCTGCAAGAGTTACCTGGACGGCCCACCACGCTTCCAGATACGGCAGCAAGAATAGCCTATGTGAAGCGCTACCTCAGCGAGTCCGCCAACTCTTGGCTCTTGATATTCGACAACCTCGACCATCCCAGCTCATTCTCGTCCGCTCCGATTCAAAACTATTTCCCTTCCGGAGCCAACGGCTGCATCATCATTCTCAGCAGACACATGGAAACACAGCGCCTTGGTTTTTCAATAGCTTTGGATGTCATGACATTGGACGATGGTCTCGACTTGCTCTTTTTCCGGACTTCGCGACCCCGCAGCCCTGAAGGTGAGGCAGATGGCGCAAGAATTGTCAAGCGACTGGGCCGCCTCCCTCTCGCAATCGACCAGGCTGGCGCATATATCGCTGCACGCGGCATCGAATTCAGCGACTTTGTTTCCCAATATGAGACTCGCCGAGATGATGTCTTGAGACACGTCCCAGAACTTTGGGAGTACCGAAGGAGGGGACCGGAGAGCGAAAACGAGCACCTTCTCAGCGTCAGTACGACTTGGGAGATGTCCTTCCAACAGCTCGCAGGCGAGGCCGCAGACAAAGAAAGAATCGGACATTTCTTTACCGTGGCAGCCTTCCTCCAGAACAAAAGCATCCCAGAGGAGATTTTCAAAGCTTATTTTGAATCCACCACTTCGCCACCAGCCTGGATAGACTTCTCGACGAACGGTGTGTGGGACCACGCCAAGTTCGAGAACATCCTTGTGCAGCTGCGATCGCTCTCCCTGCTCGAGGAGTTGAGAAGTGAAGCCAGTCAGGGGAGTTGTTTTTCGCTTCATCCTGTCGTCCAGGAATGGGCCCAATTGCGGCAAGTGGCGCCGCAGACATTCGCTGAAGAAGCAATCGAGGTACTGAGTGCCAGCATGGGGGAAGACCGGTTGGAGAAAATACCACTGAGTGCAAGTCAAAACCTAATCCCACATCTCGAAGCTTGCATTCAGAATGATTCCCGGTTCTTGCAGACCAGGCTCGGAAGTGAGCGTCTACGCATCCCGGCAGAACGATTCGCGTCATTTTACAAGCGTCATGGAAAATATCGAGAAGGCAAAGCTCTACGCCAGCGTACGTTAGATTTCGTCGTGGCTGAGCTTGGTGAGAGTCATCGCAGCACTTTTGAGGCGACAGTCAAGCTTGGGCGCTTCTACTACAAGGAGGCCAGCTACTCCGAGGCAAAGGAGCTTTACCAAAAGGCCCTCATTGGGCAAGAACAGTATCTGGGCCGGGATGACCCCGATACCTTACAGTCACTGGTCGACATTGCAGCCACGCATCTCAAAGAGGGGCTTTATGGCTCCGCTGAGCCGCTAATGCACAGAGTCCAGGCCGCGCAGAAGAAAAGTCTTGGGGAACACCATCCAAAGAGGCTGTGGTCCATGATGATCCTTGGGATGGTTTACAAGAAACAAGGAAGATTTGAAGAAGCAGATAACCTCTATGTCGCCGCTTTGCATGGCCAGGAACAGCAACTGGGTCTGGACCATCCGGACACCACCAAAACGGCGATGAATTTGGCAAGTGTGAGATACGCTCAGGGTAGGTACGACGAGGCCGAAGTTCTGTCGAAGCGGGTAGTTGAGAGTAGGGGACAAACCTTGGGTCCTTTGCATCCTAACACGCTCCGTGCACTCTGGAATCTCGGTCGAGTCTACCTAGGCCTGGGTCAATACTACCTGGCAGATGAGCTTTTCAAACGCGCGCTGGAGGGTCAGGAGCTACAACTCGGGCCAGAGCACGCATTTACGTTGAGAACGCTCGCCTATTCGGCACAGCTTGCATTTGTCCAAAAAGACTACAAGATTGCCACCACTCTTTTCCAGAGGGCCTTTAGGGGACTCGAGGTAAAATGTGGATCTAGCCATCCTAACACTTTATGGTGCGCACATGGTCTGGCAAATGTTTATCGAGACCAAGGGTTCCATACAGAGGCTGGCGCTCTCTACCAGCGTGTTGTGGGTGAATATTATCAAATTTGGGGAAAATCGCATCCTGAGGTGCTGAGGATAACCAAAGACATGCACCAACTGCGTTGACTTGGAGACTGTGGTGGATAACAATGATCTCTTTGTGAGATTAACATTAGCTTATTAGTTCATTCATGGGTTACTTTATCGTGTTGTATAGTAGTTAGAGATTGTCAGTTGCGCGTTTCTTTTATTTGTATGCCTCTTTAATTCTATCGTAAAAAAGCCACGTGAATCTATACCATATGGACGAAACGAGGTTGTGAAAGACATTTGATGGCGGCGAACGAAAGGCCGGGGAAGAAAGAGAAAAGGAATTTCGCTCTACCTGTTAGTCGCTCTGCCTGCTACTATCTCCTTGCTGGATACGCTGCTGCTGCTATAAGGTTAGTTGCTTTGCCTGCTGCTGTCGCTCTCTGCGACCAATTTTGATCCGCTATAAATTGGCTCTGCCTGCTACTGCCACCCTGCTGGACACGCTGCTACTACTAATTAGTTAGTCGCTCTGCCTGCTGCTGTCGCTGCTGCGACCGTTTTTAATCCACTACAAATTTTTGTGGAGGAATAAAATTACCTGCTGTTGCTGCTACTCGCTGTGGGCATGTTTGTTCCGCGACAAGGAATCACTGTCCCTAGCGCGACAAATCCGGCTAGCAGGGATGACAAGGATAGCAGGTTAAATACCACCGCTATACGGTACAGCTTGCAAAATCAAAGATCGTAACGGGTTTATAGCGCTATATTCCCACTTAAGTATTATCAACAGTAGAGACCGTGCAACAACATCAACGAAAGACAAACGAAAAACGAAAGAAAGCCAGCTTCAGCACTCTCAGCCAGTACTCTCAGCTAGCACTCCAGCCAACACACAGCCAGCGCTCTCAGCCAATACTATCAGCAAGCACACAGCCTAGCTCGGATATTAGGTAGGCAGAGCCTCCAATTTCACACTACAAGGTGTAGATAGACCAAAAGATCTATTTGTCCTTGCAAACGCCGTGGCTCTTCAAGAAGCCGTCGAGCGCATTGATGCAAGCGACGCAGGGGCAAAGCTAATATACAAAATCAGCATCGTCAATTCGATAAATTCGATATAATCAATCATCATTTTAGCAACTTACAGCATCGCTCCCCCCACTAACACAGTCCAGAACACCGCTCGGATCGAGGGTAATCACACCGCGCGCGATGCAGCCAGCCGACGCAAGAACCCCAGCGCATTGAATAATGTTACAGTTTGCGGCTTCGGCAGCGAAGATGAGCTGGTGCGGGGTAACGCCTTCAGAGACGGCGCCGAGGCGGGAGACGGAGCCAGGGGTGGGGACGGGTGTGACAGGTGGGAGGGGTGTGAGTGGGATCGAGGCGGTGGATTCGATAGGGGTGGATCCGATGGGCGTGGTCGGGAGGGTAGTCGGGAGGGTGATCGGGTCTACTGGTTTTGTCAGTGAAACGATGCAGGTATATTTGAGTTGCGTGGAAATAGTGAGTGAAATAAGAAGGGGAAGTAAAGGTACCGGTGATGTTGATATCCTGCCTAGGATAAACGCCCGCAGGCACTGCAATAGCGGTGGCAGTAGCCATGACGGAGGCGAGAAGAGCAAAGAGCTTGAACTGCATGTTGACGTTGGGGGAAAGAGACTGCGTTGGCTTGCTTGGCTTGCGGTGCTGAGTGCTGCTGGTGCTGCTGCTTGGTGCTGAGGTTTGATGGGATGAGGGGGGGTTTATATAAATGATGGTGGTGGGTTTGTAGGCGGCGGACTTCAGCGTGGAAGGAGGAGGGTCATGCTGCTAGCTTCCAAATTTGGCACGGAGATGTTTTCCGCTCACTGATGGAAGAATTCGGGGTTGGGAGTATGCAGTTTGCTTACGAGAAGTTTTAACATGTTGATCGTGGCGAGCCTGGACTGCAGGTCACTGCGAATAAGATGGTGATTCACTTCTGCAGCTGACTTACGAGGCGTCCTGGAAGACTTAACGAGCTGATCGCGTCTTGTCTAAACTAGGCTTGCTGCGGGTGACGAAGTGATTCAGTGCTGCTTCTGCATCTTTGGGCATCATCTTTTTTGCAGAGCGAAGGAACCTAGCAACGCCTTCTTTCGGCAGTTGGGTTGGTTCAAACTCAGCTGCCCAGATATTGCATTACGTATTAAGATGAGCTGATCGTAGTTTGTCAGATATCTGGACCAGGTCTGCGGCTCACGAGACAGTGATGCTTTTGCAGCTTGCGGATTTGCCTTTGAGATGGGTATCGTCATCTGCAGAGTAGGGAGTTTCTCCAATGCCTACTTTCATCAATTGCGTCTGTTGGTAGCGGTGGTAAGGCTCAACAGGCAGATTGTGTCTTGTCCAGACCTAGTTCGCTGCTTGTAAGACGGTGATTCGCTTGCAGCATTCACTTGCAGCTTCTGCAGCCTTTCAACTTTGCACTTTGCATCTTTTTCAGGTTTTGCCGTCTGCCAAGAGCGCGGACATGCTTGGCAAAGCCTCCTTTCAGCAGTTAGGCTTATGGGGTAGAAGGATTTGAGCTTGAGTGTACTGATCCAAAGACTTTCAGCTAGTATAGTCTAATCAATTACCGATGCATGGATTTATTAATGCATGGATTCGTTCTGAGAAGTTAAATGATTCAAAACAAGGTTCAAGTTCTCCACTTCCTTTCCACCACATTATGTGCCGCTTGGGCCGTATCCAGTAGGCTCAGCGTGTCGTGGGTAAGGCAGGACATAAAAAAATGCAGAGCAGATAACAGAGGGCGAAAGTGTTCGCATGAATGATCTTCACAGCATTTAATAATAAGGGTCACTAATCAATTACCCTGGCGGCATAGGGCTTTTGAGGGTTCGTCTGCATTCTGACTACAACACTAAAGAGGCATTTTACAAAATAGAATGCAATTTCCTAACGCGGATCAAAGTTTCCGAAGATCTTTCTTTGTCCTGAAAACTTAGTAAAGTATCTTAAGCATTATTCTCACATATGATAGCAGACAAAGCGAGCTTGAAGTTTTAAACGACCTGTTAAACTTGCATCGAAGCCATGCAGATCAATCCCCTGAAGAAGACTTTCTGGACTGGAACCTCGTCGAGTCAGGGCCTGCATTGGGGGCCAGAGTTTTGTCACTGTTACTGATTTGCTTTGTGCCAATCTGCCTGATCCACTTGGCATGGATATCTGCAAGCACGTTGGGGATAGTAACAAGTTCGGGATCCTGAAGGTTAGGATTCTACGCGCCGTATTCTAAGGCATAAACTCGGCTGTCGAAAAGGTACCATGCTTTGAATCCTCCGAAGAGATCGCGCAGTACTCGTGACATGGAGCTAAGGAAGCAGACCTGATGCAGGAATGATAGACAGGATTGTATTCCTGAATTATTCTGCCGAGAGAGGACTCTAGTTCCTTACAAATTAATCAGTGGGTTTTCAGCTCGACATGCGAAAAGCAATAGCAAACCCAAGCAGACGTCGTCTTAGCAGTTACTCCTCGAAACCGGAGAGTCTAATATTATTATTTTTTTGGCTCTCTTTATGTGGTTGTCTGTTTTCCTACTCGATTTGCAGTAATGAATTCCAAAATCCCACCGATATGCACGAAGGTCGATTATTCTCTTGCAATTACTTTAATTGGACAAGATTATTTGATATTTCTTAGCTGCAAAGCCGCAATTTCTTGGGGTCTAAAGGCCCAACCTATCTCAAAAGCGCAGATGACAAAAACATCACCAATGAACGCTGCAAGGGGCCTACCGAAAGGGTCGAAGGAGCAGGGAACTTTAGTAAAGCTATTCCACATCCAGTTCGGCTGACGATTTCCGTGCGGAGAAGGATACGAGAACATCCTAGCCTCGGATAAGAGCCCATAAACTACTAGTCCTATACCAGTAAAGATTTCCATAAGTGGCACCCTCCGCGCGATACCGGAGAGGAAACCCAAGCTCAGATGATAAAAACGTGCCCTTGCATTTGCAAAGCGGAGTTGCTTACTAGGATCGGATACCATCCGAGACCCCTACCGTATGCATGTCCGTCAACACCACGACCACGTCGTGCATTATCACCAACACGTCAATTCATTCGTGCATGAAAAAATTTGAATTCGACAATTTTGGTCACTGGTGAGCAGGTTTTGAGGATTGAGTCAGACCGGTTGAGTTGTGACAGCGCAAGTGAAAGGGCTGTGAGCGCAATCGCGATCGATGGCTACTGTTCCTGTTTTTGCGGAAGATGATCATAGAAAATCACGGCAATTGGGTTTTCAGCTCGTCAGCCAAGCTGCAGTATCTCTCGTTCCCAACACACCCGTAAACCTCCACTAATTACAACCATCAGACCTCGACGAATGGTGACCATCAAGCATCGACAAATGATTGTTCTTTATGATCAGTGAACTCTACTGGCGGATTCTGTATCAATTGCTTTGCTTTTAGAAACTAAATTTCTATGTAACCGCCTGGCTTCGCTGTCACTCCATAATGCTCATTCGTCTTCTTAGGGCCAAGAAGCGTAATGTTCGATCGCACAAAGACCGGACGCAGCTGATCCAGGAAGTGAGTAGATATGTATAATTCTCTGCGTTTCCATGCACGCAGCTTCACATGCCTAAGACTCGGGAGAGATGGTTTTTCCCCATGGTGCAAAGCAGGAAGCCTAGTAAAAAGCTGCTCGAAGGCACTATCTCCTTCAGAACTGGAATTGATTGTCAGAACCTCCAAGGATGCTGGCAACATAGTGTCCGGGTCTGGTTGTTGCGGTCTCTCGCTGGCATGGCCGGTGATGAGCTGTCCAGCGATGGATAAAGCTTTGAGATGGCGGAGTTGTTTCAAGCTGCCGATAGCCAGCATTTCAGAATAATCAGTAAGATCAACGACAAGGTTCTCGAGAGAGCTGCTATGCAGGTAGAGCGCTCGACTCAACTCATCTACTGAGCCGACGAACTCATATTTCAAGTGTAGGACTAGCGACTTAAGCGCTTTACAAGCGTTGCAGAAGCCCAAAATATCCGAGCTGATGAGGTCGCATTCTCGAAACGTGGCGCGCTCGATGTTTGAGCATCGGGCTACGGGCTACTGTTCACCTGGTCCGCTGTCTATGTCTTCGCACGTAACTTCGCGTAAAGACGGGATTTCGAGAAAGTAGATAATCGTCGCCGTAAAAAGAACACTGTTTGCATGGTTCCTTTAAACAAGCTTTAGGCAGCTTAAATTTGAGAATGGTCTTCCGGTTCCGGGGGTTGTAGCGGCCTTGACTAATCCAAGAATTGGACTGTCGGTGCTATTAGGCGGCGAATCCAGTGTTAGGCTTCTCAGATCTGGTAAATACCATAGGAAAAGAGCCACTTCGGCGTCTTCTTTTCCTCTTTCCAGGCGCTTAAGCAAGATATCTTTGTTTCCGATATCCATTTCCCATACGGCTTCCGAGAAGATGTCTGATGTTTCTTTTTCCTCAATATGGCTCCAGGCATTATCAAGTCCCTTAAAGTTCTCTTCTGATCCGGACTCCGACTCGGTAGAGTCAAAGTCAAGGATTCCATACAACATTATGCTATCGAGGAAGACGTCTTGCATATTCGCAGCGAGGTCAGGACGTTGGATCAGTGTCCGAGCGAACTTGCGGAAATAATAGCGGTCCTTAGGCTCAATTGGTGAATGCATGTACTTCGATTTGTACAGTCGTGGTTGGGCAAGTCGACAGAATTTGCGCGATTATAGCATTATCGATTCCAGTGCGTATGTGTCATCGTCTATTTCCTCGATGATTTGCTCCAGTAGCTCTTCCAGAAGATCATCTAGACCTTTGGCTGGATTCTTCCTCGTGATGCGCTTTGGAGGCGGTGGAGGCAAGGAAGATTTGGCTGGCCTTTTGGCTCGTTGAGTTGAGGCTCTCATGGCTCTTGAGATCAATTCCTTGATGGAATGGTGGTAGGTAGAGTCTAGAAATCTTCTTATTCACTACAGGACGGGCTTCGGCCTAATGTTTCGCCGTTGTCACGTTGTTCGTCACGTTCTTCCTTGCTCCCGTGGATTAATCAGTGAGCCAATTTGTATATTTAGTGGTGACTATAGGGAAGTGAACACCTTAAAGATATCGGATAGAAAGGGAAGGAAAAGATAGAAAAAATTAACTATTTTAGGAGTTTCAAGTGTATAAATCTGGGTAGGCCGCTTTGATTATATCGGCTCCCTATATTTAACATCGTTAGTACTATTATCATATAAAACCTTAGACAGCAGAGACATACCTTTTCTGCTACCATGTAAACGGCGTTTTGGATTCGACAGTCGGGGATAATTGGGAACACTGAAGCGTCGATAACCCGAAGTCTATCCACGCCGTATACTTTCAGCTCGCTGTCCACGACGCCTTGATCCTTATTCGTGCCCAAACGACAAGTTCCGCAAGGGTCTAAGCACGCATTAGTATTTGTCGGAAAGAAGGTTATAACACGCGTTCAGAACTTACGGAAGCCAGTCTGGTGCTTCTCCAGGATCTCTTTCCTCATCTCCTCGTCTGAGTCGCGCGGCAGAGGCTTAGGGTATTCGCCGTCGATGATTTCTTTCATTCCCTCGCCATTCATAAGCACGTCGTCGATGAACCGGACGCCTTCCCGCAGCGCCACAATGTCCAGCTCATTTTCAAAATACTTGAGGTTGATTGAAGGCTGCTCAAGTGCGTTGGAGGACTTGAGCTTCACCTCTCCGTTCCGGGACATGGGACGCAAAAGATCCACAATGACAGTCAAGTAGTCCCCTTCAGACGGCATGGGTGTGTGCCACTGGAAGGCGCTCGCGAATACAGGCTGCCGCGCGGTTAGCATTTACAAAAACTTCTTCGGTGCTTTTACTTACAACAAAATCAATCTCAAAGTGAGGTTGGCCACCAGGACCAAACGGATCCAGACCACCATTGCGCTCCTTCGCCGCGACGTAGTCTTTGTTCTTCGCGAGCAAGTGATCAATACGGGGAAATCCAACCAACTCCAGCAGTCCGCTCTTGAATGGCCCTGTCGTATCTTTCATGTACTTGTTTGCAGCTTCCTCATGTTTGGATCCCTGATGCACGACATAGCTGTCAAGCCCGTAGCCATCTTTAAGCTTGAAAACATGTGGCATGATCGGGTGGTCGAGCAGGTTCTGTCCAACATGCGGCGAGTCCACTACCGTCCTGATTCCGTGGGCTTCCAGGTCTGCTGCACGGCCAATTCCGGAAAGCATCAGTAGCTTCGGCGTTTCAAACACGCCTTGCGACACAATGACCTCCTTCCTGGCCTTGAACTCATAGTCTTGGCCGTCTGGTCCAAGGACTGTAACTCCAGTGACAATTTTGCCATCCAAGGTCAACTGCTTCGTGTGCGAAGAATGCATCAAGGTGATATTTGGCTTTCCGGTCAAGTAAGCAGCGCTGGTCGAGCGGACGCCCTTGTGGATTGAGTTGACGCAGTTAACGAGTCCGTGCATTTGACCATTGTAAATGTCGTCTGTTAAGTAGTGGCCCTTGCTTTCCCATGCCTGCTTCATTGCGTCGCGGAAGGGTTGAAGCTCAGGCACGAGGTCGGCGTGCTCGACATGGATCGGGCCGGTTGTTCCAATATGCTTCAGTGAAGTAGCGAACAGATTGCCATCATCGTGGTATGTGGCAGGCTTTGGCATTGTCAGCTGTAGAATCAGCGTCAGTTGTTGCCGAAGACTTACCTTGTCAAAGTAGTGTTTAGTGTTTTCCCAGTTCCAATTCTTTCCGCCATACTCCTCCCAATCGTCAAATGTGGCCTTGCTACCTCTAACCCAGGTGTAGTAGTTAAGGCAGCTACTGCCTCCTAACACCTTACCTCTGGTGTTGGGCTTATCCACGCGCTTAAAATCGGGACGATCGACAAACGTGGTCTCGTATTGCCAGTCGTGGTGGCTGCCGCGCAGCTCAAAAGCTCGAGCGGGAGTGAAGATCTCGGGCACATCTTGCGGATTTCCCACTCCTGCTTCCACAACCAAGACCGAAACCTTTGGGTTCTCTGCAAGACGACCTGCAACTGCGTTTCCAGCCGTGCCACCTTGAAAAACGTTAGTTGGACGTGCTGATGAATTGATTTATGTCCGACTTACCTCCAACAACGATAAAATCGAACTCTCCCTGAATTGCTCCGGCCATTGTGGGTACTGTGCTCAAAGCTTAAATGAAACAAGCTGATGCCAAGTATCTTGGCTGCACTTTGCTTGACATGCTTCTAAGAACTTATATACCTTCGCGACCCGAATTATGACCGCATCTTGCTGTCACCCGGACCTACGGAGATCTCTAGAAATAGAGATTACGGAGAAACATCCGGCCTATGCGTACTACAAGAAGTTGGCATGGCAGCCTGATTACTCACTGACGTTCTACCCACGAACAATCATTAACGTCGGTAGATAAGCGAGACACGTTGTGCGGGATTATCCCCTCGATCCAAGGCGTTTTGCTTTATTATTTCCGGTTATCTCCGGGGCAGGCCGCCTGGTTACTGATCGGAAAAACCAATTGCTCATTACCCTCTGATACCGAAACCTGCTTTTGGCGCAGATCAAGGTCTAGAAGACGTCGGCAACTATAACAGCCACTGGCAAGTTGCGTTATTTGTACGAAAGCATCGCAAAACAGTGACGTACATGCAATGCGGATTGCGTGCTAAGGCCACCGCCGATCGATCCGCGAAACTCTCCAGCAGTGGAGAACCTGTACCCCAGATTGTGAGACAAAATATGAATGAAAGCGTTGCAACTTCACCTGACATTGATGTAACCATCCTGCGAAGTAGGCGGATACAGTGCCCGCACTGAGTGAATAGAAAAAGGTAGTGGTTTTAAAGAGAATGGCAATGGCAGGGGAAGGGGAGAAAGAGACGCTGTTGCTATAGGCATAGAGGCAATGGACCGAGTGGATGTAGGTAGATAAGGTGGTATAGGGGAAGTGTTGACCATAGTTTGTTTTGAGAAGAGCGAGCGATTGAACAATTAATGGGCAAAATCCTACTGTCCCAGAAGCAAAATGTTTGTTAAAACAAGGTGGAAGCAATTGTTTCAGGCACCTTGTCCACTTTGTTGTCGCCGTTTTATTGGCAAAGTATGAAGTGAAAGCAAGTGGAATAAAAACTTTGGTTTCCCCCTTGGCGGATGGTTCTTTATACGCCACTGAAATAGGCTCACATCCGCTTTGACAATCAATGTAGTTGTTTGGTTGAGCACAGCGCGAACAAGGATAATAGTGATCTATAAAGATAAGCATTGTTCTACCGACTCAACACATCTGCACCATATCTTCCCAATGCTGGCGCCATAGTTTGTATACCTGCCATGCCTCTCACGAATGCTAAAGCCTGTTCCTGCGGCACCTGTTACACGCGCAGATGTTACACTGTTGACATTCGAAGATGTATTGAGGAAGCACATGAGTACATTCCTCGCACTGATGGCGCCCGGATATGTAGCGCCAGCGCTGATGTCCACACTCATGGTGTTCCTGTAGTTGCCGTACCATGTTCGCTACGGCGGCGGCGTGAGCAGGAGCCGCTTGTGGGGGGTTAGGGTTAGGATCAACATTCCCAACAGGTCTAGCAAGGTCTCCGTTTTCTGCAATCGCCGGTCCGCGATTCACTAACTGCTCTGCTCGAGCGAGCAAACGATGTTGGTCCCAATCTTGGCATTCGCAGGTCTTCTACTGCAGACCACAAAGATAACAGAACTACGCTCCGTATAGGCAACTGAAGTTAACGTTAGTGGTTTTTGTAAACAGTGAAGGTTAAAAAGGACTAACGTTATGTGATGGCATCCAAAATCCAGCTGAACGACCCTCCAGCAACTGTAGCATCTCTGCTAACTATTTGTCTCCGCCGTTTCTAGAAGCTGTTGTAAAGCTTCGTCGTTTAGGCAATCTCCAGCATGAGTACAGGCTTTGCAAACCGTACATATTATTGTTTTACATGCCGGATACGTACCTACTTCCCCTTGGATATCTTTAGGAGGGATAAAAGCCGAGTACCGCGGCACGGCGTAATATGTCCTGTTGTGTGTCTCGAGCTCCTCCCTTTTCCGCTTAAAGTCCCTGAGAGTATCGGCGGTTAGATACATGCGTATAGAGTAAGGCGGGATTGGCTGCCCGCAGTAGCGTAGCGGAAAGAGCGTCTCGTCCGTTATAGAGGCCTGGAAGAGCTGGTCTATGCAATCGCGGCAGCAGTGGTGGCCGTACGGGTTCCGGGTGATATCGAAAAACTTCTTGTCCTCTCGGTAGATCTCGTAGAACTGGTTAAGCGTCGTTTCCGCCCTCCCTTTGCCTTTCCGTCTGCCAGATGAAGAGTCGCCTACTAGTTCATCTTCGTCCTCAATATATATTTCTGTGCCAACATCCTCCGAGATGTAGAGCGCAGCTAGCGTCGCAAGGAGCTTTGTTTATGCAGCGTCTTCCTGCTGTTTAGATTCGGTAGGCACCGGTTCCTCCGCGTCTTCGTCACCGTTTAGTTTAAGAGCAAGCTCTCGGTCGTGTATAGCGATTTCTTCCTCTCGGCTAACCTCGCCTAGAAGGTGTCGGTCGGATTGGACGGCGTTGGCGATGCTCCTTCCCATGGTACGGTCGTTTAAATATTGGATACTCTCTCCGATCTCCTGTCTGTATAACTCAAGAGCGTAGTCCGCATCGCTGACTGTGCCTTCAACACCTTTGCCCTTGAGGCCGTGTGCGCGTTCGTTGACATCTTCGAGCTGAAACTGGAGTATCGTCGTTACGGTCTGGTCGTCTAGCGCCCCAAGGCGATCGAATATAAGGGCAGACATGGTTTGAAATAGCAGTTTGGCGATTGGTTTAGTAGGGATGATGCCACGCGATACTTTCCGAAGCCACGTTAGAAATGGAGGTGAAGAGCAGGCGAGAATTTATGTGAGTCTCTTACAACACGACTTGGGGGACGTATCAGAGTACCACGGTACCATAGCCAGCGAGCCACAACGTCGCAGATAACAGTTTTGCCTACAGCACTGAAAGAGAGCATAGTGTATTTCAAAACTACAGAGACTAACTCAGTACAGCACGTCATTCGGCAGGTACAGCGGCATAGAGTCCTCCCACAGACTGTCAGTCAGCATGCGCTTGTTGTCGCCATCGGCGTCCATGGCCATGATCTGGCCGTAGGGCTGGAAGGTCTGGTCGTAGATGGCGGCCTCGTCGCGGAAGCCGTACATGCCGGAGGAGTAGAGGATGCGGCCGTCGGGGGACCAGACGGCGTGGGCGTCGTTGGCGCCGCTGGAGGTCAGGACGCGCAGGTCGGAGCCGTCGGGGCGGATGGTGCAGACGTCGAAGTTGGTGGGGCTGGTCTTGCGGGTGAAGACGATGCGCGCGCCGTCGGGGGAGAAGAAGGGCAGGTTGTCCGTGGCATTGGTGAGGACGCGCACGCTCTTGTCGGCGAGGTCCATGATGCGCAGGCCGTAGCGGAGCCCCCACTCGCGGAAGACGAGCTGGCGGCCGTCGGCGGAGAAGCTGGGGAAGCCCGAGTGCACCGACCCGTCCGTCAGCTGCTCCGAGAAAGATCCGTCGGCCTTGGCTCGCATCACGCGCGCTTTTCCCGTCGCGCGCGCCTGGAACCAGGCCCCGAAGCCAAACGCGATCCATTCACCGTCCGGCGACCATGTGGGTTGAAACGCGCCCGCCAGGCCCTGGCTCACCAGCGACGAGTCGGCGTCGCTCGCGTTCTTGAACGTGTCAAACACCATCTGCTCGTCCAGCCCGTCCGGCCTCATCGTCACGATCGACGAGTTGCCCAGCTGCTTCTGCGTAATGGCCAGCCGGCCCTGCCGCGACAGGTCGGGGAAGACGTCGGTGAAGCGGTACTCCCACTCGGCGTCCCAGCTGTACAGCTTCTTCTCCATCGGGCGCGCCGCGAAGCTGACCTTCTCGTAGACGACCGTCCTGCCATCGGGCGACCACGCCGGCGAGCGCATCTGGCCCTTGACCGCGGCGCGGCCCGGCGCGTACGACGTGTAGTTGAGCCCGGCATTCTCGTTGTTCTCGTTGCCCTTGACCAGGAACCCAATCGCGTCCGCGGCCACGTACTGCGGGGACATCTTCAGCCCGGAGCCCGCCGTGTGCTCGACGCGGTCCTGACCCGTCTCGAAGTCGACCGATACAATCTGCGACGCGACGCTGTCCACCGACTCGGGCCGGTGCGCGCCCCACGTGTTCTCCGTCGTGACCTCGTAGTAGACGACGCGCTTGCCGTCGGGCGACCATTTAGGCGAGCCGAGGCAGTAGCCCGGCTTTGTGGCCAGCTTGCGGAGGCCGGTGCCGTCGGGCCTGATGACATAGACCGAGAGCTCCTGCGTGTGCTCCCAGCCGGTGCCGTTGCCGTGGCCGCGCCATTGCGTGTTGCGGTCCGAGGAGAAGGCGATCCACTTGCCGTCGGGGGACCAGCTTGGGCGGAAGTAGCCGTCCGGCTTGCTGGGATCTCCGGCTACCTCGTTCGTGTTGGTTAGGTTGCGCTGGTGCCCTGTCGCCAGGTCCATGACCCAGACGTTGGTCTTGTAGCCGTTTGCCGTGGAGACGAAGGCTGCCTTGCTCCCGTCCGGGGACAGCGCCACGGCATCCTCAACCGACGGCGACGCCGCCAGCTTCTCCAGTCCGGAACCGTCGGGCCGGCAGCGGTAGATGTCCGAGTTGCCGTCGCCGTTGCGCTCAGAGGTGAAGGAGATCCATTTGCCGTCCGGGGAGAAGGACGCGTGGTACTCGAACCGCGAGCTATTCGCCAGCAGCTTGCGCTCGTTGCTGCCGTCTGCGTTCGCGACGTACAGCTCCGAGGCCGAGGGGCCAATCCGGTTCATGAGGAACACGCCGTTCTTGCCCGGAGCAGGCAGCCCGCGGGCCGAGTGGGCATTCAGCATGGTGCCAAAGTCCCTCTCCAGCCCGAGGTGCTGCGCGCTCTGGGGCACGGCGAGGGCCGGGCCTACGGCGAGGCCGAGCAGGGAAACGAGAGACAAACGCATGGCGTGCAGGTGTGGCGTTCCTTGTGCTACCACATTGCAGCAATGACAGGGCCATTTATAGAAGATCTAATCAGATTTCAAAGCTCTACCTGAAACTCCGCTTCGTCCGCAAGCTCTTCCACCGGGCTTGGCAAAGATGTAAAAGCAGCATTAAGAAGAATGTCGTTGGTGGAAATAGTTGGCAGCCTGAGTTTTCTGTTCATCACTTCTCCTCTTGGAATTCACATGTGTCCAAGTGGACTCGAGACCTCATAAAGCACGGATATCAAGCGGCGGAAGACTTTTCTGCCAAGTCCGCTTGACTTGTTCAAGTGCATTCACCGAAGGACGGGATACGGCAGGCAGATTGAAGCTTCCGTGGAACTCGGTTCCCAGCCAATACCCGAGACATTCGCTATCTACCTACCCGTGGGATGTGGTCTACGCCGAAGGCCGACAATCCGTGCGCCTCTCCGAGCCGAATGGATTAGTTAACTCCGACTACCCATGGCACACATTGCCGAGCCGAATTTCCCAGAGCCTATGTACCAGCCTAAGCCCACATCACCTTGAACTTGTCGTTGAACTCGTCGGCCAGCTTCTTGAACGCGTACAGCACGTCGAGCAAACTGCTGCCTTCCCACGCTGGAGACTTGAAATCTCCCTCTGAGCTATAACCCTCGGAGCTGCCAGAAGCCTTCGGAGGCAAGTCCGCACCGTCCTCCTCCCCATCGTCGTCCCAGTTGTCCACAACCTTCTTCCGCACTACCTTGGTATGCACAGGCAGGGCCTTCTTCTGTTCCGTTGGCGCAGCATCCATCTCGTATAGACAGTCCTCAACCTCTTCTTCGTGAGCATCACCCCCGCCCATGGCGTTGAGAGCATCATCATCAGCGTCCAAGTCCGCCTTGATGAAATTCGTGAGGCTGGTGATGATCGTCGCCAGAACCTGGGAAAAGTCGTTCAGCACAAACCAGACATCGCCTCTGCGGAGCTTGTTTCCCTCAACCAGGGCTGTGACATCCCCGTGCTTGAAGAAATCAAGAAGGTATGCGTTGAGCGGGAGTTCGGCCTCGAGATTGATGTATGGAATGGCAGATTCCTCTAAGAAAACGCCCGCGCGGACGGTCTGACAGAGCTCTGAGATGCTCTTGAAGTTGTCACCGTGGCCAGACAGGGCAACGAACTGCGAACGGATGGCAGACGTCGGAGCGTCACCGCCATCGCCTCCAAACTTGGTGCGGGAAAGAGGAAGCAGGCAGTCTTCTTCCTTGACATGCTGGTCGACGAAGGTTCGGACGTAGGTGCTGAAGATGTCGAGAGTTTCATCATTGTGCTCCCGCAAAATCTTCTTCGCCTTCTTAGGAAGAGATGGAAGGAAGACCATCGAAGGGGAGCGCTTGACCACGTTCTCCACAAATTCCCGATCCACTTGGTTGCAGTACCGTCGGTTGAAAATGTTACAAAGCACCACCATCAACGTCTCCAAGATCCTGTCTTTGCTGCCCGGATTCCGGCGGATACCAGCGCACAGTTGATGGAAATAGCCTTCCTTCAGCAGCGCGTGGAAGGCAAAGTTGGATGGCTCTGCATAGTACAGATGGGATATGCAACCCGCAAAGTTCAACGGCTTTCCTGACTGGTCGAGCAGAAACTGTCTCCGCAGGTATTCGAGCGAGAAGCGAAGATGATGGAGGACCGTCATGCGATTTTCCTCTCCGCCGAGGTAGAGGCGGGGTTGTGAAAGCAGCGCATCCACAGACCGTACTGCGAATGAGGAGTACTTGGACTCGGAGAGAAGAGTACACAACCGAAGGACCAGCGTGGTGGTGATGGGGAAATGACCAGTCAGCTCCGGCAGACGAGAGCTGAGAAGGCGACAGACTTTCGACACTCCGATGCCATGGAAAACGACATTGCCGAGCACGTCGAAGCCTCTACGGCCGGCACGACCGGCTGCCTGGCGGAAGTTGAGAGCCGTGAGAAAGATGGAATCGCCGCAGAAAACCACCGTCTTGCAAGGCATGTTGATACCCAGAGCCAGGGTGCCGGTGGCAATGACAGCCTGCAAATAACCCTTCCTGAAGAGCAATTCAACCACATGGCGGTACTTCCGGTTCATACCAGAGTGATGTACGCCGATTCCCCGATAAAGCGCCTCGATCAACCACTTTGGAACGTGGCGGCGTTCAAGCTCCTCGGCGTATTCGTCCAGTTCCGACTCTTGCAGCTTGGTTCTGTCGGTAAAATGGAATCCGTCAACTGGAGCATTGGGGTTGAAGCTCTCCCAAGCATTGGGCTCCACCGAAGCCATCTCCCTTTCAAGCTCGGCCTTCCCCTTGACCTTCTCAAGCAGCTTCGCGGCCTTCTTGTGAGCGTTCTTCTGGTTCTTCTTCCACGTATCCCACTCTGCCATCTTCTTGGCCCATTGCGGAGACTTGTCCTTCCACTCGGCTTCGGCCTCCTTCAACGTCTTGACGACCGTCTTGCATAGGTCCTCGCAGTTCTTGCGGTCATAGTTGAAAAGAATGGCCGGAAGAGCAGCCTGCTCGTGCAGGTGGCAAAGGAGAGAAACGACTGTAGAGCGGAGCCCATCAGCGCTTAATCCGGTATCCTCTTCACCTTCCAGTTCATACAAGCTTCCGCCGAGGTCTTCCACAAGCTCGTCGAAAGGAGAGTCTTGATCAGTCATCCACTGGCCCAAAAACTGCTTTATCGACTTGAGCCAGTTGATGATGTCCGCCTGAGTGATCACGGCGGGTAAGGCCTTCTCGGGATTCAGAGAGTTCGGAACCTTGTGTGTCTCTGTCTCACGAGTTTTCATGGCCTTCCAAAGCGTATAACAGTCCCGAGCCTCGAGCGTGAAGTCTTCAGGCATTCCCCGTGACCTGTTAAGCAAACTCGCAACAGGATGAACGAATTGGAAGTTCTTCCCCTTGTCTAAGCCAACGCTTGCAACCGTGGGAGGCTTCGGTAGACCGGTAAAGGAATAGCCTTTGGTAGGGACGTAGATGAACTTGCGTAGATCAGAGTACCGGTGCGGATGATGGACCATGACAAGCTCCATGCCGATCGATTTCTGCGCAGAGGCCAACCACTCGTAGAACTCTTGGGGATTGCCGACCGTGGCTGACAGGGCAATGATCGGGCAAGGTGCCAGGAGAAGAAGCTGTTCCCATACGATGCCATCGTCGGCCTGGCTAATGCAATGGACTTCGTCAAAGATGATGCGCTTGATTCGGGATGACCAGGAGTTCGCGTTCGATGGAGAAAGAAGCATGATTTGGAGAATGTGCGGGACGGTGACGAGAACTTGGCAACCGGTGGAGTTGTTGATGCGGTAGTCACGGGTGTGGATTCCCCAGACAGACTTTCCGGCATGCTTGTACGACTTGGAGAAGCGAGCCTGAATCTCGGCGGCGATCTGGTTGACGAGGGCCTTGGTCGGAGCGATGTACACAAGGACGCCTTCGTCGGAGCTCTGAAGAACCTTCTTCATGGAGTAGAACGAAATAAAGGTCTTACCGGCGCTGGTGGGAGCCACAACAAAAAGGCTCTTCTCAGCGTCAATAGCATCCAAGACCTTCCGCTGCCATCCGTCGGGCATGAACGGCACGCGATCATCGGGTGCTGAGTCCATCTTGCGATCGAAGAATGGACCGCAGTGAAAAAGCTGGAACACCTTGGAGGGCAGACGGATCTGCAGCTCGCTGGACTTAGTCGGGGTCAAAGCAAAATCAAATGGCAGCTTTCGGTCCACAACATTAGCGTTGCCGATAGTGAACGGAAGGCCGAGCTGATCGACGGTCTGTTGGAGCTTCGACACAATGGTATTCGTCAGACCCGGCATGTTCCTAAGGCGTCCTACAAAGTCCCAAATCTCAGCGGCGAGCCCGTAGTCGGGAGACTTTGCGTTGGCAGTGATCGACGACATCCAAAGCTTGAGGAGACAGCTCAGGGCGAAGACTTCAACTTCGGTGCCGACAACTTCGCGCTTGGAGCTGGGGAGAGAGTGGAGGTACTGCATTGCCTTCGCATGGCACACGGCCGGTTCCCGCAACTTGTCGATATCCTTGCAGACCAGGTTCCAGGATTGCAGCACCTTCGAAGCGCTGGCAGCATTCTTCTCTTCATTCTTCGCCGCGATGTTCTGTAGCATAAGCTGCTTCTTCGTCGGCTTGTTCTCCTTACTGGACTTAGTACCACGGCTAGGTTGTTGCTGGCCATTCTTCAAATGCGTTGCCGCGGGTTTGGTCTCTTGGACAACAACCTTTTCAGGCTCGAGAGCCTTGCCAACGGCGTTGGTCAGGCTGGCAGCATAAGCCATCATCTCAGCCATGAAGCGTTGGTCGCGACGGCGCGCATAAAAAGCGGTGCGCTCCTTCATGGACAATGCGACCTTGCGGCTTAAAGGACGCCTGGAGTTGTGCCAGTGCGTTAACTCGCGAAAAGTTCTGGAGTTTTCACCCATGAGATGCACAATCTCAGTGTCGATGTTCAGTTTTATTGGCTGTAGGTGCTTGGCGAATACCTGGTCAGTAAAGGGAAGAAGCTTGCGATACGAATGCAGTGCCTTCTGGCTTCTCTGCTCAGGATTGAGACGCGACTTGTTGTCGTGCGGATTGATTTGATTGTCAGTCAATGGGGAAATCAAGGTCATCATCGACTTCATGACCACCTGGGACTCCTCGTTCAGCTGCAGGTCAGGATGATGTCCGGTCAAAACAGAGTTGAAGAGCCGACCGTCGACGAGATCAGCAATGTCTGTCTGAGCTTGAGCTTCTTCAACAAACTGCCGCCAGTACGGAGAATGCATCACGCCGCGAGCGACTTCGACAAACTTTTCGAGAAACAATTGCGAATTCTCGGTACTTGAAGACTCAACAGCGGAGCGGGCCCCCAGACGAAGTTGACTCTGGAGTATCGAGTGTGTAAGGAACGCTGAAATCTCATTGCTCGAAAACTTGTCCCAGGAAAGGATTCTACCGATCGTAGCCGCCACGAGGTAGAGACGCTCCGAGAGTCTCTGGGATGAAAGCTTGTAGTGCTTGGTAAAGAGGTCGAATCGCTCGCGGTCAAATACCTCAAAGGGAGGGTCCTCGTAGTTGGCAAGAGACTTTGGCGCATTCCGGATGGCGTTGCTCAGTTGGGCTGTGCCCTCGATGATCGCAGTGATGACCTGAAGAGCTGTTAGTTTGGAACTTTGGAAGACGAGCGAGGCGTCGGGTGAGATTATTCTCTGAGCTTACCTTTGTGTCCCTCCACTCCACGCCATTGACCAAGGCCACATTGTAGCCGCGGGCGATGAAAGAGCAGATGGCAACACGGAGGGTAGTCTTGTCGCGAACATGTTCGGGGCAGCCGCATTCGGAGACCGCGCCATCGTTCATCATAACGAACATGTAGTCATTGTCGGCTAGAGCGACGTGGAACGAAGAGCTGTCGATTGAAGGGAAAATCAAGACCTTGATCAGAAAATTGGTAGATTGGGAGTCGGTCAGGCTGGCTAGCAAATGGCGCAAGATGACGGCGCGAGCGAGGAGGTACTTGGCCTTTTCGGCGTCGGTCGCATGAGACGGAATGCAGAGACGCTCATGGTCATCGAAGAAAGCGATGTGAAAGTTGCAGTTGCGCTTGCTGAGGCCGTAGAGGAAACTCTCGACAAGCCAGACGGCGTGGAGCATCTGGAAGCCATCTGCGAAGGTCAGCGGATGGTCTGGCGACACGACGGGGTGACGTTAGGTACCTGCAAAGTCAAGCTTGTCGTCGGAGAAGCAATGGAGCAGGAGCGAATCGCCTTCGATCAGGAAAGGTTCACTGCCTGCGTAGTCGCCGACGAGATCGACGCGTCGCGAGAAGAGCCTGCCGTAGACATCGCCCCAGTCGGGCGACTCGGGAACCTTGGAGACCATGATTGCGGTCGAGCTGACGGACAAACAGTTTGGCTATGGTTGGAGTTGGTAGGTAGGTCGGACAGTCGCAGAAGGTGGCTGCCAAGACTGACGCAGCTGGTCGCTTTTTCCTTTCACACTTCACACTGCGAAGCTCCCGGGAAAAGATGCGAGACAAGAAAACAAGAAATAGCTAACAAGAGGTGAGGTCGGGCGCGTCGATCAAAACATCGACGCCGAGAGTGCTGCATGTTTGACCTGGTACCAAGCAGACAAACAGGCGGACTACACGCGCATTTGCAGCGCAGATCCTTCATCTACCCATGGAATACCATGGCTGTTTATCACTGCTTCCAGGACTGGCTCCACTAACGTGCAGTATCGCGGCAACTGGGCAAATGAGCGTGGAGGCCGCTGGCAAGGCAACAGAAAGCCGCCCAAACCCCGTGAGACGCGTTTCGCCAAGCGCGACCGGGAGGCTGTCAAACAGATCTATCGCACAAGACCCAGCCTTTGTTGTGATTGTTGTGATTGTTCGCAGGAAACCCCAATTACCTATGGTTCTATCCACGACCATGACATTGCGGAGTTGCGAATGGCGGCGTCGCGACACGTGCGAGGCCCTTCAATTCGGTACCGTACCCTGTCGCTCCAACTGATTGGACTCTCCTCTATCAAATACTGCCGCAAACTTGTTTGCAGGACAATACATCCCCTTGCAACGTTGCTTTTTCACCCAGCTTAAGCGATCAAGCTATCGTTCGAATTAGACAATGATGATGGCGCTATGATATCACCCAAATCCCCTTCCGTTCAACCTCTATTTAACACATGCTTAACCACCCTGTCGTGCGAATCCAGACAGATTCGCTTGAACTCTGCGATTTTCGGCATTTGCTTGTGTTAGGAATCGACAAAATGCAGTCCGCATTGCACTCAGTCCTCGGGCCCAAAGAACCGGAAGTCCAAGACCTTTCCGGCCGAGTTGCTGTGGTTACTGGCGGTGCAATGGGCATCGGGTGCGTTGACCTCAGCTCCGAATGCCTAGATAGCAGTTGTGCTTATCTTCCACAGCTTCGAAATATCCCAAATCCTCGCTTTGCATGGAGCCCACGTTATTATGGTTAATCGCAAAGAAGAGCAAGGACAAGAAGCGATTAAGAAGATCAAAGAAGAAGTCGGAGAGAAAGCCAAAATTGAATGGACCTCGTGCGACATGGGGAACCTGGCGCAAGTGAGGGATGTCTGCACCGGTATTCACAAGCGTATGGAACGGCTGGACTTGGTAAGCTTCTGTCACTTCGTTCATTAATTCTTTACTAATGCGTCGCAGCTCATCTTGTCTGCCGGTATCAATGTCAACCAATACGGCGAGACTTCAGATGGAATAGACCGCCACTTCCAAGTCAACTGGCTTGGTCAGTTTTACGTTGTTAACCTCCTTTGGCCTCTCCTCCGCCGGACCTCCAAGCTACCCAACACACCGGCCCCACGAGTTGTTTTTGAAGCATCCAAACAGCACATGATGGCGCCGAATGTCGTCCAATTTGGTTCCTTGGACGAGATCAACAACCCAGAAATCGGTAACCTGGAAGTCTACGGTCGCACAAAGTTGGCCATCATTCTCGGCGTCAAGTACGGCTTGGTTGAACGGGTTATAAAGCCTAACAACGACAACATCTATGCCCTCTCAGTCCATCCTGGTGCTGTACGTTGGACAAATCCGCTTAATATTTATGAAAGTATTGTTCTGACAGTTTCTTAGGTCAATACGGCCATGCAGCAGCAATGGAAAGACGCGTATCCAGGGTTGCTGGGAAAATTGCTCACAAGCGCAATGCTTTTCGCTGGCAGAGACATCGAACAAGGTTCCTATAGTGCATTGTAAGTTGTACCTGTTATAGCAAGACGTTTTGGTTTTAACCTAATTGTGATGCATTTTAGGTACGCTGCAACAAGTCCCGAGGTTATAGAAAAAGGATGGAACGGCTATTACCTTGATGATCCGGTGAGTAGAGCAGGGTAACAGGTTAATGTCCTCTGTAACCTAACACTTATGTCTCTACAGGCTCAGCCGGGAGCAGTATCATCGCAAGCTCAGGACCCAGCTCTCGGCGCCGCGCTCTGGGACCTTAGCCACCGAATCATCACCGACAAACTTGGGAAAGACGCCATTACTCCATGGGATTCTGAGAGCAAAGCTTCGAAAGCTGAGTAAGGCAATATGCGATGTTGAAAGTACAAGGATTATAATGTCTCCTGCGTGGCAGTTTCATAATCCCTGAAGCAAGCCTTAGAATGGTTTAGGGGGCTGTGAAAAATGATGTAAGTGGGTCCAACACATCACGCAAGTACATTCAAGCGGGGTTGTTTTTCCTTTCCCTAGACACACTTCAGGTTGTATCCTCGCTTCTGACGGCTTGATGATTTACCTTGAGAATCGAGCCATCTCTCTCACCTCGTTCGTTAGTCTGCGTCTTTCGGCCGTGCAACAACTGCTCTTGTGGTTTCTTGCGCAGTGCGGTAGTACATTATAATTCAAAGACTTAAGGCCTGACTACCCTTGCAAGCTCAGAGTCAAGATTCAGCATCCACGGAGCTCATCCTGCGCCTTTTCACCAGACGCCAAAGCTCACCAGATACTACAAAGTTCACAGAAGGGATTATCAAGAATGTACAGCATAGAAGAAGTCAAAAGCAGACTTGACCAAGTGCGACCCGAAATTGAGAAACTCATGAAGATAGGCGGCACTCCCGGTGCTGCCATTGGAGTTCTTCACCACGGCCAACTGGCATACCTGGATAACATTGGTTTTCGCGACGTCTCGTCCAAACTGCCTGTTACGAATGAAACAATATTTCCATGCGCCTCACTCACTAAAGCAATTCTGTCTGCAGCCATGGCCATATGCGTGGAAGAGGGCGGGCTCAGCTGGGACACTCCTGTCCAAAGAATCTTACCTGAATTTCATACAAGGGATGAGTTGCTGCATTACCACATGACAGTTTCGGACTGTTTGTGCCATCGTGCGGGTATGCAAGCGTCTCCGTATTGGCTGGGAAGTATGAACAATGTTCTTATTTCCAATGAGAATAGCATGAACTTTATAAACGACCTGCAACGCATCAGGCCTTTCCCGGACCAATACCTCTACAATAATCTGGGATACGAAATAGCGGCGCACATTATAGCACGTGTTACTGGAGATCCATGGGAAAGAGTACTCCACACAAAGATCTTTAAGGCGTTGGACATGGGAAGGACTGGAACACGATTTGGCTTTATACAAGACGACAACGTTGCAAAAGCGTATGCTACCTTGGATGATGCCAGCCCTGTTGAGATCGTTCCGATGCTTTCCGGAGACAACACGGTCGGGGGACCCGGATCAGCAATGCGCAGTTGCATGAAAGATCTTTTGAGACGTTATTCTTCTCTTCTCGACGCTGGAAATCACCAAACGGCAACCGGTCGGACATCTACACCGGGGAACCCATTCAAACAGGTTCCTTATTTGTGGTCTTCCAAAATTTCCATGGATCCGACGTCACTTTTGGAAAGATCCTACGCTCTAGGCTAGGCACGAGTGCAAACACCGGGGCCCATGGGCGCGATTGGTCTAAATCCTGACTTACTGTCTCCAAAGCCAGTCCCAGATATTGCGAAAAACCACCCATCACAACTTGTTTTATATCATCAAGGGTCTATGCCAGGGAACCTTGCCGCTGTCAACCTCGTTCCAAAGACATCCGGCGCTATAGTAGTCCTGACAAACTCTCTTGCTCTCAACGACACAGCAGATTGGATTGGTCAGATGCTGCTCGAAGCTTATTTGGGTGTTGAAGACATAACAGATTACGTCTCCCTCTCAAAGGAGACTGTGAAATCTGTAGTTTCTTGGTACGCTCGGATACTTCAGCAACTCAAAGAGCAACAGATCCCTGGAACAAGTCCAAGGCCTCTTGCGGAATACGTGGGTACCTATTACAACTATGCGCGAACCATGATGATACAAATTATCGCAAAGGCTCAAGAGAAGTCTCTCTTTATAAAATTCCAAGGACTAGACTCGGAGGAATTCATCTTAAACCATTATCATTACGATAACTTCACGTGGCTGGAACCAAGAAACAATCTCGCACGGCGTGGACGCTTCACGAATACGAACGCAGACTATTTCAAAATCTCTTTTGGAACGGATGGTGGTCATCGCATCAATCATCTTACGTGGCAACACGACAAAGAACTCCCCAAGCCGGAAAGTTTTTACAAGGAGAATTGACGATGCCTTTTTCGCTGAGCATCTTTCATTTTGAGGCACCTTTGGGGCCTGGGCGCAGAACAACTTCGTGTTCAATAATTGTGCGAAGATTAATTGGCCAAATATTACCATGTATCTGCCAGAAAGTCCCGCTCTCCGCACTTCAAAAGTGAAAAGATTTCGTTCGGTCTTTTCTGGTGTATCCCCTGAACATGTGGTTTATGAGTTGTCAAACGTCTACAAAAGGGCTGGCCCTCACTGCGGTGTTTTGCCACGGCTTACGCAGTGCAGTGCGGGGTTAGAACTTAGAAGGTGCCTGTTCGACATTAGTCAGGCTCTACCTTGAAACTATCTCAAAATATCTTTTCTGTTAACTTGATAAGGTAAAAGTCGATGCATAGAAACAACTTTAAAGCCCATCTGTTGATCGGACTTAGGAGCTTACGGAGTTAATTGTTTCCGATCACGACCAGGGACCTTTACCCAGAACTGGTATCGCTGATATGTACGTCGACAGACCTGGAGGACAACCTTGTGCCGATCGGCCTGAGTAAGCTTCAATCAGCGATATGAGATGTGAAACAAACTATGGTCGCAAGACTACCAATATTGTTATAAAGTGTTGCGAGTGAACATTTCAATTTTGGCGTTCATACCAACTTGTTAACCACTTCACATAGTCCGTTACTTTCAACACTCGCCAACATGCCGACAGCCTGGGAAACGGACTACACTGAGACATTCCACCACCACAGCTACCCCGCTATCTCGCCGACTCGCCCCGAGCTCTCTGCCGCCGGCAAGACTGTCTTCATCAGCGGTGGAGGGCGCGGTCTCGGCACAGGCATTGTCGATGCCTTTGCCCAAGCCGGGGCCAAAATCCTGATCATCCTGGGTCGAAACGCAGCAACTCTGCAAGCCGTCGCGGAGCGCACCGAAGCGGCTCATCCTGCAATCAAGGTCCATACCATCGCCGGCGATGTATCGCGTGAAGCAGATCTCGCACGTGCGTTTGCGGAAGTGAAGAAGATAGCCCCGAGTGGCATTGACGTCTTCGTCGCCAACGCAGGGGTCCTCCCGACGATAACACCCATCCGCCCCGCGGTGGATGCCAACAGCGAAGACACAAAGTCGGACGATGCTTATATCACCGAATGGTGGCGCGGTTGGGAGGTAAACGTCAAGGGCGTTTTCCTGCAAGCACGCCACTTCCTGGCTACGGCCGCGCCCAATGCCGTCTTCCTCAACATATCTGCCGGAGCTGGCCATATCAATCCTGTTTTCCCCGGTTTCTCGGCCTACGCATCGTCGAAGCTTGGAGCCGCGCGTGTCGTTGAGACGCTGCAGGCCGAGAACCCAGGTTTTAGGTTCAACAATATACAGCCTGGTGTCGTGGAAACCGAAATGTTGGAGGCGTCGGACATTCTGACCTACGGCCTGCCGGTAGACGACTGCAAGTGTCTTCCTTTGCCCCATCTCTCTAACGCTTATTTATGGCTTGCCTTGTACGTCTTCTAACGGTTCTCTAGTAAACCTTCCAGGTCACTTCCTTGTCTGGCTAGCCAGCCCCGAGGCCGAGTTTTTGAAAGGCAAGTATGTATGGGCCAACTGGGATGTCGATGAGTTGAAGGCGAGGAAGGATGAAATATCGGCTCCAAACAGGCTGGTTAGCGGTCTTGTAGGCTGGGCCTGATTGCTCTAATTTGTCTACCCAATGAAGCCGAGGCATGGGTATTATCCTCTTGATAGCAGTTCTAGCTCAAACCTAACATTTCATCATCACACACCATACAATTACCTAGCATTTTAAAGTATGTATACTTTACGGATAAGCATTATCATCACTAATAATAAACCGTCTACTTAAAAGTTTGGCAGGTTTGTAATCTATAACGGCGGACTACACGCCTATTAGGTACAGAAATTACTAAAGATAATTAGATGCCGATTAATAGATGCGGTCTAGTGATTTTCAACAAGTCTAATCTTAAGACATGATAGTGTTCATGATAAAGAAAGCGAAGAACTTACATAAAATATTACACAGGCATGGCGAGTACATCTTTTCTTTTTCTTTCTCTGCATATCTAACGATTCAAGGCACGAAGATTCATTCATCCATTTTCGAATTCTTCCCTTAATATAAGGGATGCAAGATCTTGTTCTTCGCCTTCGGCTTCTCTGGAGAAAGATGAACATGCCAATTTCAGTTCTTCGTCCCCGCACGTACCGCGCATCCAAGAGTATGTCGGCAGCCGGTCTATTTTGTACTACGATATCCAATTGTCAGGCCAGAATATCAAGGCGGGTTACAATCTTGTGAAACCTCGCACGAGATCTCTATCGGGTCGACAGACGCCTTCGGAATCGATCGCTGTTACACTTCAACAGGGGTCATCATGTCGACATACGCTTTCGGAACCGATGGCTGTTACTCACAGAATCATCTATAAATTGGGCTTCCGCCTTTTCATTGTTCTGATTTATTAAATATCGTCTTGCACATTCCATCTGTTTCTACCGCTCTGATCGCATATCGTTGCCCAAGTCCTTTCATTTCATCTATCGAAAATGCCGTCCGGGCTTCCAACCGCGCCCGATACGCAGATCGGTTTTCAGCCACCTCCTTCCAAGGCACCTTCCTTCCGCAAGCCCGTGGAGGGACCTGGTGTTCCTTTCAATGACGAAACCCCTGTCATTTTCAACCCCATTATCATCGTGCTCATCGGTTACCTCGAGAAGGCCAAGCCTGGAGCCGTTGATGAGGCTGTGGCCGCGGCTTACAAGAAGTTTCCAAACTTCATGAACGAGCTGCACATCAAGGACACTCCCTCTTTCCTGGAGTTTGCCAACGATCTGCTCAAATGGATTCCTCATGAGAACTTTGCGGGCAAGGACATTTATGGTGTCCTCTGCATGTTCTATATTATCCTGGACCAACCCTCTCTTCAAGAGTTCCAAACACCCGTCCACCCCAGCCAAATTGGTCAACCACTGTCCTGGCTTTCCTCGTGGATTGTCGTCTTTGCCCAACTCATCGGCCTTTTCATGGACACACCGGCATCTCTCACTCCCGAGTCCTTGCAGTCCTTCAAGGATTCACCTCTCTACGACTTCGATGAGGCGGAGGAGCCTAAGGGAGGCTTCCGCACTTTCAATGAGATGTTTTCTCGTCGCTTGAAGCCCGGTCGTCGCCCAATCGACTCTCCCAAAGACCATTCTGTCATTGTCTATCCCGCAGACTGCACCTACGATAACTCGCTGGCCAATCACACCATCGTGAACGTTGAGTCAGGAGGACTAGTATACATCAAGAGCCTTCCCTGGACAATCCACGCTCTGCTCCAGGGTAGTGAGTATGCGGATCAATTCGACGGTGGCATTTGGATGCACGCGTTTCTCAACACGTACAACTATCACCGCCAACATGCGCCTGTCTCGGGTACGGTAATTGAGGCAAAGAACATCCAGGGTGCTGCCCACCTCGGGGTAGACACTAATAAGTGCCAATCTATCCGTGAGATGTGCGCGGATGATGCCCCCGACTGTCCTGGTTACCAGTTCCTGCAGACAAGGGGCTTGGTAGTCATTGACAATCCTGTCCTGGGCAAGGTGGCCGTTCTACCTATCGGTATGGCAATGATTTCAGGTGTAAAACTTTTTGTCAAAGCAGGTGATAAGGTAGAGAAGGGACAGGAAATTTCAACTTTCCTTTTCGGAGGATCAGACATCATCTGCGTATTCCAGGGGAGGGCCGGCCTGACTGTGGAAGACTTCGTACCTTCGCAAAACAACACATACGCGAAGATGGGTACTGTCCTCGCAAGGACCCGACTGCCGACCAGCTATCATCATACTCAGTGCGTGGTTGGCTAGCAGGAACTACACTACCAATCTTTCTTTCCCAACTCATATTTTAGTGTAGCTCATTCAAGTCTTGTTTAAAATTTAACCCCACTCTTATCTCTTATAGTAAATATAGTTGTATCCAGAATAGTTATGTTTAAAAGCTATGGTCGCCCCACGAATTCTAGCATTGTATTAGAGTAATTGTTTCATATGATAAAGACCTGAGGCAAACACTCACGTGTGGCTTGTGTAACGCCAGCTAGGCAGCAGCGGCAACGTATGTACCCCGCACCTAAACGTTCTCGCATCTTACCCTATCCTCTTCCTCATCCCTTTCGCCTCTACACCAAAAATGACCTCTCTCTGGGATCAAGCATTCAAACGACTAAGCGTCAAAGACCAGACTCTCATCCAATTCAACCAATCAAATCCACGAGAGATATTGCTTAACATCTTATCTACCGTCGAAGTTCAACGCGACCGGTGCTTACGGAGCCGATCCAAGGTCACCAGCATCAACGGTAGAGAGATTGTCATTCGCGATGTCTGCACAAAGATTTCCCACTACGTTAAGACATTTGTCGAAGTCGGCGACGTCGCAGTCCAATACGATCCAGTGCATGCTTCGCTTCCCTGGGCAGCGCTTCGCTTCGTGTTACAGTTGTCCTTAAACAGCGTGGAGACCTTCGAGGCAATTGTTGAAGGGATCGAGAAAGTATCAAGCGTCATAGCACGCTGTGCCATCATCGAATCCCTCTTCCTACCATCAGGCTCCAACGCCCAGAAAGCGCTTGAGGAAGACCTGCTGAAACTCTATGTTCGAGTGCTTGAGTTTCTTTGTGAAGCCAGGAAATACTACAAGAGGAGCTGGATCAAAAGATTTCTTGCTGATACGACGCGCCGCAAAGGTTTGCAAGGATCTCTGCAGGCTGTGTGTCAGGTAGATGATGTTGTTCGGATGCGACAAGAGCTGGTCGACTCCGAAAGAATACAACAGACCGGGAAAACCACAGAGGCCACAAAAAGTATAGCCACTACACTGCAATCCGCTGTCAGCAACGTTGAAAGCGTGCAAAGCACATTACGAAACAAGCTTTTACAGCTTGAAATGCCCATTGTTAGAGGAATGGACCAACTCTCTGATCTTCACACGGCAATGGAAGATTCTGAGAAGGCAAGGCTTCTGCGCTGGTTATCTACTATCCAGGTCAAACAACATCACAACGCATCGCTCGCTTCGGTACTAAATGGTAGTGGCCAATGGCTCATCGCCGATGCTCGATTCACAACTTGGAGAGATTCGAGCAGTTCGGAGGTCTTTTGGTTGCGCGGAATCCCTGGTTGTGGCAAGTCCAAACTTGCGACCACCGTTATCCAGTCACTGCAGCAGCGCGTTAGCACTGTTCCTGATTCAGCCCCCGTAGCATATTTTTATTGCTCTGGGGATGAATCAGAGCTACACAGAGCGAATGCCAACGAGATCTTACGTGCTCTACTTAAACAACTCGCCCTGCCAAAAGAAGACGGCCCTGTTCGCCCTGTTATTGTTGAAAAGGCGAAAAAAGCTGGCACTGAACCAGTAGCATTGTCCACAAATGATTGTGTGGAACTCATGGTAGATCTCGCAAGCACAGGCCCAGCGATGATGGTGATCGATGCGGTAGATGAATGCGATCCATATCAACGCCATATTCTATTGTCAGCATTAGACAAAATAATGTCTGACTCCAGGGATGTCGTCAAGGTTTTTATATCAAGTCGAAACGAGGAAGACATCCGCAGCCAACTTCGTGGCGCAGGAGGCATTTATATGTCACCGAAAGATGGTGAGGAAGATCTCAAAAAGTTTGTCGCGGTCCAAGTGGAACAATTCGTACGAACATGGTCTTCTATTCATGGCGGATCTGCCAAAAATCTAAAGCTTCTAGAGCAGCAGATCATCGAAACTCTGACAAAGGAGGCCCAGGGAATGTAAGGTACACCTCATTAAAGTCTTACAAAGTTGTCTAACCAGTTTTAGGTTCCTTTGGGTCAGTCTCCAACTTGAAAGCCTACGCGACTTCAGAAAAATCAAGACGACGAACGACATAAGGGAAGCTTTACAGACCCTGCCTCCCACCCTCACCAAGTCCTATCATATCATATACTCCCGCATTGAGTCTATGATGAGCACAAGTATCTCAATCGCCAAAGCGACATTTCGGTGGTTGTTATGCGCCCGCCGAGTCCTTCAGGTGGATGAACTTGTTGCTGCTGTGACAAATGACTTAGAGGGATCTACAACGGTTTCCCCCACCGATATGCTGAATTGCTGTTGCAATCTTGTCATTTTGGATACCGAATCGAATGTTTTTCGATTGACGCATTCGTCAGTTCGGGAATACCTTTTATCACTCCCGGAATATGCCATTGGAAGCACCAATGCTCTTGTTGCCCAGAATTGTTTGGGGATGTTTCTCTCAAACCAAGTCCCCCAGAGCGATTTATCCGACTACGCGTGTCAGTACTGGGCAGACCACTACGGGAGTGCCGATGCCACACGCCGCAACGGTTCATTGGGAGATTCTCTTCTCGCCTTCTTCACTAAGGAAGAGCATTTTGAAGATTGGCTGATGCAGCTCAGCCAGAAAGGCCTTCCAGTGAATCCAGGGCAAAGGGTAGATCTCTCGAGGAAGCTTAATGCCGCCTCAAGCTCTCTCCCGTCTCCACTCTTCGTTATATGTTGCTTTGGGTTGATCGAAGCTCTAGAAAATACTGCATTTGCAGCAACTCTGGAACTTGAGCAACTAAACCAGCACAACACTTCAGGCCTATATTTGGCCGCGCGATGGGGGCATACGAGCGTGGTATGGTGGCTACTCGATCACGGTGCCAACATTAACTCGCCAGGGCAACAGTTTGGCAGTGCAACGCAGGCAGCTGCATTTGGAGGCTATAAGGAGATATTATCTATGCTTCTTGAAAAAAACCCCGATTTATCCGTACAAGCAGAAACGTCAAGCCCAGTACAAGCCGCGTTGATTGGCGACCATGAGGAGGTGGCTGAACAACTGATCGATGGTCAATTTGTTTTCGACACACAGCAGCAGTTCGATGATGCTTTTCAAACTGCTAGCTTTGGTGGACACGTCAATGTCGTTCAGGCACTGTTGGAGGGAAAAGCTGGCAACTTCAGGCCAAAAGAGATCCATGAACCCCTTCAGGTGGCGCTGCATAAAGCAAAAGAAAGGAAATCCCGGGAGCTTTTGGATGCATGTGCAGACATCAACTCAAAAGGTGGCTATTTTGGGAACGCCCTACAGGCTGCAGTCTCCGGAGGAAAGCTCTCTCTTGTAAAAGCTGTTGTGGAAAAGGGCGGAAAACTCGATGAGAGGGGTCGATTTGGCTATCCACTCCGTGCAGCGGCGGCGACAGGCAAATCCGACATAACGCAGTACTTGTTGGATCAGGGAGCTGACCCTAATGCACAAGATGACGAGTTAGGAGACCCTCTCCAGGCTGCGGCATCGAAGGGGTATCTGAACACCATGCAGGTCCTTCTCGAACGTCAAGATGACGTTAATGGTCGAGGTGGGTTCTTCGGGAATGCGTTACAGGCTGCTTCTTTTACCGGACACATCCAATCAGTAAAGTTGCTTCTTGAAAACAACGCACGACTTGATGCACCAGGGAAGTTTCGCGACGCCCTTCAGGCTGCTATACAAGCAGGGAAAGACGACATAGTCAATCTGCTACTTGAACGCGGCGCACATCTCAACCCTGGCCGTTTTCCTCGGTCGTATTATTGTAATGGTTCAACTAGAGCCTTACGGAGAGCCTTACCTCGGATACATGAACACTCCGGTCAGATGGACATCCCTCGGGAACAAGGACCGTTAGAAATAGCGTCCCGGTGCGGCAATGTGCAGGTGATGGAGAAGCTCATCCAAATGGGCGCCAGAATTGATGCATATGACGCAAATCCCAGGGATGATGAGTATGATGAAGGATGCTCCTACACTGCACTCCAAATAGCTTCGTTTTGGGGGCATAAGGAGGCAGTCTATACTCTGCTCCGCTATGGAGCCGACATCAACGCCGTTCGACAAACTTTGGGGACACCATTGCAAGCGGCGCTTGAGGCTTCCAACTTCGAAATCGCTCAGTTACTTCTGGATCATGGTGCTGAAATAGACAAGCACTGGATGGAATTTGGTTCTTGCCTGCAAGTTTTTTGCGAAAGGGGAAACATGCAGGTCGTACGATTCCTTGTTGAAAATGGCGCAAACATCGAAGACTCCGGCGGCCTTTACGGTAATGCTTTACAGGTCGCATGTTACTCTGGACACCTTGATATTGTTCGGTTCCTACTCGATAAAGGAGCTGACAAAAATGCTCCGAGTAGGAACAAGGGGTCTGCCCTGGAAAGTGCATCAGCCAACGGACATGTCGAAATCGTCAAGCACTTGCTGGATCATAGTCCAGAGGTCGTCATCCCATACACAGCTCTGGGCTGCGCACTACATTCTGCAGCAGCCGGAGGCCACGAAAGCACTGTAAAGGTCCTCCTGGATAATGGTTCCGACATCCATTTCGACTATGGCTACGAGACGTGGTGGGATGAAACCGAGTTCAGAGATGCTTTGTTTTCTGCCTGCCAAACTGGTCACACCAGAACAGCCAAGTTGCTTTTCACTCGGGATCCATGGAGCTACATCCATCATAATACTTTTGAGCGTGCTCTCAGAGTTGGTATTATGCATGAAAACACAGATGTGGTTGCGATGCTGGTATTTGAAGGTGCCCGATCCGGCTTCTCATCAGACAGATTCAGCGCATCCATCCATCCTGCAAGTCAAATGGATGATCCAACTTCGATCAGACTGTTGCTAGATTCATATCCGGAGCTCCTTCAGGGCGACCAATGCCTGGACGCATTACACAAAGCAGCACGGATGAAAAGGAAAGACACTGTCCTCGCGTTAGTTCGCAAGGGCGCAAATGTAAACCACGTGGATAGAGAAGGTAACTCTGTCCTGGCAAATGCCTTCTGCCCACTGGAGTATTGGGAACGCCCCTCCAAGGGGATACGCATCAGCACGCTTGGGATTACCCCCCCGTGGGCAGACGACCTCTCAAGGGATGCTGTCGAGACGGTGCGGTTGCTGCTAAATGCAGGAGCCCAGGTTGACAATTCATGCCGCTCGAAAACGCGGTTGGACTATATTGCAACACAAGTATTCAGTCAAGGCGACACTGACCTTTTGATACGACTACAAGCTCAAGAACTTCACGTCACTCCTAGAGCTGATACCAGGGAATTTTCAAAGGCACTTAAGGATGCCTGTGGCTCTGCAAGGCTGGATATGGTTAGGCATCTTTCAAGCTCAGTCCAGTCTACAAAACCAGAATCTTTCAAGCCCGCGGTCCTCGTGGCAGTTCGTTCGGGCCATAAAGACGTCCTTAAAGCCTTGTTGGGCCGAAAAGAATGTGTTGAGCTTTTGAAGTGCTCTAATGAAAATCCGCTTGTAGAAGCAGCGAAGCACGGCCATGTGGAGCTTATCAACTTGCTTCTAAAAACTCCTGAGATCGGCTTAGCTATTTTGGAACTAGCACTCGAACAGGCTTTAAGAGGAGCTCTTTCTCCGGATTGGCCTCCCTACAAAAGCTACAAAGGCTTTCAACTGAAATCCATAAAGCTTCTGCTTGAACATGGAAAAGATCATCCGAGAACTACGGAAATCTACTCTCAGTTTTTCTCTCGGTTTTGGCCCGAAGTTGCCGGTGGCTTTGGTACAGCGGAAGTATTCAACTACTTTCTCAGCAATGGTGTCGACCCTGACTTTAGGAACGCGAAAGGTGAAACTGCGCTCTACATTGCGTCAGCATACGGCCAAGTTGAACGTGTGAAGTCATTATTACAGTATGGCGCAAAAGTCAACCTCGAGGGCGGAGAAGCTGGCACCGCGCTACATGCAGCTGTCAAGAATTCAATGGAGATTGTTACAGATCTACTACTTGAGGCCGGTGCGGACGCCGATGCTCGAGTGGGAAACTTCAGTACTCCCTTGGCTCTCTCCATGTGCTCTTCAAATAAGAAGTCCGGGTTTTCACGAAGGATGCCAGTATCAGGCATGCCGGACACTTTCAAAAACGATAACTGGATCGCAGAAAGACTTCTCGCTTACGGTGCGGATGTCGATGCCAACTGGGGTCATTATGGCACTGCTTTACAAGCAGCTACCGTCAACGGCCATAAGAGTGGGGTTAAGCTACTCCTTGAGAGAGATGCGGATGTCAATGTAAAAGGAGGGCAGTTTGGCAGTGCTTTGAAGGCCGCCAGAGCAAATGGCAAGGATGACATTGCGCAGATGCTTCTTGATGCCGGCGCCACTGATGGCTAAAGACTCCGGCACTTTTTGGAGTTTTTACTACGTGTTTCTGCTGTCTCGGTAATGGTCATTTTCCTTCAATTTCTTTATGTCCTTCTATTTTCAATGGACATGAAATGAGATTATTGGATCAAAAACTGCTCTAAACAGATGATTCTTACCGAGGAATAGAGTGCTCTCTCTGTTTGGGTAAGTTTCCGCGACCACTGAAACATCTATTATATCTCAAATCCCCGATAGAAGCAGCGAATGCACAAGTAGGCTTTTCAAACCACAATTCATACCTGTCAGAGATTTCCAAGGTCTGTTTTTCCTTGTCGCCTCAATCCACAAAAATGGCTCTATCTATCGACCTGACTGCGCCCAACGGAAGGACTTGGACACAGCCTCTCGGCCTTTTTATCAACAACGAGTTTGTGCCATCTAAATCTGGAAAGAAAATATCTTCGATTGATCCAGCGTTTGTACACCTTTCACAATAACACACAATCATATTTTTAATACCATTCATAGGGCAGAAACCGAAATTACATCTGTCTATGCAGCGGATGCTCAAGACATTGATGATTCTGTACGCGCAGCACGAGCCGCATTCGAGGGTTCATGGCGGGAGCTTTCAACATCGGATCGAGGAAACCTGATTATCAAGTTGGCAAACTTGATCGAAGAGGAGCAGGAGCTATTTGCTACGATTGATACTTGGGACAATGGTAGTATAAACCAGACAGTTTCTGGCATACTCGCTGATTATATGCAGGGAAACCGTATTCCGTTACTTTGGGTGAAGACCTGCCGGAAGCCTTCAACACGATCAGATACTACGGCGGCTGGGCGGACAAGATTCAGGGCCACACTATTCCTACATCGCCAGCAAAGTTTGCGTATACGTTGCGGGAGCCCATCGGTGTCGTCGGCCAAATCATTCCATGGAACTATCCTCTTAGCATGGCAGCGTGGAAGCTCGGGCCTGCACTTGCATGTGGAAACACGGTCGTTATCAAAGCCGCCGAACAGACCCCACTCAGTATTTTGTATCTGGGCAACTTGATCAAAAAGGTCGGCTTTCCTCCAGGCGTTGTCAATATCATCAACGGGACAGGAAGCGAGGCCGGATCTGCCATCGTCAATCACCCCGACATTGACAAGATTGCTTTCACCGGTTCCACGGCAACTGCACAGCGCATCATGAAGGCGGCCTCCGGCAGCCTTAAGAATATCACTCTTGAGACTGGGGGCAAATCACCAGCTGTTGTCTTTGCCGACGCCGACCTTGACCAGGCGGTGAAGTGGACGCATATTGGGATTATGAACAACCAGGGGCAAGTCTGCTCTGCGACGTCTCGGTGAGGTTTTCCTAAGAAGGTTTGAAAATCAACACGTACTGATATAAACATAGCATCCTTGTTGAGGGCAAGATTTACGACGAATTTGTTGCTCGGTTCATTGAGACTGTCAAATCGGTCAGCGTGGTTGGCAATCCTTTCGATGCCAACACTTTCCAAGGACCTCAAGTTACAAAGCAGCAATACCAACGGGTGCTGGACTATGTGAAAATTGGTAAGGAGGAAGGCGCGACACTTGCCCATGGAGGAGAGCCACTCCGAACTCTCAATGCAGATGGCAAGGGCTACTTTGTAGCGCCAACAGTCTTTACGGATGTTGCGGAGCATATGCAGATCTATCACGAGGAGGTGTTTGGTCCGTTCGTCGTCATCTCCAAGTTTGAAACAGAAGATGAGGCAATGAAGAAGGCGAACGGTACTACCTACGGCCTCGGGGCCGCTGTCTTCACCTCGAATCTAGAGAAAGCACACCGTGCGGCCCAAAGGGTTCAGAGCGGGACAGTCTGGATCAATAGCAGCAACGACTGTGACTACAGGTCGGTGATTTTTACCTCACTGCAGCTCTAGAATTTTATTGACTGTTAACAGGATCCCTTTCGGAGGCGTTAAACAGAGTGGTTTTGGTCGTGAGCTTGGTGAAGATGGATTGGAGGCGTATACTCAAGTGAAAGCGGTGCATGTCAACATCGGCAATCGCCTGTGAGCAGTTTTACCTTGACTGAATAAAATGAAGGGAATCCCTGCACATAAATTAGCCTTGTGCATATCTCTATGACTACGGTTGAAAAGAGAAGTGTATGTTGAAATTGACTAACGTGCACTTACAGAGATAGTACTCAAGAAGGCATCTATAAGACACTGAGGCAGCACAAAATCTCCAATGAACGTCCCACCTCATTACGACATACTCGGTAGAAATTCCTTCTCATCCAACCCCAGTATTTAGCTGAAGGGGAGTTGCCTATCAAATATCATTTTGGTTGTGTTCGGCTCAAGCGATTGCGTAGCCGACATGAATGAATGGGGAAAGTCACCCCGCGAAAAGGTAAGAACAACCGATAGCTAGTGCCCGCCAGCCACCCCGCACTACGGCCTGACGCAACAGGACCAAAAAGAACAAGAACAACTCAGGAAATCTACCCCACCCCCGGTCTTCTCCGCATATCAAAGCGCCACCGACGGGAACTCTTCACTAGCCTTGCCGATCAAGCGATAAGCGTTTCTGTTCAAGAAGTCAATGCCGATGCCCTCGAGGCCGTTCAATGTCGGTACCACGTCGACGTAAATAGTCATCTTTCGCTGCGGTATGTGCTTTTTCTCCTCATTATTGGAACCTTCATCTCCCTAAGCGTTGGCAGCGAAGTAACGGCTTTTTGTTTGAGACCATGGCGAACCGCGGTGCCGATTTTGATCCGGAAGTATGCACCATCGATGACTTGCAGAACCTCGGCAGCAGCAAGCTGCCCAAAATGTATCGAGGTAACAACAGCCACCGGCTAATCTTGAGAAGATCGCATTCTAATGCCATGGGGTTAGATTATTACAATGAAGGAGCAATGGACCTGATAACGTACCAAGCCCTCTAATTAATTACACGACAGAGCATGATCTAACAGCACTCAAAGCCTTCGAGACAATGTCGAAGCCTTCAACCGCTATAAAATCCGACCGCGTGTCTTGGTCGATGTCCATAACATCGACACCTCGGCAGAGATTTTTGGTGAAAAGGTAAGGATCTCCGTAGAGCGCGTTTTGATTTAGCTAAATTGATTTCAGGTGGCTCTTCCCTTTGGATTCAGTCCGACGGCAATGCACAAACTAGCACATGAAGAAGGAGAGCTGGCTACTTCGCGTGCTGCGGCCAAGTTTGGCATTCCCATGACCCTATCTTCTTATGCCACTGAGTCTATTGAAAATGTCACGGCACAAGGGAGTGGGAACCCATATTCGATGCAAATGTGCGTCCTCAAAGACAGAGAAATTACCGTACAGCTGTTAAGACGCGCTGAAAGTAGGAACCCTCCCTCTTCTTCGAAGCAGTTGCTAATTGCGGTACAGAGAGTGGTTGCAAGGCCCTGTTCCTTTCTGTTGATGTCCCTGTGTTGGGAAGGCGGCTCAATGAGTACAGAAACAAATTCACTTTGCCGCATGACATGGCTTGGCCAAACATTCTCTCTAGTGGAAAAAACGAACAGGTTGGGAGTCCGGGAAGCAGATATGACTACGGTATGTACAGCTACATGAGACAGTTAATGTGCTGACTGTAAAAGATTCTACTTTAAGTTGGGAAACTGCAATTCCGTGGTTAAGAGCCAACACGAAGCTTCAAATCTGGCTCAAAGGCAGTAAGTAGAATGAATTAACATGTTTACTAGCACCAGTTGCTGACTTTTTGAAGTCAATACGGCTGACGACGTCGTGCTTGCCATTCATCACGGAGTTGACGGTATTGTCGTCTCAAACCACGGCGGAAGGCAACTAGACGGTGTACCAGCGACGCTAGATGCACTACGGGAATGCGCACCAGCGGCCAAAGGGAAAATCCCCATTGCCTTTGACGGTGGAGTTCGCAGAGGAAGCGACATTTTCAAAGCTCTCGCCCTTGGAGCCGACTTCGTTTTTATCGGAAGGATACCTATTTGGGGTCTTGCAGTAAGTTATCTCCGTGCATTCTTAAAGACGGCAAATCTAATGCCTTTTCAGTATAAGGGGCAGGAGGGTGTGGAGCTTGCCCTTAGGATTCTTTTACACGAACTCAGGGTGACAATGGCTCTGACTGGTACCCGGAGTATCAAGGAGATCAACAAGGGGCACCTTTCATTGTTATCTCCAAGCGGAGTTTTGAGTAAACTTTAGAGTGTGTTGTCTACTTGCTCGAAATTGATATCCGAATGTCCAATTTATGAGAGTGGTTTATAATCTCCTCGGTTCTATGCTTCAATCATGCGATACCAGCATTGGGGTTGGATTTTGAATTTTTGACGCTTTTAAACAGTGATAAAAATATCTGTTACTGAGATCCTACCGATCACAAGTTCTTAGTTATTACGCTATAAACCCTCCAGCTTTCTGGATTCTTTCAGATCTGTTTATCGCCTGCTCGTCGTATGTCCCATTATTCAATTTTTTTGGAGTTAGCCTGCAGTGTCATCCATGCCGGGTTAATGCATTGCGAAATATTTCCGACGCTCAACGAAACTGGCAGTCACAATGATGGAAAGCCATTGCGAGCTATCGGAAATGCGTTACTCGCATTCAGTTTCTCAGAAAGACATACGCAGTGCGGGGTTATGGGGTTTCCCGATGCTATCGGTAGTAAATTTCGGCCTGCTACCCGGAGTAAACTGCTTCTCGGGCCGTCGGCGACGCTTACCTTGCCAAACATCATGAACTCTTTCTATATCCTCTATGACATGTTTGCATTATTATTTATAAGAGTGTTCGCCGTGGTAGAAGAATGTAGAGAATCTCCACTCTGCTTCTTACATTTGAACTAAACGGAAATCTTCAAACTATGTCTCAACAAACCCTCAGTGGCATCCTCGTTGCCCTTATCACTCCATTCACAGATGACGGCAAAGACATCGATGCAACGTCATTGGGTACTCACATTAACACTCTGATTAAGGCTGGCATCCATGGTTTGGTACCTGGAGGCAGCACTGGAGAGTTCACCACGTTGAGCACCCCAGAACGGAAGAAACTCCTCGAAATCTGTGTCAAGTCGGCTGCCGGCCGTGTCCCCGTTGTTGCAGGCATCGGCGCTCTATCTACGTTAGTTCCTTCAATCCAACCTCCACATACACTAAGTTCAAAGCTAACTTGCTATATCAGCAATGACGCCGTTGATCTTGCAGTGCACGCCAAAAACACCGGTGCTGCAGCGTTGATGATTGTACCACCCTTTTACGATGCCCCAAATCTCCAACAACTGGAGGAATATCTTGGAGAAATACACGCCGCATCAAAGCTTCCCATCGTTTACTACAACATCCCCGCGGCGACCGGCATAAACCTATCACCACAACAACTGGCTGGTCTGAGCAAATTCGGCGTGAAGTATCTGAAGGACACCTCAGGGAACGCACCAGCTTTGACTGAGTTGCTGTTTGGACTTCAGGACCAAATCACTGCATTCAACGGTTGGGACACGTTGACGTTCTACGGTCTGTGTGCCGGTGCAAAAGGAGGTGTTTGGGGAGCCACCAACATCATCCCTGATCTGTCCATGCAGCTATGGGATGCTGTTGCTGTGCAGGGTGACCTTGTTGAAGGGAGGAAGCTATGGGCCAAGATCTGGCCAATTTGCAAGTTTTTGGAGTCTCATAACTACGCTGCTGCTGTGAAGACGGGGATGGAACTTGTCGGTCTCAAAACAGGAGGGCTTCGCAAACCTTTCGGTCTGCTCGAACCAGCCCATAAGAAGGAATTGGCTGGTCTTCTCCAGCAAGCCGGTGTTGCTATGGCATGATGCCGACTATTAGTTACTGTGTTTGGGACAGGCCAAGAATTTAGTCTTTCTCGGGGAGTTACAACAATTTACTGAGTGAAAAAAGTGCTTTTGGGGCGATTCTGGTGCACCAATAACCATCAGAAGGCATTTTGTTTAAAATGGTAGCACTTTACGTTGCCATTTATTATAATAAACAGTCAATAGAGTTTATCGGCGTCGCTGAGACAAATTTTGCTACTGGCGAGATTTTTGAGCCCATGCTTGAATCTTGATTTCTTTGTAAATTGACAGATGTAGTAGCTGATAGCAAACCAAACCAAAATGTGTTTGCTATCCTTACTCGAAAACACTTGTAAAAGTTTGCTTCCAAGATTTCCTTGGCTTGGGAGATGCCTCTTTCTCAAGGATCTCCTGCAACCCCGAAAACAAATCCACTTCATGTGGTGAAAGAACCCACGGATCTTTGCGACCCACTGTAAACTTGTGACCAAAGTAAAGAGCGAAGAATATAGGTATGCCGATATAGGACGTCATAAAGCTCGATGTGTCCCACTGATCGCCGACAAAATTCTTGAACCCATTGAGCAAGAGCAGCAGGGAAAACATGAAGGTAGTAACATAAGCCATGTATGGCTGGAAACAAGATCGGAAAGGTATGTCGACAATCTTTTGGACATTGGCTGCTTTGCGGAACCGAATGTACACAATACCCACACAAATCCAACTTTGGAATCCACCGGTGTTGATAAGGTTGACAAACCAGTTGAAAACCGTCGAACCCGTTGAGGATAGATTAAGATAGGATAGGAGCGACAGAGATGCACTAGTTGCCAGGGCATTGTAGGGGACACCAGATTTGGTACACCGAGCGAATGTTGCCGGCGCATTGCCGGTCAATGCTAAGGAATAAAGCGTCCGACTTGCTAGGTATAGGTATGAATTTCCAGCCGACCAAGCTGACAACAGGATAACTGCGTTGATGACAGAGTCCAACCCCTTGATGCCGGCACTTTTGGCTGCTATGGCCCAGGGCGAAGCTGAAGCACTCGACCCTGCGCCAAGCAGTTTCGGGTTGTTGCTCGGAACAATCATACCAATAGCCAAAGCTCCGAGTATATAGAACGTGATGAGCCGGTAAAAGTAGCGTCTGCCTGCAATTGGCAAGTTCTGTCTTGGGGATTCCATTTCGCCGCCAGTAACGACAAGAAGTTCAGGAGCGAAAGCGAAGGCATAAACGGAGAAACAAACTGTTCCAACAAATGCGGACAGCCTACCCGTATCGCCAGAAACGAGGTATTCGTTAACAGGGCCAGGTTCGATCCAATACCGGAATCCTAGACGGTCGTGTGTTGGTCCGCCCCCAAGAACCAAGACAAGCGCCATGATAATCAGGCCGATTATGCCGAAGACTTTGATGGATGCGAACCAGAATTCAGCTTCGCCGTAGACCCCGACAGGGAAACAGTTCAAGGCGATGATAACAACAAATAAGATCGTGATCCATACAGCTATATTCACAGGCGGATTCCAGTATTCGATAACCAGGCTTCCAACAGTTATCTCGGCTGGGACGGTTATGGCAAAGACATACCAATACATCCAACCCAGAGCAAATCCAAGGCTAGGAGAGAAGAACCGGTCGCCGTAATAAGCCATGGAGCATCCAGGAATAGGCAGGTAGGAACTCATTTCGGTTGTACAGGTGACAATGCCGTAGACCAGGATCGAGATCAGAGAGTATGATGCCAGCAGAAAAACAGGCCCTCCCATCTGTAGTGCCTGGCCTACACCGACAAATAAACCGGTTCCGATTGTCCCTCCCAGTGCTATCATTTGTGCGTGGCGCGACTTCAGCCCGCGTTGAGTGCTGTCGCCTCCAAGAGGCTCGGTTTGCCCAACGACATTGGAGGGAACCAGGTGGAGTTCGCGCTCAATGTCAATATCTTTTTTCATCTCCTGATCTCTGTCGGCAGCCATTTTCAATGTATTAACGGATTTGGAACAAAGGGGTAGGTGACCAGAATTTTCATGAGGCAAGCAAACTCAGTTCTTACTTCTGCAATCACTTAAATACCTTCTTATCCTCTGCCTCGGATATCGCTCTCGCTTGCCGGACCAGAAATGCATCCCCAACTTGCCGATCTTACAGATTGGAATTTTTACAGACTCTGACCTGCCGTCGCCCACATATGAGTAACAATGGAACATGTACCCAATAGCTGTCGGCGGTCGCTGTGGGTTGCCTTTCATATATACCTCTTATCTGTCTGTCGGCGGCTCAAGCGGGATATGGCTGCTTCAAGATGCGGGGTATAGCAGACTATGCCCTGTGCAACTAGACTAGCTACCTATGGTTTTCTGGGGTATCGATTCTTGTTTCTCGAACCTTATCATTCCCACTGGACCACATTGATAATACAAAGACTCCAATTCAGATCCAGCTTACAGATGAAATTAGCCGTCAAGAAGAGATTAGTGTATAACGCCTTTTACATAGGGTTATCTCCCACTAGGAATAACTTTTCAATTCGAAAGCTCCATGTTTCGTGACGGTACTATTCTCCAGTGTCAATGTCTGTCCCTCCCATACCTATATGAGAGTGGAGAGCTAAATATCTATATTTAAAGATGACTTACTGAGTTCTTTTTTCAATAATGTATACAAGGTTTGATAATCTACAAGCTGAATCGTTTTATTAGCGATGGTACTAATATACACTACTTTCGTGGCCCGTATTCAATTTAGTAGTGAAAACAAATTTCCATCAGTGAGAATTTACTTCAGTTGACTTTTTATACCTTACGTATTAGGATCCCAAGCAACGCTAACCGTGGCACAACATGTTATCGACTTGGTTCTTCAAACTGACTACCCTCGTTGTTATCATGTAGTTAACAAAGAACCGAAGTCTCTTAAACTAAAGAAAATTTGTAAACTCTCTTTACCCCGAATGCAAAATAACCTGACCTGGATCTATTATTTAGAAAATTAATCCATGGTATCCCTATAAATTTATTTCCGAAGAGACAGACCTAACTACACAAGTAATAAGATGTGGTTATTTCGAGCAGCGTCCGTGTTACACAAACTGCTCTGTTAATGACGTATAACCTATTACAAATCAAATCTATGATGAGCAATCGATATATCGCTTTTGTCAGACGATTCTTCTTTTCTTAGTTGAACAATATGAAACAACTTGGCGGTTGTGTTTGCTCTTCGATAAATAAAAATTATTCCACGCTGGAAGAACAGAATTTTGACCATACTTCTATGTTCAGAGAACAGAGTTTCTAAAATGGAAATTCTCACTCGTATATATGTGGTGAGGTCTGAAGCTACAGTGACGAGTGTCTGGTGGTCGTTATCGATTATGGCGGCGGCTACGGTTATGTGGCCCCACATTAATCGGCCTGTCGGCCAGGGCCGCGGAAACCTTCCCGTTTAGTATCCGGCCATCGCCACGCAAGTCTCTTAACGTCGCGCTCCGCTCCAAAACTCTCCTGATGAAGAAAAAGAGCATGGCGACCAGAGTACCACGATCGCGAACGTTCACTGGATGTGGGACATGTCGATCCCGGCACTTCAAGTGTGACGAAGCTCGGCCGGTGTGCAACACGTGCCGTCGGCTTAAGCTTCCGTGTCAGGGTTATGCTGCCCGTCTTCATTGGATTGCTGATGAGAAATCCGCCCAGGGCAGCAACAGCTTTACAATACACAGGCACGCGTTGTTCAATGGTACGCGTAACTACACACCATCAAAGCCTTTCCAATACGCTACAGTTACTGATTTGTCTGCAGAGGATGACCGGCGCCTAATGAGCCTTGAGCTTTCGGAAAGCACAGGCGGTAAGCCAGCCATGGACATGGTGCTTGAACTTGATGCCAAATGCGAGCGGCGTGACAAAGACCAAGAAGGCGATAATGAAAGTATCACTGCCGGGCCTTTTAGCGTCTTCAGGGCCTACAGCACTCGGACACAGCCGTCGGAGAGCCCTGAGGAAGTTGAGTCGGCAGAGGGTGTTGACAACGTGATAAACGAAGTCACTAATGATTCTTGGGACGCACAGCTCGAGCAGATTGTGGCAGAGCAGCTCCCCAGTCCTCCGATCGACAGCTCTCACGATGACCTCAACCTCACTCAACAGGAAGACCAGCTTCCTATATGGGACACTCTTTCGGGGGAAAACTACGATGTAGACTCCCTATTCCCCAACCTCTCATCTGATCTGGCTTTCCCCCACATGGATACTCTGGACACAGCCGCGATCGGTAACACAAGCAACGAATCCCCGAACACTCTATCACGAGATTTTGCAATAACGCAAACCTACCTTACACCTGTTGGTCGACCCTTTGAGCAAAGTCTTTCCCCAGACATTCCTGTTCTCCTTCGTTATTGCAAATCGAATTTTGCAATGTCGCCGCCCCGATTAGGAAGAAGGCTTTCTCCATGGCAAAGACTTTTCGTACCTTACGTGATGGAAACATTCGGGGAGCTGACACTTGGGGACAACACATCTTGTCCGAGACTTGCTATATTCTACGCTGTCTTAGCAAACAGCGCTTTCCACCTCCAATATTTCAGCCCTTCTCAAAACCATGAGCCCTACTGGCTTGAGAATGGCATCAAATATCAGAAGATGGCAAAGGAATACTTGAAAAAGGCACTCCAGACCGAATACGTGGGCAACTCTCAAGTCAAGTATAAAGAGTTGCTCATGGCAATTTTGGCCATGGCTATTTCTTCGGTATGTGCATTCCGATGAACTTACAACAAAGTTTTTCAGCGTACCTCAAAGATACTTATTGAGTATAGGTATTCAATGAACCACAAAACATTAGGATCTTCCTTCATGATGCGGAGCTCCTTATCCTTCGTCGCGGTGTACCGAAACAGAAAAAATCTTTCAAAGTGCGTTTGCTGCATCACATGTATACACATCTTCGAATCATTGCCGAGAGCACAGCCATCAGCAGCCGGCAAGAGTCACAACATTCTCAAAGTGAAGCAGACCTCACTGCGGTCTCCCGAACATTCCGACTTCCTGAGGAGTCTTTAAATGCGAATCTAGATCCGTCTAGTGAAAAGACGATGGAACTGGGCTACAATGACATTCACCTGAAAGTCCAAGGGAGATGGACAAAAACCATGTACACGGATATTTACGGCATCCCAGAGTCACTCATGACGCTGCTTTCTCAGACGATCTGCCTGGCCAATGAAAAGAAAAGGCTGGAGGGACTTGCAGCCACTAATGCTCAAATATCAGCTGCTTTGATGCGCCACACGAGTACCCTAGAGCAGAATATATGGAGTTGGTCAGTATCGGGAGCCATGGACCGAGCAGGGACAGAGTACGCCAACACACCGGAATCGGTTGGGATCGATCAGAACGCCGTCAAATATATGGCACTCGCGCTACACCAGTCCCTTCTTATATATTTCTATCGTCGGGTATACAACGTCAACGCCATGATACTCCAGGACTTCGTCCGAAAGACGCTCGACTATCTGTTAGTCTGTGCCATTCAAGGTGCAGGTGACCAGGATTTTGCAGCGACAATATCTTGGTCGGGGTTCATTGCTGCTTGCGAAGCAGTAACACCGGAGCTGCAGGAGAAAGCTCTTCAATGCCTTTCTATGTTCAACAAACGAAGCATCTTCTTCGCGTCTGGGGAAATCGTAAGAATTGCTCAGGAAGTTTGGAAACACCGGAAGGAATGCGGAGACAGAAACATCAGCTGGATGGACATGATGTCGGACAAAATGTGAGACATTACTTCTTAGAAAGACATGGATACTTATGACCCGATACTTGCGATTGTAAGATCAATGTCATTTCTCAATCAAACATCCTCAAGTCCACGGCAAACCAGCCGCGGATCTGCGTCAAAGTGGTTAAATAGCGTCACATGGTCATGCAGAGAACTCGGCCCTGAGACTTTGGACAGCTGCACGTCATACGTACCTGTTTTCCCACTTACCGTTTGCGGGAGCGGCTCCAATGCGGATGCGGGGAAGATGTGGACCCTCGGGTCTGCGGGTCGTCAATGCCTTCCTTTCTAAATCGGGCTGCTGACATATTGGAAGTCACATTTGTCAGCCAACGTGGTGGCCTACCTTCTATAGCAGCTCTTCAATTTTATTTAGAGTCGGGTTATACAGCGAAATCTCTGCTTAAATGCGTTGGTTGTTGTTGGAAAGATAGTGTACAACTTTCTCTGGCGACATTGTTTTACTGGTATTCCCATATTGCAACGGAACTCAGAGCCATGGCCAAGATCTTCCTGTAAGAAGCAGACAACCAATAATTCTTCACCCCTGTTAAGACATATCCAGCACAGGTGCGTCCGGGTACATTGGCGGCGAAGCACTGCACGCCATCTATAATTCCCATCCAGAGTATAATATTGCAGCTCTGGTGCGGGATGTAGGAAAGGCTGCACAAATCACCAAAGCCTATCCCAACGTCCGCACTATTTTGGGTGACTTGGGTGATTCGAGCCTCATCTCGGATGAGGTGTCCAAAGCGGACATTGTCCTAAGTAAGTGCCAATGCTTAGCGCTATCAAAAACACTCAATGGAGCTAATCCTTTCTCAAAGACTTGGCGGCTACAAGCCACTTGGGAAGCGCGCAGGCTATTCAACAAGGCCTGACAGCAGGAAGCCGCAAGAGCCCCGGTTAGTGCTAGGTCCTTTCCAGACCCAGGTTTGACATACACACTAACAATGTGGAAAGGGTACTGGCTGCAAATGTCCGGTGCAACTCTACTCTCTTGCGAGGAAATTGCCAACAAACGATTTGGGGAGCCGTCCGATAAGGTGTTCAATGACTTCAATGGCATCGAGGATATTAGGCAGTGGATCAAGAAGCATCCCAGCAGAGCTGTTGACAACGCTGTTCTTAATGCGTCTGCCAAAACTCCAGGCATTAAAACCGCCCTTGTTGTCGGGCCAGTCATCTACGGCCCCGGTAGAGGACCAGTAAATCAGAGAAGCATTCAAACCCCTGAGCTGGCCAAGACGATAATCCGGCGTGGAAAAGCGTGGCAAGTTGGGAAGGGGCAGAGCGTCTGGGATAATGTCCATGTCCAAGATCTCGGCGACATCTTTCTGCGCCTTGTGGAGAGAGCCGCAAAAGGTGACGATTCGAAGCCTTACTGGAACGAGAATGGCATTTACTTTACTGGCACCGGACAACTTGTAAGTCCCGAAGATTTCTCAAGTATTGATAGTCAAGCTAATCATATATCCTTTGACAGCCTTTCTCGGAGCTATCCAGTCGCGTGGCGCAGGCTGCCAACGAACAGGGTTATATCAAAACCCAAGAAGTCGACGCACTTTCACCTGAAGAAGCAGACAAGCTGTTTCCCCATGCCACTTTCCTCCTCGCTACCAATGCTCGCTGCGAGGCTTTAAGGGCGCGTGAGCTTCTTGGTTGGAGTCCCTCCCAGAAGAGCTTAGAGGAAGAAATTCCAGAAACTGTCCGTAGCGAAGGTACCCAGCTGGTCGGCATCCCATCCCTTTAGACGTTAGTGTCTGGTTAGAGTAGCCTATCGTGGTAGGCCTATGAACCAAGTTCGACTTCTCATATAGCGGTATTGATTCTCCTAATAGAAACTTATAAACCTTATCATCTTTTTAAATGGTGGTGCCTGTGGCAAGTTTTTACATGTTACCCTGAACAATAAAAAGGATGACCGTATCGTACGATCTTTGTTCCATTGAATCTAATATTCATAGTAAAGAGCTCTTTTGCGATATTTGCTAATACTAACATCTTAGATCCCGCCTTACTGAAAGCTTACCGAGCAGCAACATAGTGAGAAGTATAAGCTTTTGTTTGTTTTCGCCTTTCTTTTCGCTTGTGTCGCATTCTCAATTTGAATATATTTCTTTATGGGCGCTGTCGCAGTGACATGCACGAGTTCGTACCTCCAGCGTCCAAATCAACGTCAATGTCGTAGTTCTTAGGAATCAGACACGGGATTAATGCAAGATCCTCCTGAATAGACAAGAGTCTAGTGGTTGATTGCGAAAGTATACCAAACGCTAAAGATATAAAGCTTATTTGCCCGCTATACTGTGGTGGCCGGACATTTATCCGTCCCCGCTGCGGGGTTATGGAAGCTGAGAGTGAAGTAGAGTAGTTTGTAGCTGGCTTTGGGTAAACGTTTGTTAATACTCAACTGCCCATTCGCCTTCCATCATATGCGATTGGAAACGATTTGTTAAACAAAGGCGACAAAGATAACGTATACGACAGACTTCTTGCATGTGGTGATAAATTGCGAGCGCATCGGCGTCGTACCTTCGTAAAGGTGGGGTAGAGAAAGGAGGCGGGGTACGGCGTAGACCATGCCTAAAAGGGCTGGCTTTGCTAACCTTGGCTTTTTAGGACCACGGTACGAGCAGCCCTGGAATATTATCGGCTCGGGTAGGGACGTCGCGGAACCTAAATCGCGGAACGGTCTAGGCGGATGTCGTCACAAAATGCCGTTTGCGGATCTGTCCGTGTTGATTGATTGAACCACTGCCACTCCACCTCTTGGTATGTCAACCACTTGTCGCAGATCTTTCTCCTCTTGTGACAGGTATATCCCACAAGCCGTCCCTGAAGGCTGGTGTTTGCCCAATTGGAAAAATACGAACGGGTTGCGAAGGGATATGACACGACCTCTAAGGTTAGCCATGATCCACAATCGCAGCCTCCTCCAGTCGCGATCGGTGCAGTCTGTTCTGTGTCATACTGACGGTTTTCTGTTGACTTTATTCCCTGCCATCAGTTTCGCTCATTACGATGCACTTTTGAGACAGATGAGTAGTCTGAAAAGACAACAACTAGTTTCAGTTATACAAACTCGCATTCAATTTTGAACGGCTGGGATAACAAGACCAAAGCAGCTTTATGAGACCCCTAAGTCTGGGTGGACCCTTGCATATAAACCATTTCTTTCTTGATGGAGCTTTACAGCTGCTACCTTTCTCAACTCCACCACCCATCAACAACAGCCACGTTTAGAAAAGAATGGTTTCTTTGTTACGCGTAGTTTCAACCCTGGGGTAAGCTTTCGCTACCGAACACTCTGGTGTACAAAACTATCTTGCGGCGTAAGACGCCAGGGTTTGGTTTCCTTGATTTGCACTAGAGCTGATGATCGTCCAGCCATAGACTTCGGAGTCGGGGCAGGGATGGACAACAGCATGCTAGATTATGACGGTCGCTTTCTGACGTCAATACAATCCCCTTTCCAGAATCCAAAAGCTGTAGGATAAAGGAGCAGCATGAAGGCTTTGATTCCGAGATTTGCAAAACCAACACATAACATGTAACACACTACGACTATCTCTTTTTGGTACCCCCATCTCTGAACCCTTTACCTTCCGAGATGGCTCCATCGACTCTCAGCAGGTAAGTTGGCAACTTGACAACAGGGCTTCTGGATTTAACGTAACCGTTAGTTTCTTTGGGCATCAATTTTCGAAGAATATGCCTTCCACCGAAATGCATGGCGGGCAGCACAGCAGCATGATAGGACAAGAAATGCCGCCACCGGCCAGCTTTTCAGACCAGGAAGCTCAGCGGGTAACCGCATTGCGCGACGTAACCATGCAAGTAACGAGGAATGGAAACCGAACATCCGCGTCGGCAACTCAAACTTCTTTCCAAGATATTTCCGACGTCGAGGAATTTCTGGACTTTATCGCGTCTCTTCGCCTGCAGTACATGCCCCATAGGGGAAGTCAATGGGATAGGGTGCTTCAACGGGCTGAGTTCTTCTCGACTTCAGTGCACCACTTCCGGAAAGCGCTCAAGGACTTCGTTCCCTCCAGCGATGAGGCGGCTCACCTTGTTTGGGGAAACTGTTGCCTTCTACTGCAAGTTGGATCGCATCGGCTTGACCTGCTAGACAGGGCGTTTGCCTTGTTCTACAACATGGGCCTCGAGCTTTCTTATTTTGTCAGCAACAGCGAGACCTTCTCTGCCAGCGACATCGTCCGGCATATCCTAGCCGATGTTTTCGCCGACCTTCTCCGCTTGGTCACAGGCGTTGCCGAATATTACTCTCGCGGTGGAACATCCAACAGCGTTGCTGAGTTCGACGCCACTTTCGGACGCGCTGCCACTGTCTTTTTCGAACACAGGGACTCCCTTGCCAATGCGTTTTGGACCACTCAGCTGGGAAAAGAATCTTCAATGATCGAGGACATCCGTCAATTCCTGTCACCCAACGATACGATCGCCAAAGAGCTGGTTTCCAACCGCCTTGGGACATGTAGCCGCCATGAGGAGTTTACATGCGAATGGTTTGACACGCCGTTGAAGGACTTCTTCCGCTTTGGCCAAGAAAATGTCTTCCTCATAACCGGCAAATCTGGTTGTGGAAAGAGTGTCTTGGCGGAATGGATTGTTGAGAGGCTGCGTCGTCGACAAGGACGGCTCAGATGCGATGTTATATCCTACTTCATTGAGCCTGACATCAAATCTCAGACATCGCCTCTGAGCATTGTCAAAGGCCTGCTCTTACAGCTTTTCGACAGAAGCGTAGGCAACATCGAAATGGCCGAACGCATCACGTCTCTTCTCAAAGAACAGGTCTGGAATGAGGACAAGATGGAGCAAGCCCTGTGGGACGTCCTCGAAATCGGGTTGAAAGACAAGCAGTTCATGATTGTTATCGATGGGCTTGACCAGCTCGATGGAGGTGACGACGCATGCACCAGGTTTATTGGCCGCCTGCATCAGATGACTTCGAAGTGCCCCACAGGCAAGGCTATTGTGTTGTCTCGGCCACTTAGGAAGTCAGGAACTGGCCATATTCGGCTTTACAACATCGAAGTCAAACACGTCACGGAAGATATCACACGTGTTGTCCGAAGTTTGGTCGCCTCATCCCTTCCAGCGATCTCAATGGATCAAAAGTCGACCATCGTCCAGCGTTTGGTATCTTGTGCAGATGGCTCATTCACACAAGCCGTTCTCATCCTGGAGATCCTCAAGCAAGAAAAGACGTTCGACGGCATCACTCGAACGTTGGACAAGGCCCCAAAGACACTGCTTGAGACGGTGCAAAAACTTCTCTCTTTCCTAAAACTCGATCACAAGGAAACACGGTCTGCCATTTCCTGGCTCTTGGCCGCTCATCGACCTCTCACCGTAGAGGAAATCCGATGTCTGATGAGCATCGACACAGCCAACATGACCAGTACACCAAGGCTCACTGATGCCGAGAACGATGTGCGGAGCGCCCTCGGCCCTTTCGTACGCACTCAAAATGGAGTTGTCCGATTCAGCCATCTACCCATCAGACATCAACTCCTCGAGCTCGCAGCGGGCGTGAAAGAATCCGGCAAGGCCGATGCACGCTTCCCGTTTAGCCTCCAGGAAGCGCACTGCGACTTGGTTCTCAAATGCCTTGCTTATGCGAACATCTCCTTTACGGAGTCACTCTCCCCCACGATGGAAGCCCTTCCTCATGGCCACATGAAGAGACTATTTGAGCGCTATCCGCTTTTGGAATACACTGTGCGGTACTGGGCAATCGATTTCCTGAACTCGCCCATGTGCCAGAAGAATGGCCAACCAAACATCACCAACGAGCTCAAAAAAGTCTTCCCAACATGCACTGCGTTGGCCGTACTTGAATTCAGCTGCTGGAGTCCACAGACCATGGCGACCGACACCATCAAGTTGCAGGAAATGGCCATGAACCTGCGGCAAGCCATCACAGGCGACCATTCAGAGACGACTTTCCAGTCACTGATCGCCATCTCCCGCACATATCAGCAGCTTTCTCGGACCCCCGAGGCGCAGGCGAGCTACGCTCGTACGTTCAAAATCGGCCTCCCGCTATTGGGCCAACTCAACGGCGTGCTAGCCGCGATTGTGGCCGAGTACGTGCAATCCACCGAGAGAGTTGCGCCGCAAAAAGACCAAAAATCCATGGAGGTTTGGGAAGAAATGCTGCAGTATCTGATTTCGTACCTGAAGCATACACGGGGCGCATCGGACTCACTCACCATCAAGTACACGGGTGAACTGGCGGCGCTATACCGTCAGACCAACAAAATCGATCGCGCCGGCGAGCTGCAACGAGAGCGCTACAACATGTGCGTTGAGCACTATGGGCACCAGCATCCCGAGACTGTCAATACGCGCAGGAGCTTGACGCAGCTCCTGAAGGACACTGGCAAGACGTCCGACCTCACTGGGTACGAAGTGTCCAGCTACGAGTCATCGCGCAATTCGCTTCCTCTCACGGACCGCGCTCTCATCGACGCGGCTCTCAGCATGGTGGCCCACTACGAGACGATACAGAAGACGGGCAAGGCAGAGGGCGTGTTGGTGGAGCTGTGGCAGACCATTGCGCGGACGGCCCAGACCAACAACTCGCCTGCACTGCAGGAGCGAAAGGTCCAGATCGCGCTTGAGTACGAAAGCTTCTTGGAGAGCCACGACCGCACTGACGACGCGAAAAACGTCCTTGTCGGCCTCTGGTCCGAGTACGAGAGATGTCTCAACCAGTCGTCCCAGCTGGATTTCACCGAAGAGACGCTGATGAGCGTCCTCACCATCGGCAAAAGGCTGTGCCATCTGTCTTCGCTCAGCACAGCAAAGCTGATATTCATGACGCTGTGGACGTTCTGCAAGCAAAACAACAAGCAGAACAGCGAGCTAGCCAGGGAATCTGCGCTTTGGCTGTCCAAGGTAACCAAGGAAGTTTCTGCCATGACGCAACAAAGCTCCGAGTTCATGCAACAGGAAGACGACTTCCCGGACGACATGTCGGAGCTGGAAGACATGTTCGATTCCCAAATCCAGGTGTCAAGGTCTTTCGTCTTCGACACTTCCACGAAGCCGGGCACGTCGGCCCCTGGCGAGCACACCGGGCACTCAACGCAATCGGGAGCTCTCATGACCGCGGAAACACTATCCGCACTGTATGTGCGGCAGGAGCGGTGGTCCGAGGCCGTCAAGGTCACGTTCAAGGTGCTCGAGGTCACCTGGCCATCGATAGTGAACGGGGACAAGGCGGTCCTTCCCTTGCACAACCGCAACGAAACCATCGACCTCGCCAAGCGCCTGGCACTGTGCTACTTCAAGCAACGACGGATCGGCAAAGCCGAGCTTGTCCTCGTGCACGTTTTCCAGTCGTGCAAAACCCTGGGCCCGCAAGACGGCCTGTTCCTGGCGGCGATGAAAGAGCTCGAGGATTTCTACGAGACGACGTACCAGTTCGAAAAGGCCATCGACGTGCTCGGCGAGACGTACGAGCTGCAGAAGAAGAACCTCAAGCCCAGACACGCCACTACCATCGAGACAGCGTACCGGGTGGGGCGGCTTTGCAGAGAGCTGCACCGGATCAAGGACGCCGAGAAGTATTTCTTAGAAGTGGTTACGGCTTTGGATTCTGGGAGCAACATTCTCGAGTGGGGCGCGGTCGAGGCGGCGCTCGCCTTGTGTTCGATTTACAAGGAGCTGCAGCAGTGGAAGGCGGCCGAGCACTACTACACGCTGCTGTGGCAGACGTTCCTCCAAAAGGCCGAGGTCCCTTATCGCTGGATGCCTGACACCGTTGAGAGGATGTTCTACGGCTACTTTGGGTTGCTTGACAATAGGCTCCAGGTTGAGCACAAGATGCTCATCCGAATCTCAACAGAGTATCGAGAGAGGTGTCTCAAGCTCTTCAGCGGGCAAGACGAGATGGTAGCCAAGGCGACGATTCATCTGGCGGTGGTGTATGGGCGGTCGGACGAGCACCGCTCGCAGGCCATTTCGACCTACGAGAGCGCCTTCTCCAACACTTCCAAGAGCCCGAGCTTCAGCAAGACGACGATCAAGCAGATTACGCAGGCGAAGCAGAACCTCGCGCATTTGTACTCGACCCAGGCTTCCACGAGCAACAAGGGCGTGACGCTGTACGCGGAGGAATACCAGCAGATCGTATCCCGGGAGGGGTATGCCTCGGACCAGGCCATTGGGCAACTTACCAAGATGACTTCGTCCCTCTCCAAAGAGACGAACCAGGAAACCATCGGCCAGGTTCTGCAGCTTCTGCAAGCCTCCGTGACCAAGATCGCGCTCACTGAAACGGATCGCCGGAAGTTGTTTGTGTCAGCGCAGGCGATGGCCAGGCTCTACCTGCAGCTGGGCAAGAAGGACACGGGGATGTGGATCCTCAGCGAGTTCCGGAGGCAGATCATCACCGAGGAATACGACTCCAAGCTCAGCATCAAAGGCGCGGGAAGGCACACTCTCGTGTTCATAGTTGCGTTTGAGGAAGCGCTGCGCGGCGCAACGACCAACAGCCTCTTCAGCGAGCTCATGGCGTCGCTGTTGAACGAGCATCTTCTCTACCAGAGCTACGTCCAAGCAACCAAGAACAGGACCAGTTTCGAGGTTACCTTCAGCCATGGGTCGCGTCTGTGCTTGCTGTACAAGCAGGCGCAACGTACCGAGGAGTTCAAGAAGGTCGAGCGAGACCTGTTCAAGCAGTTCGTGTCCTGCTTCCAGACCTCAGAGTCCTCGCCCATGGCCAAGGAGTTCTTTGGCATCTGCATCGACGAAATGGGCAAGAACGACAGGGACTTTGCGGTTGTTTCGGCCACGAGCACAAACGTGCAGAAGTACATGGAAGCGTCCAAGTTCAAGGAAGCGTACGAGCTGTCGGTTTTCATCGACCGATTCCTCCAGCTCTATGGCGGGTATCAGAACCGGCAGAACATTGAACTCGCCTTTAAGCTCTGCCTTGGGCTGGCAGGGCGCGGGACCCGCAAGTGCCAGGAGCAGAAGCTGCACCAGCAAATGCTCGATCTGTCCGCGTCCATCCTGCAGAGGGTGCTGGAGTCCTTCCGGCGCTCCGACATCAGCTTCAGCGCCATGTCGCTGGCCGAGCTGAACGATCTGGTCGGCTTGCTCGGCGAGCAAAAAGCGTATGAAGCACTAGAGGTCAGTTGGGAACGCTTCCGCGCAGGATCTTAACCCCCCAAAAACCCCCGTCGCTAAAAAGTCTTAGATGATTCTCTCGACGCTGTGGACGTCGCGGCACTCGCAGACGGTGTGGTCGTCGGCCGTCATGGTCAACATCGGGCAGCGCCTCGTCGAGGTGCAGTTTATCCTGCCCGGGCGGCGCGAGCACGCCATCCACCTGGCCGAGGACATGACGTACAACCTGCGGCGGGTGTGGGGGGCGGTGGACGCGACGACGCTGGAGATGTTCGAGCTGCTGGGTAGCCTGTACACGGCGGACGGGAACCACCGCGCGGCGATGGGCGTGTACGAGCGCGTGCTGCGCGAGGTGCTGGATGCGTACGAGGAGTACGGCATGATTGACACGGCCGAGGGCGCCCAGCTCGCCGTCACGTACCTCGAGCTGCTGAAGCGCTCGTTCCTGCGCCTGGGCGGCTGGGACAAGGACGCTGCCCAGTACCGCAACCTGTACGGGCAGCTGCGGGAGCTGTTCCAAGGCGAGCAGGCGTGGTCGGCCAACGCCGTCGCCAGCCACGGCATCGACTGGAACGTCAAGGAGAAGGGCAACGGGCTGGGCATGTGGAAGCAGCCGGCCTCGTTCGAGTTCTACACCGAGAGCGAGAAGATGAAGCACCAGAACCACTTGCGCCGCACGAGTGGGCTGCTGAGCGTCACCGATCTGCTTCGCGGCAATGGCCAGGGCAACTTCTCGGGCAAGTCGTCTGGAGGCGCTGTTCAAGGCGGCTTCGCGAGCAGGACGAAGGAAGGGTCATTCCAGGAGTCGAGGGATGGAGATCACCGCTCTCAAAAGACTTCTTCTCCGCAGATGGTGGAGACTGCGGAATTTATGAATATGAGTGAGGGTGGGCCGGTGGGAGGGCAGGCCAAGTCCAAGGTTGCGACCACAAAAGGGTAGTTCTGCAGTGTCATTTGAAGTTTTCGGGTAATGGGAGAGTGAAGGATCAAATTGTAAATAGCGAATCGAAGCTTGTTGTTGATGAAGAATTGTTTACTTTTATTCCTACTACCGGCCGTTATTATAATGTAATCACAGGGCCCAGCCCAGACCTCCTCTTGCCAACAAACGTTGTCCGCCTCTGCAAAACACCCCCCTCCCGAAAAGCAGAGACTTGAGTAAGACAAGACACGGGTATACAGCAACCTACAGCAGCCACCGCCGCCGCCACCGCCACCTCAGCTCAACCCAGCTCATCCCATCCCCCCCACCGTCACCGCCCTCGTAGCCAAGACCTCGATCCTCCTCGCATACAACCTCATCATATGGCAGACGGGGTCGCCAAAGATGACGGCGCGCAGCTGCTCGTCCTCGACGACGCAAGCCTCGAGGTCGTGGTCGTTGTGCGAGTGCTGCAAGGCGGCACCAGGGTGTCTCGCGCCGGGGCGATCGCGCAGGAGCACCAGCTTCCCCGCGCAGCTCAGCGTGCCGGGCGGGACCTTCCACGAGGGCATGGGCAAGAGGTGCGCGGGCGCAGGCGCGGACCAGCTGCTCGCCTTGGGCTGGTGCGGACGCTTCGCCGCCGCCGCCGCCTTCTTGCCGACGCCGAGGAGGTTGGCCGAGCTCTGCAGCGTGGCGCTTGAGAGCGTCGCCAGGCTGCTGTTGTGCGGCGCGGGGTTGGCGTACAGCCGAAGTAGGCTTTTGATGACTTCCTTGTCGGCGCGGATGACGGGGTCGCCTTCGTTGATGAAGGCGAAGAAGAGGCTTTTTTTATGGCGGGGGCTGGGCGGCTTCGAGAGCGGCAGCAGAGTGACGGGCGGCGCGCCGAACGTGACGCAGTGGACGCGTTTGAAGAAGTCGGTTAGCCGCGTGAGTTCGGATTGGACCGTCGTCGAAAGCATGTGCGCGTAGAGCAGGGCTGCGACGGCGCCGCCGGCAGAGTGGCCCGTGATGAGGAGGGAGCAGGTGGAGCGGTGCGGGTTCTCGGAAAGAAGGGTCCGTAGACGTGCTGCTACTGGTGCAACCATCTTCCGTGCGACGTAGAGGAAGCCAGCGTGTACCATATTGCCCGGATCGTCCAGAAAGTCCTTCGGGGAAGACGGCGCCGGCCTGAAGTTGACTGCCCAATCCATGAAAGTTTGGCTGCCGCGGATAGCGAATACTATCGTGTTCATGTCGTCGACGGGAACACTCTTTAGTACCATTGCTTTTGTACCGCTTCGCCAATTGGCATCAACATGCGTCTCAGACTCTCCTCCAGTTGGCCGGTAATAGGCTTTCTCCGAATATTGAGCGGCCAGGCACAAAAGAGGCCAAGTTGGCATATAACTAGTCTGAGCTTAGCTGAAAGGCTTAGAATAGTTTTGTAAGTTGCTTCTTACACTTTCAAAGGCGGCAAGTATGGCGGAAGACGGGAATTGCCGTATAGCCAAACTTTGCTGAAATGATTTGCGTTCGTCTGGGTGGACAGCTGACCCGATTGGGTTCCTTTGGGATCGTTCTCATAGCCAAGCGGCGGCGAGTACTGCGGCTGTTGATATTGAGGGTACTGGTGCATGACTAAAACTGGTAAGATGGCAGAAAGAACTGCAAGGACAGAGTCATCTTACCTGGTTCCGTCTCGCCTCCGAATCTCCCCGAATCTATGCACGTTAATATCTCATCGAGCTTGTTAGAGATGGCATCACAAAGTGCAGAGGTCTGAGCCATGTACTGCGTCGTCTTTTCGTGGAAGGTTTCGTTCAGGTTCGTAACAGACTGGGAAGCCAGCCTTGATTTCTGGCAAATTAATTCCGCTGGGGGGCTTATCTGCTCATTCAGCGCGTCTCTGAGATTTGAAAAGGATTGAGATGCCAGATGGCGAGGCTTCCTAAGAGTCCCACGTAGTCCTGACGTTGGCTTATCCAGTGCAAGCTGGGACCCACTTGCAACGAAAGAATTCGAAGATTGCGTGCCTGGAAACGATACATAGGACTGAGAGGCATCCCCGTATGCCCCGTATGGATCTGGTGGGGAGAGGTAGGGTCCGGTATTCTCCGGCGGCGGCAACCACGCAGGACTGGAGCTCGCATGGTACATCGGCGGCGGGGTCGCTGCAGGGAATGAAGACAAGGTATCGACAGGAGGAGACGGAGGAGGCTGCGCTGGAGGAGGAGCAGCATGGTAGGAGTACGGAGGAGGGGTAGCAGCAGAAATTGTCACCGCCGGCATAGAGGCAGGAGGGTGAAGATATGTAGTTGTTTGACTCCCAACATCGTACTGAAGCTGGGGCTGCGCTGGCGGCGGGCCTGGCGCATACGCGGGCTTCTTGTGCCGCTTCGGCGAGCTCTTTCCAAAGGAGAAGAGTGTCATTGCGAGATCATTGATTCTTCTGGTGGTGGTTTTCTTCGCAGGCCAAGCTCTTTTAGTCCCGGGAGACGTGTGGGCGAGGATGGGTGAAGTCTAGATAGAGCGCTGACTCGGGCGCCGACCAAGCCTCTACACAGCCTCCACACCGAAACTTGATAGGCTGTAGCACCAGTGAACGTTGCGACGGTAGTTCCGACGGCAAAAAAACGTGACCTTGGAAAGACGATCGGATCAACGAGGCAATTGTCCTTCAGGAGAAGAGACAGACCCGCAGTGGGAGATGACCTGAGGAAATAGGAAACGTCCTGTCGCGCGATCGACCGTCGTCTCGTCTGCCGAGGGATGGATCAGGCCAAGTGCGCGTGGAAGATTTACATGCACGCTCAGCCACAAGAATCGTGCTTTCGCCATTCGCGCCTTCTCTCGCTGCGTTTCCCTGCTTGCTTGCCGTTGCACGAGGTCGGGGTACCGTCAGCCGTGCATGCATGACCAGGGGCATTATGCATCTCGTGCATCTCGCTTTGAGTTTGTCGCGAGTCGCCGTCTCAAACAGATGACCTGGGTGATTGGCCTTTCTCCTAAAAGTCCACGTGACCATCCCGGGCAGATCATCGCATCCGGACATCAACAAGATAGGCCAACTCCTCCGTATAGGTACATAGGAATACAATAGCAATAGCAGTAATAAAACATGTTTCCCATTGAACACTGAACGTTACACTTTGGCGAATCGATCTCCGCCATTACGCCTTCTTTTCCAAGCCGCCCCGCTATGCCAAAGGTCGTCGGGATAACCAACCCATCGCACATGCACCCCCCAACGAAAACACGCGACCAAGACGCGGGAACAATGAATCCAACCAAGCCAGAGCCTTCCCCCCTTTCTCTGCCTTGCCGTTTCCGAGTGATTAGAACATAACGTTAACCATGCTTCCAACGACACCTTCATCTCACCAAGCCGAGCCAAGACGGGCTAATTACAAGACTTCAACGACTCGTCATGGTGGCGGTTCGTAGAGCGTTGCTTTTGATGAATGACTGCCCGCTTGCCGCGGTGGGTAGGAATGGACGCCGAGTCGATCTCGGCGCTGACTGTGCAGCGCCACGGCGGAAAGGATTGCGAGCCTTAAAATTCTCCAAACAGATGCGCGTGCCTACAGGTGCACATTTTCGTTAGCCCCCAACTCAAGAAAAGGCGCAATTCGCGCCTGGAATGGGCGCCGACGTTTCGTTCCAATGCCCGAAAAAAAGTGGCAAAGGACGACGTGGCCATGGCCGGTACGAAGTGGGGAAAGGGTCCAACTTACGGATCCTCGCCGCTTGCCCCATATGCTTCCGTCTCCTCGGGGTACTTGTCGAATTGACTCGCATCGCCGGCGCCGGCCCTGACCGGTGGCACATACGGCGCATCAATGTCCTTCTTCGCAAGCCGTTCCCAAGTAACTTCGGCAAACCACGGGTGGTTCTTCACGTCGGTCGATCCGCCGTGCAAGTTGCCCAATCGCTTCGTCAGATCGGGCGTGATGAGCTTCATCAGGAGGTCTTGCGCATCGGGATGGACGTAGGGCGGGTATTTGACGCGCCCCTTCAGGATATTCTCGTAGATCTTCATGGGGGATCCGCCGTCCCAGAAGGGGGTGAAGCCACAGAGCATTTCGAAAATTAATATGCCCAGCGACCACCTATCAGGGTCAGCAGATGTTGTTCCGAGGCGCCTTTGTGCCCTTTTGGAGACACGGCGCCAAGCATTGGAGCCAGTCTTACCAGTCGACGGATTTGTTGTATCCCTTGGAAGCGACGACTTCGGGCGCAAGGTAGTCTGGCGTTCCGCACAGCGTCCAGGTGATGTCGGGTACCTCCTTCGCGAAACCAAAATCGGTGATTTTGAGGTGTCCATGGCGGTCGAGCAGCAGGTTTTCTGGCTTCAGGTCACGGTAGATGATGTTGTTCATGTGGAGGTACTCAAGGGCAAGGGTGACTTCGGCGGCATAGAACTTCGCGACGGGGTTCGGAAAGCGCTGGATTGACCGTCAGTAACGGTCGGCGCGCAATGGAAGATGAGTCAGGGACGACGGCATACCTGCGACTTTCTTAGGAGACTGAAGAGCTCACCGCCCTCGACGAAGTCCATGACCATGTAGAGATTCTTTGAATCCTGGAAGGTCCCCCACAGCGTGATGAGGAAGGGGTGCTTGACCTTTTGCAGCATCCTCCGCTCGTCGTTTGTGTGCTCGACCTGCTTCATCTTGACGACCTGGGCCTTCTTGAGGACCTTGATGGCGTAGTAGCGCTGGTTGTGCTTGGACTGGACGAGATGCACGCGGCCGAAGCTGCCGGTGCCAAGGGTGCGTTGGATGGCAAAGTCATTGAGCGTGTACTTGCCCTTTGTCGTGCGGACCTGAGCGGGTTGGGAGGGCTGAGGGGCGACGGCGGCGCCGTTCTGCGCCATTGCCTTGCTCTGCGAGCCCACCGAGGCATTGCCGTATGAGGGCGACGCCGAGGACGAGGCGCTCTGAGGGTTGATGAGATTGTGTATGCTGGGCAGCTGGTGGCTTTGTTGGTTGGGCTGCTGCTGCTGCTGCTGCGGCTGCTGCTGCTGTTGTTGTTGCTGCTGCTGCTGATACGACGACGGGCTGGCGCTCGGCTGCGGGGACGCGTACTGGGGATAGGATGACGAGTTCATAGGTTCGGCGGTGCGCGACTGCGTCAGGGAGTCCTGAGCGGAGTCGGATGCGGAGGCGGACTGGGGCGTCGACTTTGTCTGTGACAAGGGCGGGTGGTCGGCGGCTTTGGGAACGGTGGGGGTGACGGGCGACGGCTGCAGGCTGTCCTTGTCCTTGGTGGGAGACGACGGGGGGTCCAGGTCGCGAGAGCCGCCTGACGAGTCCTTCGTCCGCTTCTTCTTCAGGAATCCGAGAGTCGGCATGAAAGCGATGGATGAAGCCCAGGGAGGCTGGAGTCGGTTCCCTTGAGCAGCAGCTGCGCCCTGGGAGGTGCCGTCGGTGCTGCAAGGTGGATCTGGCGCCGATCCTGGACGCGTTCGGAACAGACGGCTGCGGGGGTGCTGGACGGAGTATAAAGGGCTGCAAAAGGCGTGGCCAGCGCAGAGAAACTAGGTGCAATTATGGAGGGGGGGTAGGGACGGCGGCGGTCCGGATGACGCTCGACTATCGGTCCGCTGGGCGAGGGTTCAAGGTTGGGCTGGCTGGCTCTGGCAGCAGCAGGAGCAGGAGGAGGGGGGGGCAGCGCGACCGACGGGCGGGCCATGGGCACCGCCTAAATAATAAGAGGCCTCGCTGGCTAGACCGCGCCGGGATCAAGCCCACGTCCTGAGGATCTTCCACTCCTCGACCGGCCTGCTAATTATACGCTGACGGCCTGAGAACGTCACCGCCCAAGCTACCACGGCTCCGCATGCGGCGGAGCGAAGGCCTGCCTTTATCTCGCCTTTTTTTCCTTTTTCCCCTTCGCCTGTCCGTTTTGCTACGAGTCTCGGAGAATACTAATATCTATCTACAACCCCAAATCTCCCTAGACCTACTTTCCTTCATAGCTCGCCCTCCTGCTGCACCCTCGGACCTCGACGCCACGTCAACAGCTCCAGCCCGCACACGTCCATCCGCCTCTCGCGAAACTTGCTGTACAGCTTCTCCCACGCCCACCGCGCCTCTGCCTGTTGCGGTCGCAATTGCACCATCTCGCCGTACGGCACGTCGTACTCAGGGCCTGGGAGCTCCGGATCCGACAGCCGCACGTAGGCCGTCGACGCCAAAAACTCGGTCGAGTTGAAGGCTTCGGGATCCGCCAGGTGTCGAAGCGCCGGCGATTCGTAGTAAAGCGTTACCTCGAGGTGCGGCATTGGCGGGAGAATCGACGTCGCGGCGGGGAATAGCTCTTGGAAGAGAGCATGATCGTTGCTCGGGTGTTCGGCTCGGACGCTGGAGAGCTTGGAGAAGGTGGACGACGAAGGTTGAAATAGCATGAAATGTGTCGAGATCTTCGAGGGAGAGTCCTCTGCCGGTAGCGCAGCGAGCTGCTGGGGCTCGGAAAAGGCGAGTAACGAATCCATCGCTAGCGAGTCGATTATGACGCCGGACGGCGCGAGATAGAGAAGGCGATCAAAGTCTGCGAGAGAGAAGATACTGGCAAGGGAATACGAGGAAGGAAGCGATTCTTTTCCATCTATCGTCAGCCAAGATGGTCGATTCCGTGTGTAGGCTGGCAACTAACCGTCTGCGCCCTTGACAATTGTGCCCATTGGCCTCAAAACGACCTTGTATCTTCTCACAGCTGCCCTCAACAGCCTTCTGGTTGTCTCCACGTACGGATCAATCTCGTCTCCGTCCTCGATCCAGCTCCTGGGAAACATCAAGATGCGGGTCGCGGGGCTCTTCTCGCGGTGCAGCTCCGCAAAGAGCATGACGGCGGTGCAGACCTCGGCATGATCCTTCACCAGCTGCACGTATCCGAGCTTGCGCCAGTTGATCAGGGTTTCGTCCAGCAGCGTGTCATATCTGGGGTCTCGGTAGCCAAGTCGTCTGGATAACCTCGCGGCGGGGTCGAAGGGTTCGGTAGGGGCCTTGGAGGCGATGGGCGAGGGTATACGAGGCTTGATGGCGTCTTGCAGGCCGCGCACAGTCTGCTGCTGGAGGATGTAGCCGGCGAGGAAGAGGAGAAAAGTGAAGACGACCACTATGCATGGTCAGCGCCAGCAAGCATCCCTTGCAGGTCTCGACGGCGTACCGATGCCGGAGGAAATGGCCATGGAAACCTGCCCACCCGTGAGCATAACCATCATCACAAATGACTATACATGAGACTGAGGGCCGCCGTGCAGATGCGCAAGGGCTCGGCTCGTGCAACCGTTGAGGTCCGGCTGTGACGTGGGCGTCGAGTAGGTACGCGCGAGGCTGGCGGGCTGTGTTGTCAAGAGCAACGTGCTCATCATCCTGCTGCCGCTACGGATTAGGTACCTCGGCTCCTCTGTACATCTTTCGTCCCCACGATCAATCGGCGCTCCACAGCACTAAAGGATCTACGAGCACACGAATGATTGCTCTGGATGCCTATAAATACATTCTATTGCCTAGCGATCTTTCCTGTCTAAATTGCGACGCTACCTTCCCCCACCTTCAGGAGCTATGCCGAGCTTCCAGGCGTCCTAGGTTGCCGGATCATGCACTGACGGTTTGTACATTAGGATCCGCAGATATAAACAGAAGCACCGCATCCACTTACCGTGTGAGTATTGACACCCTTTCCGCCGTACTTGGACATGTCAAAGGGCAAATCCTTGATGGGCACAAAGCCATTCCTCTCATACAGCGGCCGGCCCATCTCCGAGCCCTCGAGGTAACATTCCAGGCCAGCTGCATCGGCGCACTCCATGCCCCATTGCAACAGCATGCCGGCAGCCCCCCGGCGGTAGTGTTTTCGATCCGTAACCAACAGGTGAAGGACTGTTAGGGAAAAGGTTGGCAGGCTTATTCAAGCAGTGTTGTTATGTTATTCAAGGGAATGCTTACGATAGTACGGCCTTGTGCCCATGACCTCTCTTCTCGCCGAGTACAACATCCCCATCATGGCCTTCAATGCCTCCGGATTGGCATCGGGAACAGGCTCAGGGACTACGAGAGACTTCTCGAGCTCTTCCTGTGTTCTCTCATGGTCATAAAATGCCCACTTGGCGGCGGCTATCGTCTCCCCCGTCTCTGTATCAACGACTTTCATCATTCGTGTTTCTTTGTCTTCCAAGGCCTGTCGGAAGCGGTTGGCATGAATCGATCTACTTTCAGGTCCTAGGTCTCTCGCCCAAATACAGCTGCCAATGGCCGGCCATGGACGAAAAGCCTCGTAATGAAGGCGGACAAAATCATCAATATCGGAAGGCCCAATGGGGAGTACCTTGAGAGGCATGTTGTGAATTGAAGTGTGAAGGTAAGATTGCAGCGATAGTACAGTAGTCCTCCGAGCAGCAGACAAAATGTTCAGCACCATGATATATCCATAGAATGAAGTGTTTAGAGTCACTGGGAGCACATAATGGTCACCGCCGCTAACCTGAGTCACCGACGATTGCTGACATGCAAGGTCCTTGGGTCGGGTTTTAAAACACCCTGCACACGCATTTCCACGTGGGGCGCAAGACACGAGGCGCATGTGGGGGTGTGATGTTAATGACTTCAAGATTAGCACTCAAAAACAAGATGCACCAGTAACGTCCGTCACCGTGAAGCGAGATGGTGATATTTGTACGGAGTAGAAGAAGAGACCCAGTTAAGATATGTAGAGTCTATGTGTGCTCTAAGATCTTTTCACCCATACTCAGGACTCGGGATGGGAGCTAGGCAAGGAGTACTCTGTAGGAACTGCTTGTATCGTCCCCCGTCTCGCTGGTTGGAGATGGAGAGCGCCAGCAGCCCTACGAAGTATGACCTCGGCGCGTGTCACAGGGACCCGCCTGCCCGCCAAAGTTCCCACAACTCCAAACATCTCTGCCCAAGCCCAACCATCACCATTCACCGTCTTGCCCGCCACTGCGACACACGAAGCCTCGCGCGACGCTCACTCCACCGTCGGGACCCTCGCGCAGTCTTTCCGCCTTCGCCAGGCGTTCACCGGCGAAATGGCGAACAATCCGGCCGACGCAAAGACCGCCTTGGACAAGCGCGGAGACTCCACAGCTTCGGTCGAGAGCTAGATCTAGCTGGGTGATCCTGCTGCTCCCTTCATCGAACAGCTGCCCGCCACACCGCCACCGAGTCCTACTACTGGAAAGAGCAGTGCCTTGGTCTCGACGCCGCCGTGCGTGACGGATTCGCGCCCTCACGGACATGGATCGTTCCATCGATGGCTTGATATATTAGGACGGGTATACGCGGTGGGCCTTATGGAACTGCCTCGAAGAACTCTTACGGATGAGTTGGAACACTTCTATCCGAGAGACAGTCTCTTAAGTGACGGAGGAATTGGACAATAAAGCCCAAGGTGGGTGTGCGTGAGATGAGAGCGGCATAATTGAAGAGCAATCCCCGCCCGATCGCTACTCATCGACAGATGTATGATTGGTTTCGGAAGCCATTGGACGCAAAATTGAAGCTTTGCGTTCATATCCACGTCTATATTCACACCAGTACGGCTACCGACGTGGATCTCACTGTCCAGTCGTGCACGATACTTCGGAGGACGGTGTGGTCTGAAAAAATGTAATTGTGGATACTTCAAGTGACCTGAAGAGACAGCTTTGAAGAAGTTCAATTCCAATAGCCATGGCAGGTTCTGTAGGAGTACGTGCGAGCTGGAATCTACACCTGTTGAAACATTGCTGGTCAACATTCCTGCGATGCACGCGGCTGTCAGGCTGTACCTGTGCTTGCCTTGTCTCTTCATCAAGTGCAATGCATGGTTTGGTACCGGCTTCGTCGGAGGGATGGCTTTTACTTTGACAATTGAGTGTCTTTTCTCCCTCTTGCAGCGGACTTCCCTCATCTTCGGTACGCACCCCTAATGCATGTTGGGCAATGCCTGCAAACGCAGCGTCGGGAATTGGGTTGTCAAAGGTGGTCACAACGTTAGGGGCCCTCACGCAGCCATATCAAAAGGCCGACCCGTTCCTGCCGTGCTTGGTTGCCGGCTAGGGGTATGGGTCTCCGTAAATGGCTCAAGTTTGTTGTCAGCGGAATCCAATGATTGACAATTGGCTGTTGTACTCGTACGTGGTCTTTCAGGACATTCACATGCACAGCTATAGCAAATGTTCCTCCTTCACAAAGCTTCACCAGATGACTGCAATGGATGGAAGCAATAATGTTTTGGAGAGGACCTGATGGCACAACCAGTCGTCCCAAGTGCTCTTTTAGCCAGGCGAGAGTCGACAAGGGTGCAAAGCCACTCACCCACTGTGGAGCGCCACTTCCCTGATACGCACGGGCCAGGGTAGCGCGGGAGATTGACATTCGTCTTCATCCAAACAGTAACACGCAAGCATGATCGCTATGCCAGCTCAGGCGCGGTGGAGGAAAGCGGGCCTGGGTACACGGTGTCAACAGGAGACGAACGGAGAAGCAACGCGACGCGTGGACTTGATGGAGAGCGACAGCAGGGTGACAAGTGAGAGATGCACGAAGGCGGGGTTGTTCCTGACACTGACGACGAGTGGCGGGAGAGTCCGGGGCAGCGACGTCAGGCTTGCGCATTCCGCTCAACGGCCTTCCGGGCCACATCCCTGTCAACGCCATCTCTATCCGGCCGCGCTTCCCACGGGCGAGAATAAACTAGTAGTGCCGCGGCTGCCTCGACTTCAGCGCGCGCGCCCTTTTGCTCTTTTGCATACTTACAAGCGCCTGCCTCCCGCTCTTCCACCTGCTGCCACTCCAGCAAGCACCACCCGCCTCTGCCCGTCTTGCGTCCCGTAGGTATCTCTCGCAGCTCTCAATTCCCTTTTCCCTCCCTTCACTCAGAATTCCGTCATCCTTACCCTGCTCTCCCCACCATGCCAAGCATTCGCGCCTCCGCAAAAGGCCTCGTCCATGGCCTGAAGCCTGTTGCGTCAGAAGCTGACCTCCTGTCAAAAGCTGCCACCACCCGCCGTCCGCAGACCATCATCACCTCATCCAAATCCTCTTTCAAACTCCATCGTCCTTCCCACTACCTCCGCAAGGAGCGATCTGCCGCCGACATGGATCTTTCGCGACCAAAGCTCCCCGTGACCATCACCTACTCGCACCCAGACACGCAGCCGCCCGTCTACCTCGCGTGCTCGGTCACAAATCCGCCATGGGAGCCGATGGAGATGGCCGTCAAGGAGGAACGATCGTCGCAAGGCGATCTGATTTTTGAGAAAACGCTCGACGCGGTTGAGCCTGGAGAGTATCAGTACAAGTTCAGGCTTGGTCCTGGAGATTGGTGGGTTATGGATGAAACGGCACCGAAGAGTAAGACATTGGCGCCTCCTTGCATGCCCAGAGACTAACCGGAATGCAGTCTCGGACGGTGCAGGAAACAGCAACAACCTTCTCACCGTTAAAGAACCAACTGATGAGGCGATCGAAAACAAGAAGCTCGCCATGCATCGAACCACATCTGCTCCCGATTTCGTCGCAGACGCGAAACCGACCAACGGCGAGCAGCCCAACGGAAACAGTATGGAGCCAAACCCGGCAATGCCATCTCCTGTGCTTTACAACCTCTCTCGCACTGCCTTCGATCCAGAACAACCCTCTGACGGCGCTCCGGCTCAAGCCTCGGGTGAAGACCCGGCCATGCGAAAATCAGATACAAACGCGGATGCCGAGGCCTCAATGACGGAGGCTCGCGCTGCTGATACCGAAGCTGAGCATGAAGGGCGATTGGACGTGCCCACCCTTACCGTGGAGAAGAGCGACGGTAAGCCCAAGCCGGTCATTTTGGACGAGCAAGAGGAGCAGCCAGCCATGGCCTCTATGTATCCCGACTTTGCCCGCGTTTTGGGCGATGACGCCCTCGGCTTTGGCCAAACGCCTGCGGACGAAAAAGTACCACTCCTGCCCCATGAGTCCTTCAGTGCAATGCTCGAAGATACCGACGTTCCGCTCTTCCGTCACGAGTCGATTGCTGCCGATGAAAGCTCATCCGAGGATGCCGTGGATGAAACCGAGTTCGTTCCCATCTCCTACGAAGGCGGTGCTCCTCTGTTCCGCCATGAGACTTCGCCTATGATCGGAGGAGCCGACAGCCCGCCGCGGAGCCCCATTGCGAGGAGCTCACGGTCACACACTTCGCTGAAAGACATGATGGACGAGGAGGATGTCAATGACCCCTCGCTGGTGCCCTTCCCTACCAGGCGCGAGACCATATTCGAGCACATCCGGAGCCTGGAAAATCGCATGGAGGAAGATAAGTCGATCCCGGATGAATCCCCGCCGTCGCCCACGCAAAACGAAGCCCCCTCTCCTCAAATGTCGAGGAACAGCTCGGCCGTGGACCTCCGCTCATCATCGCTCGACTCGATCCAGGAAGGCGAGGAAGACGAGGACGATCTGGCTTCTTCGGCATCCGCGGCCGAAGGAGAACAAGTGGTAACTGCTGGTCCCACCGAGTCCGCGACTCCGGTTCCCGGTTCGCGCTCTGTTCCGACGCCGCCCTTGACGCCGCAAGGGGGCAAAGGTGAAGGGAAGACGACGCGTAGCGACTCTCTCGTTATGCCAAATGGTGAGCAACCTTCGCAAGCAAAGGACGCTCCCAAGAACGCACCAGCACTTCTTGACGAAGAAACTCCACTGTTGTCTGCTACTGAAGATGACAACCACGCACTGACCCCGCCGAAGAGCGCAGGTTCACCTGAGCGGAAGAAAGCAGGGTTCCTAATCTCGTTGTGGAACATGGTCATTGGCAATTGGTTGGGCCGGCTGGGGAGGTGGTTCTCCAGGGTGTGCGGAGGCAGGGGACGCGCTACGTAAGGCCCGCTTCATCCACGCTCGTTTGTTCTGGAAAGCTTCTCGGAGGGGCCCGTGGCGCTTTTCGCTTCCCGAGACATCCGTTATTTGCGACTGGAGAGAAAGCGGGCTGACAGTTGTCGTCGTGCGCACAGGGCTTTGGTCTTGACCACCGTCGTCGCAGTCCTCGCTTACGCATACCAAGGGACGCTCCTACCGGCCGACAGCAGCGCAGCAGCAACAGCAGCAGCACCACCACCGTCTCTGCCGTAGGTATAATGACGCACGCATCACGAATGACGGATTGAACAGGCGCGAGGAATTTAATGTGAAGAAAAGGGGTTCGGCCTTCCTCGGTGCACGTATTACACGAGCGTGTTTTTTTCTTTCAAGACTGTACACTACTTTTTATTCTTTCTCCTTCTTCCTACTCTTCTCTCTCGCTTTCCCATTACTGATATCCCTTTTTCTGGCCGGTTTCCTCTTTTTTTTTTCGCTTTTCGCTTTTCCTGTTCGAGGTGACTGGCTGGTTGTCAGTGCCGTTTTGTTGTACTGTCTCCTTCTTCCTCGCATCGTCGTATTCATATTCCATCGACACTCACACTCACACATCCTTCCTTCCTTCTCTTTGGTGGAGCGTAAAGGCATGCGCATGAGCGGACGTACGTACGTATTTGAATTAGGTAGCGTGCGGGGACGGTAATGCATGCATGCATGGCGACACGAGCATGAGGCATGAGCTACGCATGGTTATGAGATATGAGTTGTCTTGCTGATGGGCGTGGCTGTGGTTGTGATGTGATTGTGATTGTGTTGAGTGTTGGTTGCTCTCGTCCTTCCTTCCCTCAGGGACGGTTATGGACTTGTGCGTACGGTCACGGAGTTGAACCGATGCCTGATATCCCAACTGGGAGGAGTATAAGCTATAGGTAGCACACACACACGCCTCGGAGCTAGTATTATATTTAAAACCACACAATCAATCTGTCGACGAGACCTTGACTTTGACTTACTTTTACCTCTCGGCGCACCAACCGAACAAACAAACAAACGTACCAACTGACTGCCTAACTGACTGATAGATACGGAGTAGTGGGCCTGGATATATAGGTAGGTTGGAACTCTGCCTACTCTACCCTGTTTCATGCTCTCTACTTATACACGTGCTCATAGGAGGGAGGGAGGGAGGGAGATAGGAGGGACGACTGACTGACTGACTGACTGACTGACTGACTGACTGGCTGGCTGACTGACTGACTGGCTGACTGGCTGACTGACTGGCTGGTTGGGGTTGTGGTATGGTGTGGTATGGTGTGGTATGGTGTGGTGTGGTGTGTTTGTTTAGCGTGGGAGGTGGGTAGATGTATGCAATCCATGTCCTGTACATGTATATCGTAGGGGCTGATTGAGTTGAGTTGAGTTGAGTTGTATTCATTTACCCTGACCCATCGCCCTGAGCGATATGCAGGCAGGGGCTGATTGATTGATTGGTTGTGACAGTGACGGTGACGGTGATGGTGATGGTGATGGTATTAGGTATAGGTATAGGTAAACCCAAGACAGAGAGCAAGAGCATGAGCCCTGTGTGCCTGCTATTTGTCCAAGCTCATAACCACAACCATACCCCCAAGCACCAGCAGTGGCAGCACCAGCACCAAAGCACAGCAAGTGCAAGACCTAGCTAGGTACCGGGGTATTTGCAGTCCCGTCCCGGCACTGCTACCGTACTCCTACCGTAGCGCTTGCAAGAATACTGTATCCAGTATCCAGTATTCAGTATCCATCCAGTGGTGCTGTGCTCCTATCGGTAAGGTAGTGTCTATGTACATACTGTACAACGCCGTCCTCCCCTCAAGCAAGCAAGCAAGCCAAACCCACACTACGCCTTCCCATCCCCATCCCTCACACCCACCCCCTCACCCACACCCACAACATCAGGCACACCAAACCCCCTCCCCTGCCCTAACCACGCCCATCCAGGCGGCCGCCAATCAAACAAATCAAAAGCCTCCGAGCACCAAGGCCCCACGTCCGCGTCCGCGGGCGGGGAGGGTGTGCGGGCGTTTTCGTTTTCGCCTTCGCCTTCGCCGCCGCCGCGCCGGGGCCACTCGAGCGCGGTTGAGGCTGTGATTATCGCACTTGTGGTGCGGTGGAGGGGGGCGCGGGGTTTGGTGGTGGTGGTGGTGGTGGTGGTGTTCGCGGTCCTTTTGCTCGGGTTGTTCGTGGCTGCTGCTGCTGGTGCTCCTGCGGCGGAGCGTCTGGCGGGTACTGGCGCTGGTATTGGTGCGTCGACGTCGTCGTCGTCGTCGTCGAGCACGATGGGCTCTTCATGCGTTCTTGTGCCCACGGTGTCGTTCTCGGATCGTATTCGTCTAAACGTCCGTGGTGAGGTGGGCCTTTCCGGGTTGGGTGGTGCTGGTCTTTTTGGTGACGGTGGTATATGATTGCTGGTATTCGCGGTGGTGCCGGCACTCTTATCTGCCACTCCATGGGATTGTAGAGCGTTCTCCGACGTAGGATGCGCTTCGCGGTCTTTGTCTAGCCACGGGAGCGTCCTTGTTCGTGGCTTCTCAGGTCGTTGGTCAATGGCATCATCCCGCTCCTCGCTCTGCTCGTTGGATTCTGAGAGAGGTGAGGATGTGAAGCCGTTATGCAGCCTCCTCATGCCGGATGTTGTAGTCGTCTCCTTTGGATTTGGCACCGGATTGCTCCTTTCGCACCCGATATTTCCAGGCTGCATGCTCGGCTTCGAGTGTTTGTTGACAGGCGGGTCGAGCTGGCACATGAGCATTTTCCGCTTCGTCACCTTTGCCAACTTGAGTGTCTTCCGGGGCGGGGATTGACGCGCAGGTGGCTCTGCACCCTTGACAGCCTGTTCGACCAGCTCCGTCTCTTTCTGGACATTAACCACCTTGCTCGTTGTGCTGACTGGTGGCGACGCAGGGGGAGGTGCTTCTGACGGCTTTGGAGCCACTTTCGGGGCCGGCTTGGTCTTTACTGGGTTCCTCACTGGCGGTAGCCGTTTGAATGTCGGTGGTGTCTCCGGCAGCGTGACGTCTGAGTAGTTGTCGTCATTGTCAGACGTGATGTCAATTAGCTCGACAGGACCACCTGTCGAAGCGAAGATCCCATTCGCTGTCCTCTGAGCAAGAGGAGTCTTTTGGGCTGCTTGACCTCTTGCGTTCGACGTCCCTACCCCCATGAGATTCCGTGCCTTTGGACGCGGCGTCTCGGCAGCGACAACGGCGTGTCGGGCCTGGCCAGCCTCGGCGACCTTGAGCCGCTTCGCAGCTCTTTCACTGGCCCACTCATTCTCCTGGTCCATTTTCGCACGTCGTTCCTCAAACGGCGACTTCACCGGAACCATAGCCCTTCCTTGTGCTCCCTTTGGTGTTCCGAGTAGTGCGGTTAACGGTCGGTGAAGTGGTCGCTGCGAGGGTATTCTCAGGCCGCTGCTTCGTACGCCGGGGGTGGGAAGATTCGACCGGATTGGCGTGGCCAATGTAGCTGGCTCGCGCGGCTTCTTCTTCTGGAGGATGGGCGTCAAGTCGGTCTCGGTGGTCGCAACGGCTTCACCGACTTGGACTATGACACCATTCTCAAGTGCGAGTTCGTCCCCCTCGACAAGCGTGTCGCCATCCTTCCAATGGGTGTCTCCTATGTAATTGCGGGGTTGGTCGTAGACCATGACGCGCTTGTTGAAGGTGTGGAACTTGAGAAAGCCATCCTGCCATCGCTTCTGCTTGCGGCGCAAGTCGTGGGTGTAAAGGCAGCGGAATTCGTGGACGGGAGCGGTCTTTGCGGCTTCGACGGTGGAGGCAATGGAGCCGCGGTGGGAGCTGAAGACCATGGTGGTGAAGAAGGCATGGTGGGGAAGAGAGATGGGTGAGACGCGCCAGGGCCAAAGTAGGCGGCGAACGTCAGCGCGTCACCATGTGATTGAGGTAGTCGAGTCAGTGGGAAGGAAGAGCCTCAGGCACAACAAGTCAGTCAGGCTCAAGTCAGTTCAGGCCCCAAAGTTCAGGCCCCAAATCAGGCCTCAGAAAGTCAAGTCCACACCGCCCGAAGCTACAGGGGCCCCCAAGCCCCGCGCCGTTGATGCCGAACACCGAGACGACTACTTTACATACGTTTCATACCACCACCAACCGCAACCCTCGTTCACTGTTCTTGTTGCTTGTTTGCCGCCATGCAGGCCATTCAGCGCAAGTTCGGCACCTTCCTGCCCCGCACCGACGATGACCCCCAGGTCGCCGAGATGCTGCACCAGTTCAAGGAGGTCGATCAGATGCTGGCCAAGGTGGGCACATGTCTCTCTACACTTTCTGGCCGGTTTTGACTAACCCTCGCCCAGCTCATCGACGCCCTCAAGCACTGGAAAGAGGCCTGGAACAGCATCATGACGCACCAGCTGTCGACCATCCACGAGTTCAGTGTCATGTACAGCCCCATTTCCATTATCGGCGAGCCCTCGCCCACGGCCCGCATCCCCGCCGAGACGCCGCAGGAGGTGCTGGAGCGCACCAATCGCCTCAAGGACGTCTACGCCGACCTCAAGGCCGACCTGCAGCAGGACATTGACCTGATCAACCGCCGCCTCATCCACCCGGCCCAGGAGACGCGCGAGCACATCAAGCCCTTGTTCAAGACGATCCAGAAGCGCGAGGACAAGAAGCTCGACTACGAGCGCTACAAGAGCCGCGTCGAGAAGATTGAGAAGAACGTCAACCGCTCGGCGCGCGACGAGTCGACGCTCCAGAAGCACCAGATCGACCTGGAGCGCTGCGTCGAGGAGTACCAGCACGCCGACCAGCACATCCAGTCGCACCTGCCCGCCATCTCGGCCGCCGCCCTGTCGCTGCTGCCCTTCCTGCTGGCCTCGCAGATTGAGATCCAGAACGAGATCCTCGGCACCCTCTACACGGTCATGCTCGAGTTCACGCAGGCGTTTGGCTTCCCGCCCCCGCCGCCGGACCTGGACGACGTGGTGGCGACGTGGGACGCCGACTTCACGCCGCTGCGCCGCGAGGTCGAGGGGTGGGCGCTGCTGGCGCGCGTGGCGCCGCTGCCCATGGCGCTGCCCGAGACGCAGCACGGCACCCTGACGGGGCTGAACCTGCGCAACACGGCGTCGGACAAGTTTTCGAGCGGGCGCGCGCGCATCGGCAGCCGTCCGTCGTTCAGCTCGCAGGGCTCGGGCACCTCGCCGCGGCCCACGTCGTCGCGCTCCAACAGCCACGCCATTGCCGCGCCGCCTTCGCCCGAGGGCCCCGCCCCGCCCATCAACATGGCCTCGCGGCCCAAGATTGGCGGTGGCGGCGGCGCCGCTGCCGCTGCCGGCAGCAAGCCGCGCATCCCGCGGCAGCCCAGCGCGTCGACGCTGTCGCCGTACGACGGCGCTGGCAACAACAACGAGTACGGGCGGCGGCTGTCGTCGTCGTCGGCGCACTCGAACAGCGACTACTTTGCGCGCAACAACTCGTCGTACCAGCACACGACGACGCCGGGGCACACGCCGGGGGCGATACCGTCGCTGATGCCGTCGTACACGCACACGTCGAACTCGGGGACGGCGGGCGCGGTGGCGACGCCGCTGCAGGGCATTGCGAGCGGGATTGGCAAGAAGAAGCCGCCGCCACCGCCGCCAAAGAAGCGCTTCGATTCTGGGCAGCCGCCGGCCGAGTACGTCGTCGCGCTGTATGACTTTGCGAGCCAGCAGCCGGGCGATCTGGGGTTCAGGGAGGGGGACCGCATCAAGATTGTTAAGAAGGAGGGCGATGCGAGTGATAGTTGGTGGGTGGGGGAGGTGCGGGGGCAGCGGGGCAGCTTCCCGGCGAATTATTGCCAGGCTGCTTAGGTGTGGGGGGTTGCTGTTTTTGTTGTTGTTTGTTTGGGTGGTTGGTCGGTTGGTTGTATGCGTCCTCCTCCTTTTCCCCTCTTCTCTTCCCTTTCCTTTCCTTTGCTTCCTGTCTTCCTCTCTCTCTCTCTCTCTCTCTCTCTCTCTCTGTGCGTGCGTGTGCATGTGTCTACGGGTATCCTTGGTCAGGTCATGTCTGGTTTGTTCATCCGGCTGGATGAATGAATGGATGAATGGGGTTTTTGTTTTCTTATCTTTATCTTCACGTTTGCGGTTGCGTGTACCTGTCTGCCTTTTTCGCGCGCTTCGTTACTCGAGTACCTCTTGTGCATGCATGCTCCTGCTCTCGTGCGTCTCGATTTTAGTTTTTTGCGTTCGCGTTTGCGCGTCGTCGTTGCTGGGGTGGGGGAGTTGGGGAAACGGTGGTGTGGTGGGTGGTGTGGTGGGTGGTGTGAGAGATGGTGAGAGATGGTGTAATGGGCGGGACGGCGGGGGGCTGTGTGGCGGGGTGGGAGTGTACGATATGAGTGATAGTATTGGAGGCGCCTGGCCGTGGCCTGGAGGGCAGACAGAGAGTGTGAGTGTGTGCGAAGATGGATAAGAGGAGGGGGAAGAGGAGAGGAGTCCTCAGCGGTGGTGTGGTGGTGGTTATGGTTGTGTGTAATTACCTACTTAGTATTCAGTTACTACTCATCCCTCCCTCCTCCCTCCCTATGAACGTATATATGTATCAAACAAATATGTAAACAAGTACAGTACAGTACAAAGCAGTGCTATACAGCTACAGCTACAGCTGCAACTACAACTACAACTGCAACTATAACTACGCTACACTACCCTAAGCTACTACTATAAGCTATTTAAACGTGGAGGAAAAGAGCGGTTTTAAAGGGGGGGGTACGGTAGCTAGGTTAGTAGGTAGGTAGAGGCTTATAAGAAAGAGAGGGGGTTATATTTCTAATTATATTTACTCCCTCTCTTACTAGCTATAGCCTAACCCAGCACAGCACTACACCACACCACACCACACCACTTTCTCGCACTGCGCTATAGTATAGCATACATACGTACATATCTATACTTTTTGTCCTCTACAAATACCTATTCTTATTCTTCTTTACTGTACCCTGTTCACCTACTCACCTACTAGGGTATATATCTATGTATATACTGCATCCGTCCACCCATCCCACCCATGTACATGTACATATATACGCATGCACGTAGCCCTTCCTTCCCTTTCTTACTTCCCATTCCCAGAACAAAACCAGAACCAGAGCTATAGAAAGCAGCCCACGAAACCCGACCGTCCTTCCGTCCATCCATCCCTCCGCGCACCCAGATGATCCATCGATCAATCAATCGATCAATCAAAGAAGAAAAAAAAAAAAAAAAAAAAAAAAAAAAAAAGAGCATACAAGCAAACCATAACCCACCAAACCCACCCAACCCAACCCCCAAGCAAAAACCCCAAACCCAAACCCAAACCCACAAAAGAAACCCGCACCCCCACACACTACCTCTTCTCACCATCCTTCTTCTCCGCCCCACCCACCCCAGTCATCTTAATCTTATCCACCACCTCGCCCACCTTCCCAGCCACCCCACCACCAGCACCACCACGACACGGCACGCTAACAACTTTCTGCCTAACCGGCCCACCGTTCGGATCCGCCTCGACGACAAGCGCCGACAGCGCGCCGCCGCGCACGCAACCCGAGTCCAGCCCCTTGGACCACTCGCGGAGATTGAGGCCGCGCTTCGAGTCGTGCCCGTAGACGATGGTGCTGCGCGCGGAGGCGGGCTGGCGCTTTTGGTAGAAGTTCCAGTACTGTGGGCGATCGGTCAAGTCAGCAGGGAGAGGAAATTGGAAATTATAGGTGGGTAGGGAGGTAGGGGACGCACCTTCTCCCAGGGCGTGCCGTCGCGGCCCTCGCTGGGCACCTTGGTTTCGAGATCAATCGAGCGCATATTCATAACGAGGTACGGGTCCTGCCTGCTCAGACTAACACCGGGCACGATGCCCGCGTGCGCAACCACCACCTCGCCCATGCCCGCGAGCCGACCCACGCGCAGCATGACAGGGCACTGCTCGAGCCACGCGACCTGCTTGTCGTTGAACGCGCGGGCGGCATCTTTGTCCGCGGCGCCGCCCGCGTGCTCGCCCTCGTCCTGGCTCATACTGACGCGGTTGTCGTGGAGGTCGCGCTCAGCTGCTACGAGTGCGCGACGCGCGAGCAGCACGCGGTCTTCGTGGTTGCCGCGCACGCACGACGCGCGCAGGTCCCGTGCGAGGTCGACGACGCCGGGCGAGTCCGGGCCTTTTGCTATCATGTCCCCTGTGAGGATGAGGTGGTCGGTCGAGGCGAGGAATTCGATTTGGTGGAGGAGCTCGACGACTGTTGCGCGGGGGCGGGGGGTGGTTAGCTACGTCTGGAATGGAATGGGTGTGTGTGTGTGTGGGGGCGGGGGCCGCGTGGAAGGGACGGAGGAAGGCAAGCACTCACGCTCGGCCTTGCAGCCGTGCACGTCGCCCACGAAGACGAGGCGCTGCTTGTCCGACTGCGTGGTCGGCAGCAGGGCGCTGTCCAGCTCCTTGACTTGGATCATATCCGAGAAGGCCGGGCGGGCGTTCAAGCCGTATTCGCCGTACTTGTGCTCGCCGGAGAAGGCGTCGGAGAGGGCGGACTGCTCCTGCCAGTACGGCCCCAGCAGCCAGCGCCAGGAGAGCACTATGGTGGCGACGAAGGCGACGACGACGAGGGCGGCGCGCTGGATGCGGCGGGGGATGCTGCGCTGCGTCGCGAACAGGTGGTAGACGGCGGGCGAGTACCAGGCGAACTTGTCCGAGGCGTAGATGTTGCCGTAGTCCGACTCGGTGTCCGAGACGTCATATTCGGAGGGGTGGCGGCGCCAGTCGTTGGTGATTCGGTCGATAAGCGGGCGACTGGCGAGGTTGCGGCGGCCTAGCTCGTCGTCGTGGCCGTAGCCGTAGTGTGCCATGGCCGAGGGGCGGGAGGAAGCGGGAGGGACCGAGGGGGGTGAGAAACAGAGAGAGAGGGCAAAAAGTGAATGTAGGTTGAGGGGAGGGAAAAAGGAGCGGAAGGAACGGCGTCAGCAGCAGCAGCAGCAGCAACAGCACAGTAACAGGATGAAGCAGCGACGTACGTCGGCCCGCAAGGCGCAGCGTTGGTAGGCTGGTAGGGCTGGGGTCCCCGTACTACTGCCGCTCCCTTCCACGACCGGAATGGTCGCCATGGCCCATTCGTCTTGGCATCTTCCATCTCTCTCTCGCATACCTATCCATTAACACTCTTACACGTATGAAGCCAAGGCAAACACCTACCTACACAACACTAACCCTCCTTCCCCTCTCCCCCTCTCTCTCACCTCCTCCCCTCCTCCCTCCCTCCCAAATCCACCACCACCAAAACGCCACAACCTTGGCACCCCATCCGGCCCAAAGCCACCAACCACAATGTCCCTCCCCTCCATCCCGCACCTCGTCGACGCCCTCGCCGCCTTCGCAACCGCCAACCCCCTCCTGCTCTTCGTGCCCTGCATCGCCGCGGTGCTGGCCCTGCCACCCCGGCCCTACGGCGTCGCCGTGTCGCTGTCGCAGTCAGGCTTCTTTGCTGCGGTTTGGCTGTGGCGGAGGAGTAGGGAGGAGTAGGTTTTTGGTGGGCGTGTTGGGTTAGGATGGGTGAGCTTGTTTTTGCGTGTGTATGTGAGAGAGAGAGAGAGAGAGAGAGATGCTGACGCTGCTGCTGAGGGTTTGACTGCCTGCATGTTGGTGCTGCGGGTTGCTTCCTTGGGTGTGGAGGGCTGGCGTGCTCGTTGTCTGCGTCTTGATATGATTTCCAATCTTTCATCTTGTCCGTCAACTGCAGAATTTGTTTTTTGCTGTCTTGGTTGCACTCCTGTCGTCTCAATCTAGTCGCAACGACAATCTGACCACCGAGACCCAAAACACACACGTCTAACCCGGAACCGCAGTCATCAAATCATCTCCTATACCCTCATCGTCTCCTCCCCCACCACCACCACCCCACTAAAACCGCACATCCCCCACCCTCCCCGCCGCCTTCACCCTCCCCCCCTCCAACACAACCACAAACTGCGCGTCCTTAACCGCCTCAACACGATGCGCAATCGTCAAGACCGTACTCTCCCTCAGCTCCTCACGCAACACGTCCTGGATCCACAGCGCCGTCTCGCGATCAATCGACGCCGTGGCCTCGTCCAGCACGACGACCGGGCTGCGGCGCATGACGGCGCGGCCCAGCCCGACGAGCTGCCGCTGCCCCTGGCTGAGGTTGCGCCCGCCGCCGTCGATGGCCGTCTCGAGCGCCCAGTGCGCGCCGAGCACGCGGTGCAGCACGGCGAGGCAGGCGGCGTCGCTGTGCTCGTGGAGGGGGTCGAGGTTTTGCCGCAGGGTGCCGGGGAATAGGACGGGGTCTTGGGCGACGAAGCTCTGCGGGGGGAAGGGGTGGGTTAGTTGGTGTTGGTGTTGTGGAGAGGAGAAGGGGAAGCGGAGGGCAGGGCAAGAGGCTTACGATTCGCTGGCGCCAGGCGTGCACGTCGACGTTGGCGAGGTCGATGTTGCCGACGCGGATGCAGCCGCCCGCTTCGGGCAGCACGGTCGCGAGCAGCGTGAGCGCGAGCGTGCTCTTCCCGGAGCCGGTGCGGCCCACGATGGCCGTGGTCGAGCCGCCGGGAATCCTGAGCGAGATGTTCTCCAGCGACGGCTCCAGGTGCGCCGCGTAGCGGATCGTGACGTTGTCGAACTCGATGTCGTCGCCGTATGCGGGCCACGATGCTGGTGGCTTCTCGTTCCCGCTCGGCTCTTCTTCTAGATGCAGCAGTTCAATCACCCGCTCTACCGACACAAAGTCCATCTGCAGCTTGCCGTATTCCTTGCACAGGGAATGCGTGGACAATACGACTGTGGGGAGTCAGCACTTTGTGAAGCAGGTCGGAGTTTGGTTGGAGCATACGAGTTGAAGCTGCGGTAAGCATAAACGCCGTGAGACCGGATGAAAGGTTCTGGTACAGCGCGATCAGGGTAAGGGCAAAGGTCGAGCAAGCTGACAGGGCATCGTAGCGGTACATCAGCCAAGCCTGTAGACTCCTGAGAGGCGGTTAACAGTTTTCAGTTTGTTACGTTCATCAAGTCCGTACCAATAGAAATGGTCCATTTTCTGGAAAGCATCCGTAACAACGATTACGCGGTCTTGAAAGTGTGGTTGTGCTCGGAATGCTAGCAGAGTTCAGCAATTCGTCCTTGGAATATGGCAAGGCAAGCTTGAGAGCACCAACCTCTAATGGTAATCAAGCCATCTAGTAGTATGCCAAAGTTGGACATGAGAGGTGTCAATGATACCATCTGTTGACTGTCAGTTTGAAGCGTAGAGTGAACAACAGAACATGCCCTACCTCTAATCTACGCAAGCTCTGGGAAGTCGGCAAAAATCGGAAGAATATAAAGACAAACCAAGCAGTAAGCCCCAAAGAGAACGCAAGGAACAGCGGTGTCACTGATGCAATGACAACGATTGAGGACACCCATGCGATAACCCACCAAACAACGTCTTGCAGTTGTTGGCTAATGCCACCATCTAATGTCCCCATGTCCGAAGTAAGCCGATTCATCAGACGGCCAACCGGGGTGACATCGTAGAAGCGGAATGTGGCGCAGCTCACGCGGAGTAGTACCTGTTTGTACAGCCGTTTTCCGGCAGTGTATACGATTGCCAACAAAACAGACTCGGAGAGAATGTCGAGTAGCACTTGCGTAAGGGCAAAAGAGAGATAGCCAACCAACCAGGGCCGAACGTTTGTTTCAGGAGAGGGAAGCCCGTCGAACAAGTTGGAAAAGTTAAGGATGGCTTGTTCTCGGACTCTGCCATAGGCCTCTCCCCAGGATTTGAGGAACCAGTAGTTCATGAGACGGTTGAGCCGGAACAATGCGAAGAGGAGTATCACAATGGCCCACCATTTCAGCTTGCCGGCCTTGATGTACTGCCAGTACACAGAAGCGACGACGCCACCGTGAGCCCGATGTTCGTCCTCAATGAACTTGTCTGGAACGGCATTCTCCTCCTGCTCAAGTTGCACTTCAGCAGAATCAGGCTCGTTGCTATCGGCATCTTCCTGGTCTTTGGAACTCAAATATTCTGAAGGGAGCGCCGAGGGGTCGAGCAAGTGCGCTGTACCTCCTCGGATTTCGACCATCTGATCTGCCAAGTGACTACACAGGTCGACCCGGTGAGTTACGAGTAGAACCGTCCGGTTCTCCATCAGCGGACCACGGAGCAGTCTGCTGACGATGGTTTCAGCAGTGTTGTGATCTAGTGCCGCAAGCGGGTCATCGAGTAGGAGTAGCCGGGCCCGGCTGTAGACGGCTCTTGCAAGCGCAACACGCGCTTTTTGTCCCCCAGAAAGACCGATTCCATTTTCGCCTATGTGTGATAGATCCCCGTTCTTGAAGTTGGAAAGGTCCGGCGTCAGAGCGCATGCTTCGAGGACCTGCTTGTACCGGCGCTCGTCATAAGGTGAGGTAAAGAGGATGTTCTCTCTGATACTCATGTGCTGAAGCCATGGTGACTGAGTACAGTACCCTACCATTTCATCAGGTAGACTGGCTTCACCTGCAACGCGATCCAACTCCCCGAGAGCCGCTTCCAGGAGTGCCGTTTTTCCTGTTCCAACTTTGCCGCAAATGACCGTAAGACCGACGGGAAACCGGAGATTTAGCTTTTCCAGAACAGGAACAGTCTTGCCTGGCCAGGAAAAGGCTGCGTTGTGAAAGGCGATTTCAAACGATTCGGTATGGACATATTTCTCTTCCTTGTCGGGCTCGCTCATGAAGTCTTCTATACGACCAACGGCAACCGACGCATTGAGAAGTACCGTTATGAGGCCAGGAAGCTCCCGCAAGCTCCGAGAAAATTGATTGAACAACTGGAGGGCGGGAAATGCCACGTCAATAGACAATGGCTGCCCCGCAAGCAGCGTGTAGGCGTAAAACACGGCGACTGGAAATATACCGTTCGCCATTGTGTTGGTGGCAGATATGGCAATGTTCAGAAACCCGGTGACGAGACGAAGGCGTAGCTCATGACGTCTCGCATCCATGATTTTGTCAAGCCAGTGATTTTGCCAGTCATACCACCGCAGATGGCGAATCGCCTCAACAAACTGTGATGTCGTCTGGAGCCTTTTATCCGTAGCAGTCCTACGAGTACGCTCCCATTGTAGCAGGAATCGGACAAGACTGGCGTTGACAATTTGGGCTATGATAACGCATGCCATGCCAGGAAGACAGGGCCAGCCGAGAAGCTTCCATATAAGAACAAACGAAACAACAAAAGCAAGCGGTTTTGTTATGATGGAGGGGAATTCCCAGAATCTAGACGCTATTAGGCTACGAGCCTTGGGACAGGTGAAGGGTCAGCACATACCGTTGCGCAACTTCATAGACATCGTTCCTGACAGGTCATGAGCATACAAGTTTATTAATTGAAATGATGGTGATGCATACCTCATAAGATTCAGAATCTTTCCCATCGTTGCCGGCTGCTTCGCATCGTGGAGTGCGGTCGTTTGACTCTGATCCTTCCGCCATCTGAAGACGTGTGACAGGCGGAGGTACAGTCTTGCCAGACGGGACTTCGGTGGAGGTGGACCCTCGGCCGTGTCGGCACTGTCTTCTTCCACAACCTTTTCTTCTGCTTGAGATCCGAAGGACTTTCTAGTAAGAGTCTTCTCATAAATCATGGTAATCATCTCGCCTCGTGACCGTTCATAACAACGCCTACTATACCAAAGGGAGAATACTGCGGACTGTGCAGCAACAAGGCGGATGGCCAATATGAAGGCAGCAAACTCTATCGCAGTTCGTCTTGAAGACTGACCGTCCTCGATTGAGCGGAGCAGTCGTTGCAGTATAACCGGAGCGAAAAGGTCTATCGCAACGTCAGCCATTGAAGAACAGTGAAGTATTTTCACAATCATACTTGTAACCGATTCAAGTATCCCGCAGAAAGAGGTGATGATGAGGTCCAATCCGTTTGCTTTGAGGAGGCGTTTGACAACAGTCCCTTTCAAATCTCGAAATAACAAATGAAGCTTGGCATGTTGAAACTCATGTGGGAGCTTCCAAACGTCTTCATCGTTCAACTGCTTCTTGGAACCAGTGGAAATAAGTGTACTCATCCAAGACACTGACATAAATTGCCAAAGAGAAAGGTTGTCTTCCGGACTGCGCAGGTGAAATGATGGTGGTTTGGAAGGTGAACTGATATCAGCTCTATCCAAATTGGGATCGCGCATCGGCATTAGAAGTATCACGAGCACCACGGCCAACGCTACACAAGCCTCGGCAATTGCGAGAGCGCCAGCAAGACCCGGAATTCGATCGCATGAGAGAAGCAGAAAAACGAGACATAAGAGCTGGGCAAAAATAATGACAAGAAGAATTTTTGGAGTTGACCTGGGGCGATCGACGGCCGCTATCAGGACCGTGACAGCCTTCAAAGCCCAGGTCAGCCTAACAATTAAAAGGTTTGTTTGGGAAGGACAATACCCATGGTAGAATGGAAAGCAAGTTAGACGGGACTCGAGGAGGTGAAATAGTAGAAGCGATGGCGATGCCGAGGCCGGCAGAAGAGAAAAAGAGCAGAATAGCAGTCCAATGGGTCCATCTCTTGCCTCTGCCAGGAGGATGCTCTGTTTCGGCGGCGAAATTCTTGGCCCATTGCGGCCTGTGCTTCAACAATGGACGAAGGCAAAAGGCCAGCAGCGCGTACGCGGCCACTATAGCTGGACCAACCGCTATACTGGCATCCCGGCGTATGGTCATAGTCGACAAAGATAAAAAATGAGTGTCTCTTGTCACGACGACGGTTACACGCGTCAACCCGAATGCCTAGCTGGCTAAACTTCGGCCGTCCGCTGACACCTTGTCCAGCGGCGGCTTCCCTTACCAATCACCGCCACGTCTTCCTTCAACCCCACTCTCACCGTCAGATGATACCTATGATTGTGCTCTCAACGTCACTTCTCCAGCGTCGACGACTGCTTGCATCACGGCTACCACATGGAGCGTGGCAAGAGGATAGTAGTAGTTGTAGTTCCACTGGTGCAACGGATATGTCAACTTTCGATAGTAACTACACGTATGACATCAACGACTCTCGCTAATACAAATCGACAGAAAACGAGCGCAGTTTGAAACACAAGGGCATAAAAATTGAGCCGAATCGACAATGAATAGAATGGAAAGCGCAGTGTCGTCTTATCCGGTTACCTCCCCGCATAGCCGACATATTCCCTGATCTTCTAGCGCCAGTTCTACCGCGCATCCGCAGCCCGCTTGTACACAGCAGCGCTCTTCGGTGAATCTTCATCGGTATCGGCACCAGGGTTCGCCTCTTGGTATTTCATGATCTTGAAGAGTCTGTACAACCCGGCCGCTATCGCAGCGCCTGCCGCAGGACCAACCCCTAAACAACGTTAGCCTCGGAAGTCGTTCAAATAAGAGGCTCAATAACGTGGCTGCTTACAGTAGATCCAGTGTTGAGTCCAGTCGCCGCTGACGACCGCCGGGCCAAAGCTGCGGGCTGGGTTCAAGCTGGCGCCGGTCCATTGCACGCCAACAAGATGGGCTGAGAATAGAGCCATGCCGATGCTGACCGGTGCCATAAATCTGCCCTTGTGCTTCTCTCCAGCCAGCATGAAAATGCTCATAATAAGGTAGGCCGTCAGAAGCATCTCAAGGACCACAGCTTGTGCGGTGCTGCAGCCGTTCGAAGGCTTGGTGACGACTCCGAATTTTGTAGGAATCAAGACCGAGACAATGTATGAAGAGAACATGCATGCCAGAATCTGGGAAATGAAGAGCAAGAAACAGCGCAGAGGCGTGATGGACTGTGTCAACAACATGGCAAAAGTCACCTGGATATTGTCAAGTCAGCTTCGGTCCAAAGTGGTATCTTCACATGGAAGCATAGAGCTAGGTATGTTGACTTACCGCAGGGTTGAACAAAGCACCAGAGACGCGGAAGAAAATGAAGACGTTCACCATCAGCGACATACCGAAAGCGATGGCGATGTAGAGGACCGTAGTTGGATCAAAATCAGTCGTTTGACCGGAGGTTTGGCCGTAGACAGCAACCTCCGTGCCTGCAAATGCAAAGAAGAGGAACGACCCGGTGCCAACTGCCTCGCCAATCATGGCAACGACGTCTGCAAGTATCAATCAGAATATTGTTCGTCTTGCCCGATAAATGTTGAATAAAACTTACGGTTCTTCCAAGACGACCTTCCGAACTTGCTGTCCATAATTTTGTTGAGGGGCCATGTGAGTTGGGACTCCAGAGGCTTGACATGCAAACCAACATCATCTATGTCGTCGGGTGCTGCGGCCTCCGTCTCTTCTCTCGACAGATCCTTGGTGTTGGGGCCGTCACTGTGGTGGCCACCCCAGTGGTGGCCTCTACCCGTAGAGGCAGTGCCCGCCTCGGCGGAGGGGCCTTCGGCATAGGTAGTGGGGGACATCGTCAAGGGAGAGTATCGAGCTTCCCAAGGTAAGCGTTGTTGAGTTTTGCTTTCACTTGATCGAATAGGATGAAGGGGATGATGGTATTGGAGATGCTTGGAGAGTTTGAAGAAGGACCATCTGCCTTTTATTCTAGTCTTTGTCCTTCCCCTTCTGTTGTCTCAAGTCCGCCACCCCAATTAGACGTCATTCGTATCGAGATTGGGGCTCGCTATGGCCCGCCACAACTCCAGGACCGTCGCCATCCGGACGTTGGGCAGCATCGGGCGATCAAGGACCTCTGGAGAATCTACAGCGTGACATTAGCCTGTAGGTGGCCCAAGGAAAAGTACACGGTGGCGCAGAGAGAAGAATGAAGTTAGTATGGTGCACAGACAGCTGCTGTGGATTGCAAGGGCACTTACGATTTGCAGCACGCCTACCAGTCGGATCTACGTTCAAGGGGTCCTAGTCACGCCTCCAAGCCCAGGTGTCACAAAGTTCGCCTCATCGGATGGCTATGCCAACAAAACCCCCCTGAAGAAATACTTTGGTACAACTACACTATACGCCTTCACTGAAGCTGGAAAAAAGTACTTCACATCGGGCGCCTTCGTCGATGGCTGCTCCTGTGTGTTGAAAGACATCTGCACGTGGTATTGAAACAGTTACACCGCAGTTAAACGCCTGCCACGCAACGACTAATCTCTTCGTTGCAGCCATGTACAGCAGCACGGGGAAAACCAATGAAAACTTCGAGTCAGGCCCGCATTGGTAAGTAAGGAGTAATCGTATGATTGCAAGGGCACGACGCGGACGCCTGCACCTGTTGCTAAGCGATCAACATCTGGGCAGGTAATCGCTCCGACTGCCATCCCCTGCGTGGGGTCCTTTTCCTTCCTTTTTCCCAAAGGTCACATCCATGTAGACTACTGGAAGCTTGAACCGCACATTAGGCTTGGCACCAACAACGAAGCCACGCCGCCCTCGAAGTAGTGCGCATGATTGTCTTTTCCCTCACAGCATGAGCTCTCAGGGTCTTCTTTTGCTGCGGATTGCCACGCCGGAGGTAGGGCGATACTCCGTTAGTTAACGAAATTGGTAAGACGGAGGCGTCACCGGCTCCCTACTGTCGGCATAGGCACCAGTCTGACATGTAACCAGTCTTTTTCTGAGGCTGCCTCAAGTTTGCTACACATATAGCGCAATCCCGCTGTGGCTGTCGTGCACTGGCCTCTGAAGCTTTAGCGGAGATACTCCGTGGCGGACCGTTAGGACGGAAGGCTGCATCGCTGCCCTGGGTCATGTCTCTGTTTTGACAACGCATACCTAGGTCGAGTACAAGACACCCTGCATCTGCAATCATGTCCAACGAATCCAGCGGTCCCTTGCGGTACATGCATATAGCGTTCCATACTGGAGGCTCCACTGGCGTCGTACCTCCTTCCTAACACAAAAGCCTCCTGGCGTGCTCGGAGCACACAACTGGTCGCATTCCGGAGCCGCCGAGTACTTTAGGCCGGACGTGGAGGGGGCCTCTCGTACACTAATTGAATTTGCCTCAGCCGTCAAGAGACTCATCAAAAAGCGGGGCCGGTGCTAGACGCAGCAGGTGGTAATTGATGCTGGGGCAGCAGGTACCCATGCAGGACCAGGGAACAACAATGGGCCAGAACAGTTACTCCACAGTCCCCGCTTGCGCAAGCCTTGTTCACAGAGAAAGTTTGCGGAGCATGGGGCCGATCAGATACCTGATGGATACTGTCTACATGACCTCTTGGCCGTGGCGTCTTCGACCCTCGGGAACACCGCACGCGTGCACGCCTGACGCGTCCGACATGGGCAGCATTTGAGGAACGGCAGGAGTTGAGGGCCAGGTTCCGGGATCTCATGGATCGGGCCGCTGGTGTGGGCATGATTGGCCGGGATCGACGCTCGCTTGACTGCAAGTCATCAGAAGGGGCTCAAGAGGGGGGTCGCTTTACGCGCCATTTGGACGCCGTGTTTGCCCACGCTGTGAAGGCGTGGTCCTGCAATGCATGCTGAAGAAATCGGAACGTGTCGCAGGGTTTTGCAATTCTTACATCATCCAGCTATCGCAGGGATCGGGCAGAGCGCTCGTGATGAAGCGCTTGGAAGACAAGACCAATCAACCTGATCACCCGGTCAGCGCAAGGGCTTGTTGATGTGCAGGCATACGGACAGAGATATTGGTACATTCCGTGTGGTCCCTGCGTCGGAGAACCCCACCCAATTTGGCGCAGGTTCCCCAGCACCACCACAAAGCGATATTCGAGCCAAACAACTTGCAGAACTCACACTTGACCGGTCTCTGGGCCAGCACCAGCACAACAAGGAGTACTCCACACCACAGAAAGCCGCCTTCCGTGCAGCTGTCGCACAAGAGCGAGCACGACCCAAACGCCTTCGCAAGTCGCTCTCACAAGTCTGCAAGTACCATGGAGTCCCTCGTCGCTCTGCCTACCGTCTGCTAAATGACAAAACCAGTCGCAGGCGAGGCAGGTTCTCACGCACTGGCCGCCCTTTCTTACTGGTTAGCAAGCTTCTGACAGCAATTGTTCTCTAGATCACCTTCTCATTCGAGCGCCGCGCCTTAAGTCTCTTTAACGTCATTCACACACTAGATATTCGCAATCTATAGAGGAATAAACACATATTAGAACGTACCCTTCGCAGAGCTCTCACACGGCGTAGCTACTACAGATGTAAGTCCTACTGGAAGCGCTATCTTAGCCCTAATATAGCACGTAACCGCAGGACCTAGGCCCGGGATTACCTTAACTAGAAGGAGAGATAGCTCTACGTCTATTTTAGCGACGAAATATACTTTGCAGTAGGATAAGAGAATAAGCAGTAGGTCACACGGTGTCTAGACGAATTTTATAACCTAGACTACTAGTAATACAAGAACCTAAAGAACGCTATAACTCTTTACTTCTAGGCTGCAGTTAGCTAGAACTTCAAGACCGAGTTATACTTATACTAGAACCAAGAGGGAGTAGGTAATCTCTCTATAATTTAGTACAGAGACATCCTTAAAAGGATCTACCTTCCACAGCTTTAATTTTACAAGTTAATTTACGAAGGTAATCCTAGGCAAGATCTCTTTATTCTTAAGGAAGACGGCGATAGTACTTATAGCTATAGATTAGTAAAGAACCCGGTAGCAGACTTTAAGAGGGAGCATAGTATTAAGTCCTATAAGAACTATGCGTATTCCCTTAACTTCTCTATTATTAAGAATATATAGAATACTAAAGCAGCGTATACGCCGGGTTCGCTGTAATAATTAGGAGCAGCTTCTTCGCGAAATACAGTATTAGTGAAGACAGATCTCTCAGGTCTCAATCAACAAGCTTGTCTTAACTATGAGAAAGCGTATATACGCTTGTTTGGATGCGGAGGGACGGGCAACACCGTACTAGGCGACTGCAAAAAGTTCAACACTATGAAAATTGTGTAAATACTTTGTGTAGACATTACTGCGACACCAAATTGATACTGTTTTGTTACTTGGCGGGGAATCAGGCGATTTTGCTGCCAAATTCGTGGTGTTCTCCGAGGTTTGGCAAACTGTGCCAACATCTCTGTCCGTATGCCTGTGTGTCAAGAAGCAACAGCTCTAGATCGCTAGTCTACCAAAGACACGCCGGAACTCGGGAGAGAACGAAGGCAAGGAGATGCCACTCCTCGCATTAGCCAACCACTCTAGCCGCCGAGGGAACATGAACCCAAGATCATGGATTCAAAGCATGTGTCCAACACGTGGAATGCTAAGCTGCCGACATCAACACAGCGAGAATATACAATACAACGGCAAGACCAATTGTAATTGCCGCATGCGACGATAATCGACCACGGATATTCTTTTAAACGAGACCAGCTTGACGCAGGTAGCATAACCAGGGAAAAGGTGCAGATCATAGTTGATCTCCAGTATACACCTGGTACGTACAACCTCAAAGAAACATGCAAGATAGCCGGTCGCCGCCCTCTAGAAGACATGTCTGCAATATTCGAAGCGATAAGCGGCCAACGTCAGCCATGCCCTTAGAGAGAAGCACAGAAGAAAAAAGCAAAGACTACTGGAAGTCGGGCTGGCTGCCCGATAGTCGCCGATTCCCCCGCAAAAAAACGTTCGTTTTTTGCAATAAGGCCGCCATACAGCCACGGCTGCAGGCTTGCAGCATCCACGGGTAAGGCAGCCAAGGAAACCCATGCTTGCGCTGCGGCAAGGCTTCCGACGTGTGTCAGCTGGTGTGGGGGAAGCCCTTGCCCCTGGCCATTTCTTTTTCGTGTCTGAAAGATCATCAAGTTGCCGCAGCTAGGGAACTCAAGGGCCTAACCACCGCCTCCACGAGACCATAGACATGCTTGAGCCAGGCGCAGAGCACAGCCACCGCACTGGATAACGACGAGCAACTAGCTGCTGGGATAGTCAACCCCGATTTGCCTCGCAAACCCGATCTGCGGCGGGTCGGTGGAGGCGTCGAAGACCACAAACTGCGACTTCAAGAATATCCCACCCAGAATGGAGAAGCCGATGCCCTCATCGGACTGCATCCCGCCAAAACAGCGGGTCCCGTCGACAGCGCTGTAGATGAAATAGTCGCCCGGCACAGTCACCAAAGCATTTCCGATTGCGGTGGCTAAAGCTGGCATGGTTGCGTCGCATGGTACCGTCCAGCCACCAACATTGGGCGAGTACTTCGCCCCGTCCACCTTTGAGTAATAATCTTTGACAATCTGCGAGGGCAGATAGAGCAGACTAGTGCCCGTGTCCGCTATGGCCTTGAAGGGGCTTGAGACGACAGGCCCCGAGCCCACTCTGTAACCGGTAGAGGAGACGCCCCAGAACCCGGTGGCGGGATCAATGGGGGCGTAATGGATGTCGCCGGTGTAGAGAGAGCTGTTGAGGTAACCGAAGTCATATTGTCCAGGGGCTCCTTTCCTCAGGCATGCGGTGAAGAGCGGATGCGGCAGCGTGTGCTTCATGGTATCGAAAAATGTCGTCTGCGCATGCGGCACAACCGAGCTGAGTTTGCTGAAGGCGAGCCCCATCACTCCGTCAACCGTCGAGTCGCGCACAAAGGCTTTGGAGAGGCTGGTGGCAGCTCCCACGGCCTGGCTTGTTGCCGTCACTTCGCCAGCCACTACTGTGTCTGCAAATACTAAACCTGAAGCCCCGCTCGCGTCCCCGTAGGTAACGTTCCATGTTTCACCTCCTTTGTAGATGCCCGATGTGAAGGGATTATACGTGTTATGGTCATTGATCATCATCAGAGGTAACATGATAGAGAAAACCCAACTATAGGAAGTCAGCCTGACGTTTCTAACGCATTTCTGCCCAGTGCTACTAACAGGTCTGCGGAGCCGGTATCGATATCGACATTCAGTGTATCTGAACCAATTTTGATGGGAGACAGAAAGACCGGATCAGATGAACCTTCAGCTGTCGCTGGGACAAATCCGAAGTCCATGAAAGCATTTTCAGCGTCTGAAGCAGCGGCTAAGACATTTTCTGGTGCCCGAGCTCCATATTTTCTATATGTCTTCAGCATGTCTAACGCCCCAACCTTTGGAGCTACACCCTTCTGAACCTGAATGATCGAGAAGCCACCGGAAGGAGCAGAAGGATTGGCGAGGGCCAGGCCGGCGAGGAAGAAGACCGAGGCGAGGGAAGGTTTGTAAAACGCCATCCTGATAGCACCAGACGAGCGGACAAAAAGGATCGAACACAGGCGAGAGCGCAACCGGAAAGGAAGAGGGGAGAGGCCTGGAACAGATGGTGGAGCTTTTTATGCCCACCACCAAGATGCGCTACTCCGTATCGACCATGGCTCTTCCGACACGTACTCAAGATAGCGATGGACCCCATTCCTGAATACAACGTCGGTGAAGAACTTGGCGTGATGTCTAGCAGAGAGACAACTAAGCTCTACGAGATCGCCAAGCCCTGTGCCAGATGAGGAATGCCACTCTGAGAGTGCACACGGGCACATTCACCCAATGAAGCAAGGGATGGCCGTGCCAGCCCCTCGAGGGCGTACTTTCCACCATATCAACTGGGGAGCCGCCGACCTTATTGCCAGTGTTCCGGACCGACCTAGATCGCGTATCACCGCTAAGGCCTCTTGATAGTCAGAATAGGCATGTAGGGGTGAGGATATCAAGGATCTCCCCATTGGCAGGAGTGGGAAAGCCGGCCAAGGGGGGTGCAAAAGGAACATTATTAATTGGCGGCGTCGGCCACATGTGCCGGGACTGCGTTAACCTGAAGGCCCACCGCACAGTAACGTCGAAGGGTGAAGTATAGAAAGGAAGCATCTCTCGACTGCTCATTACTCCTACCAACTACCTAATTACAGAGATATACAACACAGCAACGCAACATGAAACCGCACCCGTCCCATCCACACCCCATCGTCATCCCTCCCAAAGACACACCAACCTGCCACTCGCACAGCTGCCCACGCACTCACCTACCTATCTGCCTGCCTACCAGGCTAACCCTCAATAGTTGTCCCTGCCAGTCTCGTAGCTGGTATCGCGGCCATACCCCGTCCGCTCACTCGAGCCATACTGATCACCCGGCACCTGGTCGGCAGCGGCGGCCGACGTATCCATCGGGCTGACATCCCGCGCAGCAGCAGCAGCAGTACCACCAACCGTGCCACCGCCAACGGCACCACCGCCAACAGCGCCATGCATGCCCTCATGCTGGTCCGCGCCATGGCCGCCTCCGGCCTTCGGCCTCACCCTGTCGCCAGTGGCAGGGCTGTACATTTCGTCGTCGCCGCTGCTGCCGCCGCCGACGGAGCCGCCGACATGCTGATGCTCCTCGTGGCCATTGCCCGTCGTGGCGCCGGCGAAGTAGTGCCCCGCGGCCTCGCGCTTCGCGTGGCCTTTTTGCTCGATCTTGGGGCTGTGCAGCATGCTGCCGGCTTTCTCCATCATCTTGCCTATTGTCGAGTCTGTGCGAGGACGGCCACCTGGGCGTTAGCGTTGTCTTCATGATGCGAGGGTGCTTGTGTTTGAAGTAGGTAGGCAGGTTGGTGGGTGGGTGGGTGAGTATGTTGCTCGATGGGTTGGTCTGGCCTGGCCTGGCTTGGCCGCGACAGGACTTACCGCGCCTCTGACGGCCCTCGTGCGAGCCCGTCTTGTTGCCCACGCCGGCGCCGCCCGTCGTGCCGGAGCCGGACTCGTTGCTGCCGCTGTAGGGCGCGCTGTCGCCGGCGGAGCCGAAGTGTGGCGCCGTCTCCGTGTCGCCGACGTGGTTGTTGCCGGCTGTTTTGTTGCCGTAGCCGGGGCCAGAGCCGTAGGTGGACTGCGCATGTTAGGGCGATTGACGCTGGGGAGGGGATGTTTGGGCGCCTCGGCTTGCCATTGTGATTGGGATTCTCAGGTCAATTTTCGCAAGTTGCTTAAGTGGATCGCGATCGGTCGTGAGGGCGAATTTGATGGAATTCAGACTGTCTACCATGCTTATCTGGCGAGCATCCCGTTTATGTGGTGCGCACGCGACTGGGGTCAGCGAGATGCGTCACAAATAACCCAAAGCCAAATGGCCATGTGGAATAATGCCACTTCACCCAAGAGGGACTTGGCCAGAGTAAAAGAGAGGGGGTGGGACGGCACATGGTTCCAAGCTAGACCTCTGGACGGAGTACCAGTCCCGTGCCACCACTCACAAAAGGACTCTACCACAGGGAAGCCTCCGCACTGCCCAGTGCTCCTGATCCCACTCTAACCAGACTTGCCTAATGTTGAGCTGATCCGGACCCCGCTTGTGTTCTCTCATAGGGTCTGGCCGTAGTGTGCTCAGGAGACTTGAGGTCAGCGAGAGATATGACGATGGGGCGCGGCATCGCGATCGAGGGTAGAGGACCAAAATCCCTGTTTCGGCTGTGCTGGCTGGATCCGTTCGGGAAATGTTGCTCGCCGTTGCTGATAACAAAGTCCTGAATTACATCATTCAGATACCCCTTGCTCGGCTGGACGCGCCATCTCGCAGCCTGCCAACGGCAGACGAAGAATGCCAATAATGCAGGATACCCTGGAACGCCCCTCGCTGTAAACCAAAGCCCAGAAGAACCCGATATATGAAACATGTTCTACCGCACGTACTTGCTCTGAACAGAAGTTAGCCTGGGCAGTCACAACGTTGAGCTAGGGAATCGAAGTCTTACCATGAACCGCCTGTGGAAGTCTGACCGCAGTAGATCGTTGACGAATTCCTTAGGCTTCTTGTCCTCTGTGCCCCGAGCCTGGTTTTTGAACACAACATCGTCATCCCACCGGCGCTTGACGCTGAAATCCTTGGGGTTGAGAAGAGGGTTGCCTCGCGCAATGTCGTGCTCGCGCTGTTCCTCCTCCTGGGCAGCCTTCTCGGCTTCTTCCTTGGCCTTTTGCTCCGCCCGCTCCTTTTTGATCTTCTCTAGCTCGCGCATGAGCTCTGCAGTCTCGTCCTCCTCCTCGTCATCGTCATCCTCCTCGTCGCTGCTCTCGCTATTCGACCCATCAGAGTCCGCGTCCACGTCGCGCGCTTCTTCGAGGATCAATCGTCTCCGTTTCGCCGCCTGATCCTCTTCCTCCTCAGCGCCTTCTTCAGCCGGGGCTGCCTCCAGTTGACGCTTGGATGTGGCGGTAGACGACTCGTCTTCGGCAGGAATGGGGGTGCCATTCTTCTTGGCGAAATGCGCAGCCTCAGCCGCGAGGAGCTCGGCACGAAGATCGCGCTTTCCAGCGTCGGCATCGCCCCCTTGCCCGGGCTGACGGTGCTTGAGGGTCATGTGGGCCGGGAGCAGGCGCTGGTGGTAGGCCGGCCCGCGCTGGGCCTCTTTGCCGCGAGCCTGTGATTGGCATCAGCCGTGTGCCGCATGAAGATCTGGTCAAGAATGCATACCGGATCGAACGTGGGCCTGTGAGCGGTCGTCATGGCGGGCAACGACTGTTGTGAATGTTGTTGTTGTTTGAGCGTAAGGTAGAAAGCTGTTGGAGCCAGACGCGCCCAGCATCGGTCGGCGAAGCAGTTTTGCCGACCGCCAAGACCGCCCTGCTGCCGTCATCGTAGAGCGGAGCTCTTTGAACATTTACTACAACGCTGAACAATTTATGTTAATCTTTACGACTTTGAAATAGAATTTGGCGAGTGAAGGGCAGTCATCGTCACGACAGAAGTAGAGCAGTTTATCAAACTCCGTCAACCCTCTGATCTTGCTTCAGCGCAACAATGTTTCCTTGAATAAAGTGCAAACCATGATCACGCACAGTAAATCCAACGCAGGGTAAAGGAGAATAGCAAGAAAGACGTGCAGGAGGCCTGCTGCTTTCAAGTTCGAGACTAACTGAACATAGCAAACATGCCTAACTCCGCGCCCTCATACGCAAGGTGGCCGGCTGAGTGGCAGTGGTAAAGGATATCAGGCGATCGAACTATAGGGATTAACAATTCCAAACGGCCGTATCAAAGGAATAGTGATCTAGGTGGAATTGCTTGAGGAAGCATTGCGATCTAGAGTGCCATGAGAGCAGGCCACGGAACACGGATCGTAACGGAGAAGAAAAGGAGACTGATCCGTAGAGTCTACGGAGGCGGATCTGTGAACATCCGCTTCATTTGATACTCGTAGGGTGGCTGTGAAATGGCACGTTGTTTGAGATGCGAGAGCTGGACCGCGTTGCTTATGAGATGCTGCAGGGGTGTTCGGCCGGCGAGTCATGTGCAGGGATCGCGACGTGGAGTGATGACGATAGACACACCATGAACGGTTGGACTGCCTCTACGCGTGCAAAGAAGAGTTGAGTGGTAGAAAGACTTGATATCGTGTTTGAAAGGCAGCAGGAACATGCGGATAGACCAACGGCATGCGCAACGAGCAAGTAGGAAGCCCATAAGCGCGCCTGTCTGCTACGTCATTTAAGCTTAAAACAAAGCTCCCGGTCTCTTCTTGACGTTTACAAGCGCGTCGCGGAGCAGTCACCGCGAACATCCATCCAATATACTACGTGCCTTATAAATACACCCGGCCGCCCTCCATTTTCTTTGCCCTCATCCTGCTCCCACACATCGCACAGTATCTGCAAGAACTCAATATGACTTCCAAGCTCCTCCCTTCCAACCCGGCCGAGGTCATGGTTATCCGTGACGTTGTCCCCAATGTCATCACCACCTGTTCCGCTCCTTTCTTCCGCTTCGGTCGCATCAAGATTGGTGGTCGCGGTACCATCGGTAAGTCTGGCGTGTAGGCAGCTACAATGATAACATGAGTAACCGTTTATGACAGTCCGCCTTCAATCTGGCTCACTTGCTGTCTTCTCTCCCACCGCTCTCACCGACGCTGTCAAGCAGAAGGTGAAGGAGATGGGTGAGGTCAAGTACATCACCGCCCTGGATGCCGAGCACCACATCTACATCGGCGAGTGGTACAAGGAGTACCCCAACGCCAAGGTCCTCGGCCCCGAGACCCTCCCTGAGAAGCGTACCAAGCAGAAGAACGAGGAAGTTCCCTTCCACCTTGTCTGGACCGGCAAGGACAAGCACACGCAGGTGGTCGATGCTGAGGTATGATCCGATAGTGCTCCTTGTCGCGAAGCTCAGTACTCACATGCCGCTGGACAGTTCGACGCCGAATTCGAGTATGAGTTCGTCCACTCGCACGTCAACAAGGAGCTTGTCTTCAACCACAAGCCCACTCGTACTATGATCGAGGCCGACCTCCTCTTCAACCTCCCTGCTACCGAGCAACACAGCAAGGCCGATGGCGACGCCACTTCGGGCATACTCACCAAGATCTTCTCGAACTTTACGCACTGTCGTGGCGAGGCCATGGGCCAGCGTCGCTTCCTCTGGTACCTGGCCAGCTCTAGCGACAGGAATGGGTTCAACGACAGCATGGCCAAGATCAACGGCTGGGACTTCAACCGCATCATCCCCTGTCACGGCGATGTCATCGAGGGCGAGGGCAAGACGGTCTTCCAGAAGGTCATGAAGTGGCACATTGAGGCGGCGCTCAAGACGCAGTAGGTAGCAGGCAGGCAAGCGGGGCGTTGTGGCAGGGTGATGTGTCAATCATGGGGCGGAGCTTTGTTTGGCCGGCAGTGTCCTTTCACAGCCTGGCGTGCATCTGGGTGGGCGTCGTCGTGTGTTTTCTATACCCCAGTTGGTAGATTGAGTGCGTGAGCGAAATGGAGTGGCTTGAAAAACGACGGCTAGTGTGCAAAGTAGAGGTGACGATGGTGCGCTGGCGGTGAGTGTGTTTTCCATCCTGGCGGGCAACCTCCGCGCAACCGCATGAAACGCCGGCGGCGCCATGACAACCCACGCCTAACCCTCCATCCCACCATGCATCGCGCGCTGCCATGGACTTTGTAAGGCCTCAACCAGACTCGACCCCCCATGTGCCCGCCACTTGCTAACCATTGCACCCGCATAGTGGACGCGGTTGATAGGCGGTACCGGGGCGCAAAGGCGACGCTCTACCCTCAACGATCCGCAACAGCGTCTAGCACGCTTCAAGCGCGTTTACAACCAGATTCTGGTATGCATTCCTCGCTGCTTGGCTGCATCTGTGGCTGACTTGCTCGCAGAACACATGGCATAAGACAACCTCCCTGGCCACTGACCCTGCCGCCCTCGACACGATTCGCCAATGCTTCCAACGTCTCACCTCCATCCTGACCGAGGAGTCGCGCTCTCCCGCCCCGCATCTATGCCTCTCCTTCTCCTCCTCCTCCCAGATTTTCACCGCCGTTTCACGCATTGCATCGACGTCGCACAATGAGGCTGTCGTCAGGGAGGCCGTCGGCGTCTTCGGCGCCCTTATCGACAGCGAAGAGGAGGAGTTCCTCGCCAATGAACGCTTCGCTGAGGCCCTGATGACGTTTCTCTCCAAGATTGCAAATTCGCAGAGTTTGATGCTGGGCGAGGATACCGATGCCGAAATTGTGGAGCTGCTCTTCGGCATCTGTGCCAAGATCCGTCTCGAGTCTGAGATCCTGCCCATCTGGTTCAGCTCCCGGCCCAAGGTCGACAAGGATGGCTCGTCGTTGGTTGCAAAGGCGGGCTTTGCTGGCGTCACGCAGAAAGAGGCTTTCCCCCTTTGCTATCAGCTCATCGACCATGTCCACCATGAGGGAAGGATCGGCGACTTTGCCCGAACCGGCTTGTTGTACATCTTTGAGACTGCCTCAAAGTCTGAGAACTTGGAGAAATGGATCGTCGAGAGCGACCTGGCCACACTCATGGCTTCCGGCCTTGGTGCATTGTACAGCCAGTTGCACAGGAAGCTGTCCGTCATCCATCCCGAGAAGGGCATGCCTGTCATTCTCGCGCTGTCGGATTACCCACAGGTTCACCTGCCGGCTGATGCTGAGAGTGTGTTTTCGCCCGAGTTCAGGTCTCACATGGACACCTTCCTCTCCTATCTCGCTTTCTGGCAGGATGTGCTCGAGCACTGCCGATCCTTTGATGTCAGACACACTCTGATTGACCATTTCCAAGTGCTTTTCTTACAGCAACTCTTGTGCGTCGTTTTCCTTCTTGCAACCTGAAACCAAGACTGACCCAATTGTAGATACCCATCGTTGCTGGAATCGTCCGATGTTGACGGAGGATCTGCTGTTGCTGTGCTCACCTACTTGAGACGTATCTTGGACGCACTGGACCACCCCGAGCTTGTCCATATGATTTTGCGCTATCTGCTTGACCTTCCCGAGGAGCAGCCAGAACGTCCCAGGTCTCCAGTGGCTATGAGACGCCGGTCTACCTTGATACTTATGGCTCAGCATGTTGAAGATGACGACCGACTGAATCCGTCGTTGTTCAACTTGGTTGATCTTTTGCTCAGCAGTACGCAGTCCAAGAACCCGCAGACCGTCATCTCGGCTCTCAAACTCGTGAGTGTCATCTTGAGCAAGAACCACAGGCACGCCACAGGTACGCTTGTCACGGTTACTGAGGTCCACAATAAAGAGCCGCAACGGACCATTGGTTCACTGAATGCGGAAATTCAAAGCTACCTTACTTTGGCCAGCGATATGATTCCCGGTGCTCAGATGGATCAAGAGTACGAAGCCATGCTGAAGGACGCGCTCAGTCTTCTCGAGGCACACCCATGTTCATTGAAGAACCTCGCTTTGAATGGCCTAAACCTACCAAGCCAGGCTGCGGTAGATTATCTAACTGCTGAGGCTCGCAAGAACGACACCTTGCACTACTTGACCACCGGAGACGCTCTGTTCAAATCTTTGATGATCAATCTGGCGACCTTCTTCACCAACAACGTCGAAGCAAACCTCAGCCTCACCGAAGTCATCGTGCACTTGGCATCCTGCCCCAACCTCCGCCTTGAGGGCTGGCTTTCCGTCGAACCGGCCAAATATCAATTCGATCCAAGCGAGACCTTCGATGATGAGGAAGATGAGAATATGCGAAATATTTATAGGGCTCGTCGCAAGCCCACATGGGCTGAACATCACGCACCATCTTTGCTGACCGCTTTGAAGAGTCTGCACAAGCAGATTGAAATCCTTCGCGAGGTTGTGCCCAACTTCGACGAGCACGTTGCCAACAGGAAGCAGGCTTTCCGCATGCATGACGAGATCAATCAGGCAATGAAGGCCATGGCCAACTTCCCGCCTCCGCCGCCCGTCCCACCTACCCGCTCATACACAGATGCGCCGACTCCCTCACCCTGGGCTCCGCAACAAATTGCCAAGCATGTCTTCGAATCGTCCAGCCCGAATCGCTCGCAATCGCCTCGTGGTAGACGCATCTTGGGTGAGCGGCGTCCGACGGCCTCAGCCGCCTCGCCGCCGAGTTCCAGGCCCCCGCCCGTCTCACGCATGATGTCGCAGGCGTCACGCTTCTCGAGCTCAGGTTCCTCGACCCCAACGAGCAGAAGCAGAGCACTCAGTTCTCCTGCTCCCATGCCCAGTGTCATGGAAACGGCCAACATGGTTGAGAACGCGGGTATCCTGACACGCGTCATCCGTTTCCCGCTCAAGGTCCCAGAGAAGAAGAAAGATAACAAGAGGCATGGTACGGATAAGCAGCAGAATGGCAGGCCCGGCACACCCTCCAAGCATGCGGATGTCCCGGATTCGATTCCGGAGGCACTGGAGGATGTCGCAGAAGAGCCGAACGCGAACGGCGACACGATCCAGGAAGAGCCTGAAGATGAGGAAGCGGGCGATGCGACCACGAATGCGACTCAATTCAGCAGCGCTGCCACGCAGCAGTACAAGCCTATGCGCATGCCTCGCGCCCGCGCCAGCACCGAGAAGCACGTGCGCCCCGCCACTTCTGGCGCCGATGGCAGCACGCCCGGCCTCAGCTCAATTCCGTATCGCTCGGCTCTGCAGGAGAAGCCTGCGACCGCTTCCGCACCTATGACGAAGCATCCAGAACCAGAGAAGGAGAAGCCGATGGCGTCCGAGCAGCCTGCTGCCGGAGAGGAGAAGAAGGAGCAGAAACGGGAGGAGCAGCAGCAGACCGAGCCCTTCCCTGAAGCTCCATCTGAGCCCTTCCCGGCCGCTCCCTCAGAGCCATTCCCTGAAGCTCCTTCCGAGCCCTTCCCTGAAGCTCCATCTGAGCCCTTCCCGGCCGCTCCATCTGAGCCCTTCCCGGCCGCTCCATCCGAGCCATTCCCGGCCGCGCCATCTGAGCCATTCCCAGCGGCCCCGTCTGAGTCCTTCCCCGACGCGCCGTCCGAGCCTTTCCCCGACGCGTCGTCCGAGCCCTTCCCTGCTGCCCCCTCCGAGCCCTTCCCAGACGCTCCACCCGAGCCCTTCCCCTCGGCTCCCTCTGGCGCCATGCCCGGCGCGCCTGAGCAGCAGCAGCAGCAGCAGCGAGGCCAGCAACAAGGCCAGCAGGAGGGCGAGGAAGGGTCGCCCCGCGAGGCGACGCTCAGCCACATCCTCACCAATGTCATCATCCTGCAGGAGTTTGTGCTCGAGCTGGTGGCGCTGCTGCAGGTGCGCGCCAGCCTGTTCCAGGAGGTGCGCTTTGCTTAGGGCCTTGAGGAGGCTTGAGGCTTGAGTGATTGGTTGAATTGGGATATTGCTACTCTTGCCTGCTTAGCATGCATGCATATATTTATGGTTGGATGACGATAGATGATGGCGATGGGAGAAGAATTGGAGGGCCGGCCGGTCGCTTTGGTGAGTGAGTGAGTTGGTTGAGAAGTTGCAGTGTTGGAAAGGCGGTGGTGGCTGCTGAAGCAGAGGCATGGTGGATAGATGGATGGGCTATGGTGGTAGTGGCGCGGAGGAAGCGTAATGGGCGGTTGGGCGGAAGTGGGGGGTGGTGGATGGGGGTGAGCGAGCAAGTGAGTGACGGTCACGAGTTCCACAGCATAGCACAGTTTGTTTTTTTCCTTTCCTCCTTTTTTGTTGATTTTTTGCGTCTTGTTTCTTTGCTTGTCTCTTTCTCATTGATTGAATTTATCGTAAACACAACCGCATCATGGGGGAGCCTCTCAAGTTACATAGACTTCCTTTCTTGGTCTCTTGTTTTCAGTTCTTCACTCTCTCTCGTTTCCACTGTTAACCATTCTCGAGCTTCGGGGACGCAGAACAGCAGCGACAAACTGATATCCAATCGATTCTTGTTGAGCCCCTATCGCCGTCCGTCGTCATCGTCTATCTATTATGCAGCTGTGCTGCGCCATCGTTCCATTGCCTATGCTCCTCGGTTATCTGGGTATCTGCGGGAAAAGAAAAGTGCTCACTCGGAGCGCCGGAGCGACCCGGTGAGCGATCTATTCAGGGGGATCGGCGAAGGGGATTTCTGGAATGGAGTTCTGAGTTGAAAGCGTCTCTTCTCGCTGGGTCAGCACTATCGTCCTGCGTATTCCCGGGGTTCCTTGGAGTTCGTACTCATCGCGACCGCGCCTCGCACTTGTTCTGGATCTGGTGGAGGAGATGCCTCCGAGGGGAGGTCGAACGGGTCTCGGGGTCTGGATGATTGGTTTCTGGGTTGAGATGCGAGTAGCGTCGTTTTTAGAAGAGTCGTCATGAAAAGCATAATCATGAGAATCGCCGATACGAGAAACGACGGTGCCACCAGTGCTAGGCAGATTCTGGTGCGGGCCGGATATCAAACGGCTGCTAGCAGTCGAGGGGTCAATCGCTGATGTCGTTGCTTCACGCAAGCCCATGCGATGCAGCAGTTTCCGGTAGAGCGGACTCAGTATTGGGATGCAGGCTGCGATGATGCCAACCGTGACTTCGATCTCGGACCAGAATGGCACCAACGCCCAACGATAGGGTGTGTCTTCTTCGATATAGCCGCCGTTGTCGAGGCTGAGCTGAATAGCCTGTGCCATTCGCACCACGGATGCGGCCAACGGTATAAGACCTGTCGAAAAGGTCAAGAAGAGACCAAATTTGCGCCGCTTGAGCAGTTGCAGTTTGTAGATCAGTGGCATGGGAAGGAAGAAGCAGACGATGTCGGCCAAGGTTGTCATGGTTGCTGATACGATGGACCACACTTTGATGTTGATGCAATCTCGACCTCGCTTTTCGAAGTGCCAAAATGAGGAAATGGGTATGCATGTCCAAATGCTGACCTGTTCAACATCAGCAATAATGTTTCAGGGGAGCTTCCGTCGAGGAGGCTGGGTCCAAAGCACTTGCAATGATGGATGAGATGAGGCGCAAGGTGAGAAACGTCATGAACATTCTGACAAAGAATCGATAACGCTTTCCGAATGTGGTTGCTCCTGCTGACATACGGAGGCATAAGACGCAGACAGACATTCTGGTGGCCCTTTAAAGTCATTAGTTACCCTTGGTCTAAAGGTGAACCATTTACATACCACAAAGCGCAATACCAGAAGATGATGAAAACGTATCGGTACTTTTGCCTGTTAAAAGAGTCTTGGTGAGCCAAGTAGACTCACAAATTGTGTCGTTGACATCTGCTTAACTGTCTGGGCAGAGGCATGCTGACCCCAGCCATAATGCACTTGCGTAATCATCAAGCCGGTCATGATAGTCGCGAAGATCTGTATCCGGATAAGAAGCCTGCTCAAAACTCAATATGACTGAAAGTACTGACTGTTGCTACGAGCATGAGAAAATCGTCAAGGCCAGTCCGACCAACAACTACAATGCGGGTATAGAGCCTAGCTGGTCAGTGAAAATGCTGCTTCGCAAAGAACTACAAATCGGTGGGTAGGTAGCACTTACCGGAGGCCAACGAAGAGGAGGGCTAGTACCCAGACGGTGATGGTGACCGAGATGATGGTCGGACCACGGCTCCCCATGGTGCTGGAAGCGCCCTTGAGGCGCCTTGCCGTCTTGGATGAGAGTTTGGTAGCAAGTGGTCCAATGTGTCCGATGTTCGTGCAGAAGGTGAGGATAGACAATGAGTAAATGAGCTGTTTCCGCGACCAATCTCGTCTTTCATGCTTGTATTGGCTTGGCAGTCTTGGGGTTTCAGGAAAGGTATGCAGAGGACCAATAAGGATGAAGCTCCATAGGGGTGAAGCGATGGTAACTCAACAAGTACCGATTAAGTTTGAGAGATGATGAGTTGAAAGCCGCACCTGCTTCCAAAACGTGGAAGGGCAAATACAGGCAAGTGCGGGCAATTGAGGCAGCGACAGGCAGCAGGCCTACTGAGGCTTGAGAAAGTGAGTGCATAAAGACGAAAAGTGTGAAAGGGTAGGACATTTAAATAAAGAGCACAAGTATTGATTGACGCACACGCACACAACAAACAGACCAAAGTCATTGTCATTGTCACCGAAAACGCTCTTTCCCAATCATGCATTCACAAGCTTTGTGCCAAGCCTGCCGCGCACTTTTCATCTAGATGTTGTAATTAAGGTCGGTATTCTGGTTCCCCATAACCGACACAAACGACTCCAAATCCAACGTTGACAAATCAAAGTTCCAGTCCATCGTCGGCCACTCCGACTCCAGCAGGTCGTTTCTCGACCCCGCAGCCTGCCCATCCATATCGAAGGCCCCATATCCCGGTGGCGTGACGTACTCAGTGGGCGTTGAATGCGCAATGGGATGAGCGGACAGTGGTACGAGTTGCGGGTTTCCAAAAGAGTTCTCTCGACCTTGCGGCTCTTGCCCGAGCAATGGAGGCAGAGTAAGCGTCTCGTCTGGCCCGGTGGACGGGTTGATGGGGCTTCCGTCAGTTTGCGGAGCAGAGCCGTTCAGCGCGTGCACTTTGGCCAGCATCTGCTCCAGCGCCGCAATAACACTGAGGGTGGGTTCACGCGGGATCATATGTCTGAGAGACTTGATCGCACGATTGATGTATCTCACATGTCGGTCAGTAGAGCGGTCATCGTGTAGCGATGCAATGATAAGCACAAAACTGGCGCTTTCGAGGAAGAATGTATGGTTGTAGATGCCCTGAAGAGACGTAAGTAGTGCGGCAGGATGTTTTGGACCAGCTATTGGCATACCTCGGCTCCAATCTCCATAGAAAATACGCCTTCAGACAAGGAGACTATAGAGCGCGCAGCTTCTGCCGTATATTCGCAAGCTTCCAGCAACCACGGTGGGCTTTTCTTTGTGGGATCACTGTGGCTGTGGCCTTCAGAGACCAGCTTGCCTTGCTTCTTCAGCTCCACGTACAAAAGAAGGAACGGCCTGAATGTAAGAAGTAGGGTGTTGAAGTACACTTCCATCATGTTAGCGAACCGGACAGTGTAGCTTTCGACCAACGGTGCTTACGGTAAGAAAGGACAGTCTGCATCACTAGCTTCTCGCCTCGCTCCAATGTACCTCCGATTGTGATGTGTAGGTCGTCCTTGACAGCATGAGCGAAACTGCGTAGTCTTTGCCGTATTCGGTGGCAAGCACGCAGGTCCCGACCTGGCGAAGAGTCATGGTAGTTATACATCTGTTGTGTTCCATGAATGATTTCGCACATTTGTACAAGTGCTGCAAGAAAAGATTTAGGTTCAGGAAGCGGTATTCCAATGTCGACCTGAGGAAAAGACGACGGTCTGCCAAGGCTGAAGCATATTATTCTGGAGGCGGATTAGCATGTCTCGGAATTTGGGACCATTGAGCCGGTCCCGGCATATGCCATGAAGTCAAAACGTCTTACTGTTCATAGCAAAACAAAGCCCAGCAGGTCCTGCTTGCCTCGTTACATTCGCTGCGCTCGCTACGCGTAGGCTGCTTATTCGAAGAGTTTCGATGTAACCCTGCCGCAAAAGCTTTCCGTACGGCGCTTCCCAGGTACAAATAAGCTGAATTTGGTCTGCCGACAATAGATTCGCAATGAGCGTGGTGTGTGGTCAGTATTACTTTTCAATAAGGTTAGTGAACGGCGAGACTTATCATCAGCAACGAAACCTGAACCGCCCTCAAGTTGACAATGTGGAGCATAGACTCCGCCTCTGTTCTCGCCTGCGAGACGAGAGTTTTCCTCCACAACTCGTGCCTCGTCGGACATGAGCCAATAGCCATTGCCGCCAAGACAATGGCGCGCTCTGAGGGGTCGACGGTCGTCTCTTCACCGGAGCCATATAGCTTCTCGAAGCTTGAGTAAAGTTTCTCTGGAGACAAAAAAGGAAGATAGTAATGAGCAGTAGAAAGGTAATTTTGCAGGAACAACTTGGCAAGGTCATGCCGAAGAAAAACAGGAGTGGCGTCGCGCCCGCGCTGATCCACCGAACTCCCAAAAGCAAGTCCTTGATACTTGTACATGTCCAAACCAGGATTTCCGTTTTGGACTTCAGTCTCAGGAGGACCACTTCGCGGGCCCTCCTCTTGCGCAGTAAAATGAGCGTGGAGATGTTGGAGAAAAGAAAAATTGGACGAAGAGCCATAGTAGAGCTGCAAAACGCAGGAAGGAGACTGCTCATGAGGATGCGTGGCACGGACGCTGGAGTAGATCTGGTACCGGGGTGGCACATCGTTGAAGTTGTCGGCGTTATTTGGCTCATGCTCAGCAGATTTTGAAGATGGTCCGTCCTCTGGTTGAGGGTGAGACCTCTCTCGCGAACTTTCATCCCGGGGGGTACCATTGGGCGCAGAAGCACGTGCGGCGGCTCTCCTGCGGATGAAGGTCCTGTACGAGCATGGCGTTCCACGACGTGTGCAGACGTTGCATGGGTTCAAGCCGTTGCACTTCTGCTTCCTTCTCCTGCATTCCTCACATGCTTTAGAGATCTTCGGACCACGCAGAGACACTGAAGGCCAGATACGTCAGCATCCTACTATGTATCCAGAAGAGGGATCGGCAGCTTGGAGCCCTCTGACGCACCAGGGCTGACGGTCGGATCCATGTCGTTGTGTTGGCGGCAAGCGGTGGCAGAGTCATGAGCGGAATTATCGTCGGAAAGTGCGCAAATCCGATCTGATTCACGTGACACACGAATTCTGAACAGATCAGCTCGCCAAGCAGCACAGTAATCCGTACTCTGTAGTACGGAGTATGTAGTAGGCAAACCCTGATTAACTACTTGAACTGGACGAGTCATCGCTTTAAGATAAGCTAGATCCTAGGCATTTCTTTCCTCTTACTCCCAGTGAATAAACGGGTATAGCGAAAGAATTGATCATATCCCTGCCACCTGTCCCATATCTGCTCTACGCCGAACGCCAAGCCCAAAGAAAAACTCCAGGCCCAAATAACCCTTTGTAGGTACACGCCGCAAAATTCAACCCTTGCGACGGTGTTGTGCATCCAATATCCTGAGCAACGTTTAGTCGTGGTCCCTGTATCGTTCTGTGCTGGTAGGGTGAAGACCATCCGCCAAGCTCAACCGTACCATCCCCGGACGGTCTGCGTTGGTTGTTCATCATTGCGGTGCGGGATGATAGCTTCATCGATTTCAAAGAGTCTGACCATCTGCTGCCACATGGGGTAGTCAATGCTGAAAACAGCTTGATGCCTTGTAATGTTTTGAGCTCTTTGTTCGTTCATACTGCGGGGTTCCGCCGGCCCTGGAAGCTGGTAAGCGGATGCCATTTGGTTTCACATAACAAAGCGACTTACATATCGTAGGCAAACCATGTCGATCTTCGCCAATTTGCACACTACCTTCTCTGATGAGGAAGCTCGTGTAGAAGAGATTCTCCACCGTCTGACCGAAGGAACGCGGATTCACGACATATTCGAAGAGATAAATGCCTGCACCGTCTTCGTTCCGGATGATCCGGTATTTGTCCAAGACGTCATCTTGCTCATCTTCAGTCGGGTCGTCGTATAGCCGCTCCAGTTCCTCTTGCACCTTCTCCATGCGCTCCTCTATTACACTTCCAAGCCGCTCTCGATTCTTCTTTACCAACGTCATGAGGTTGGAGTTTTCTGCGCGTTGTAGATCTTCCGGCTCAAGTGATTCTGGTCGTTGTTCAAGCTGAGGATCACGCCGCAGCCGTGCACGGCGCTGCGTTTGGGTTGCTCTCACGCGCTTCTGAACCGACAAAGGCCCAAGGAGGAAACCAGAAACCGGCGGACGCCTGTTTGTCGAGAAACACGCTTGCTCACCAAGTACATCCCAAGACAAGGCATCGCCGGTTTCCTCTTGATCTTCATCGTCCTCATCGTTTGTCTGTCGTCGATGCCTCCGCGCTCGTGCTTGAGTGGAAGCGGGCAGATGTTCATCATCGTCAAGATCTCCGCCATTCTGCATGAATGTGATACACTTCGAGACGAATTGATCAATGTCGATACCAGTGGAGCTGTCGCCCATAACAAGCTGATTTGTCTTCCTCAGTGCGAGGTCGCTGGCCGCAACTAGGAAACGTGCATCGATAGTTGCATCTGACGTCTGTTTGACCCTGTGCATGAGGGAGTTCGAACGAGTGATGTAGTCTGCTAGGTCTTTTGTTCCCCCCTGCAGGAGCTCATCGCGTTTTTCTAGGCGACGTTAGCGATGAGAAAGCACGTCTCAGTTGCTTGCAAACCCACCGTTGAAGTCGCGCGTCAACATGCGCATCTCCTTCCGCAGCTCTCTCCGCTCCTCTGGATCTTGGTCGGGATCATAGTACTGAAGGTCAATGAGAGGCTCGCCATTGGTGATTGTCGACGCGACAGAGGTGCCGCGCTCCTGGAGTCTCCGCCTTTTGCTTGCCCGGGGTGAATCCTCCTCGTCGGAATTGGGGGTGGGTACTGAGGAAGGTGGGCCCATAACAGCCCTACCCTTCCCTTTGTCCATTCTTTTACGCTGGGTGGCCTCTCCGTCCTCGTTTTCTTTGTCAGAAGATAGCGCTGGAGTGGGTGACAGCGTCCCGGTGTAGCCGTTTCTCGACCGAGCAGAATGTTGGCGCTGAGCGAGCGGCGTAGGATCACGGTAGAGCGAAGACTCGCGGCTATCACTTGTGGGCAAGTGCAAACGGGCCATGGCCAAGAAGTCTGTGCAGGCGGATAGGCGCGTCGAGCGTTTCAGCGTACAAAGAGAATAGGCGAAGCGCAATGGCAGGCGAAACAATGACGATTAGGATGGCGTGGAAAATGTCCGGCGACGCGCTGGCGATGGCGGGCGGGCGCGCCAGACACGCGGTCGCGACCCGGTCACGTGCGGCGGTACGGAATCGCCCGGAGAGGCGTAGATCGGCGCCGCAGCTTGCCCCAGGTCGCGCGCGCTCGATCAACCCCACATCGCGACGCCGTCGCACTCATGGAACCCTTTTCCTTTGCCAGCTCTCTGGATCTGGACCTACCCGTCCACGTCAGGATGTCGGTAGGCGCCTCAGTAAACATGCAGAACGCTCTTACTGACGTGCTACAGCAACAACTTAGACGGCCACCAGAAGCCCATACCCTTCTCCACTCTGCTGAGGAACCCGGAGCTGCGTCACAGAGGCTCGAACTTGAGGTACCACTTCGCCCTCGCTCCTCAGTACGCGACCCGGGCTAACTCGTCACAGCCCGCACTCGGAACTCTTCGTCACAGCGCAGCTATGGGCCGAGAGCAAACCGCTCACCGTCCCGGTCCAGACAAGCTACAAGGTCTTCAAGACCGCCCGCGTTTGGAATGAATGGATCACTTTGCCCATCAACTATGCCACCCTGCCGCAATCTTCACAACTCGCCATGACCGTCTGGGACCTCTCACCGGTTGATGTTGAGGGCACACAATTCCACACCGTACCTTTCGGAGGCACAACCATACCGCTCTTTGACAAGGACAACACTCTTCAAAAGGGCAAACAGCGATGTCGCTTACACCGCAACAAAGCAGCAGATGGATTGTCGTCCTCCACTACCCCATACGTCATACCACCTCGTCGTCGCGATCGGCGTAATGGAAAGGCTGCACAGGGAACAACGGATGACCGAGTATCGGAAATGGAGAGACTGGAGGCGCTCATGAAAAAGCACGAAATGGGGGAGATTGCCGAGAACAGGTGGCTCGACCAGATGGTCTTCAGGAAGATGGAGCAGCTGGAGCGCAGCAGTTTCAAGACTGTGCCCAAATTTGGACGCACGCCGAAGGCTGCCTCGCAGACCGACGGTGCTACGGGTTCGGATGACACCGAGGATTCAAGTTCCGAGGAGACTGAGGAGGAAAAGTTCTTCCTTTACGTGGAATTCCCGCGATTTGACCATCCCATCGTCTTTACCGATTGCGAATATCCGGCACCGCCCGTTTCAACACTACAACAATCGTCATCGTTGTCAGACGTGATGCTGAAACCTCCACCAGAAGTGTCATTTGGACCTGGTATAAATGGCGAAGATGACCCGGAAGTTGGCAGGATGGTGAGGATCTTCGATCCAGAGGTTGGCATCAGAGAAAATCCGGCAGAGAACAAGCACAGAAGGCTGGTCCGTAGCCACCGGACTGGAGTTCTAGACCGCGACCTGAAGCCAAACGCGAAGATACGTGACGAGCTCAATGTTATTATGTCGTACGGACCCACCCATGAGCTAAACCCGGAAGAAAAGGATTTGGTGTGGAAGTTCAGGCATCATCTTACGAGAGACAAACGGGTGAGCACATTCAGCTATGCTTCGGTACAAAAGGCTAATTTGATCAGGCTCTAACCAAATTTGTAAAATCAGTGTCCTGGAATGACCAGAGCGAAGCACGACAGGCGGTCCAGATCCTACCCAAATGGACCGAAATCGACGTCGACGACGCTTTGGAGCTCCTCGGACCAACTTTCGACAATCCAGCAGTTCGTGCGTATGCCGTGGATCGATTACGCAAAGCCGACGATGAGGAGCTCCTCATGTATCTGCTTCAGCTGGTTCAGGCATTGAAGTTTGAGCCCACTCAGCCCGAATCAAATGACGAAACTGTTCCAGATTCATCGCTTGCTCAATTCTTAATCACACGTGCGGCAAACAACCTACACCTGGGTACTTTCTTACATTGGTACCTTATGGTTGAGTGCGATGACCGTAGCCCTGAACAGGGCCAGGAGCATCGCAAGCTCTTCGCCAAAGTGGAGTATGACTTCATGGCTACCCTCATGGAAACCCCGAGCGGCCCTGAGAGGCGCAAGACGCTTCTTCGTCAAGGAGAGCTCATTACGGTTCTGTCCAAGATCTCTAAAGACGTCCGTTTCTCAAGAGAGGATAGGCCGCGTAAGATTGAGCGATTAAAGCGCTTCCTTGCAGAACCGAAGAACGAGCTTTTGTCGTTTGATCCTCCACTGCCGCTGCCTCTGGATCCTACCGTGGAAATTGTAGGATGTTTTCCGGACGATTGCAATGTATTCAAATCTTCGTTGTATCCGCTCCTGATTAACTTCAAGACCTCTGCCGGGGTCAAGTACCCTGTCATCTTCAAGTCAGGCGACGATCTACGACAAGACCAGCTCGTTATTCAAATCATCACATTGATGGACCGCCTTTTGCGCAAGGAAAATCTTGATCTCAAACTCTCGCCGTACCGCATTCTCGCCACGTCGACGACAGCGGGAGCTGTGCAGTTCGTCCCCAGCACCTCTCTCGCAGCAGCCGTCACCAAGTACAAAGGCCAAGGTAGCATTCTGTCGTATTTGCGTGCGAACAACCCGGACGAAAGCGCTCCACTGGGCGTACGCAAAGAGGCAATGGACACGTACGTCAAGTCATGTGCCGGCTACTGTGTGATTACATATTTGTTGGGAGTTGGCGACCGCCACTTGGACAACCTGCTGCTCGCTCCTGATGGTCACTTCTTCCACGCCGATTTTGGTTATATCCTTGGACGCGACCCGAAGCCGTTCGCGCCGCTCATGAAGCTTGATAACCTCATGATTGCGGGCATGGGCGGGCCTACGTCACCAAACTACACAGCGTTCAAGAACTACTGCTTTACGGCATACACGACGCTGCGCAAGTCATCGAGCTTGATACTGAACCTGTTCAGCCTGATGCGCGAGGCCAACGTGCCCGATATCAAGATTGAACGAGATAAGGCGGTGTGGAAGGTACAGGAGCGCATGTGCCTGGACATGTCGGAAGAGGAGGCGATCCGCCACTTTGAGGGCTTGATCCAGGATTCGGTAACGGCAGTCATGCCGGTGGTTATTGATCGCCTGCATGGATTAGTCCAGCACTGGCGGGCATAGGGGCTGCGCGAAGCGTCTGCAGGAAGCATTCGACATGCAAAGGGACAGGCTACGTGCTTTTCTCTGGAATGCTGGAGAGAACCTTCGGTATCTATCCCAGTTTCAAGCTTGAACTCAATCATGAAGGTCATGAAGATGCGGCGTTAGGGGCTTTGTATGAAGTTGAATGTTTAACGAACCAGCAAACAGGAGCAATGCTGATCGACTTTCGCCGCCTATAATATTTCCCATTCCCACGTCGTGACGACTCACCATTATCTACCTTACATATCCGCCTTCAACGCGTTATGCCAAAAACCCACTCCCTGCCAACATCAACAAAAATGCTCATGGTGCTAACACCGTCAAGATGCGACCTTGGCCAACTGTCAATTCCGAGGTAGTGTACAACGGTCAACATAAACGTGCTGTGTTCAAACCGCTGGTTTCTTTACGTCGTCGTTGGCGGGTTTGTTTGGTATTCCTTACCGGATTCTTGCTGTCTCACATACAAAAGCTCCTTTCGAGTTCGACTTTTGCTTACAACCAACTTATTTTTCGTTTCTCTGTCTCGTCGGTCAAGGCAGAGTAAAAGGCATATATACAACCACTCACATCGCCATAATCTGCCACTCCACTTCATCTTTCTTCTTTATCACCTCCCCAGCAACTTCATTGAACGCTGCATGCACCGCCTGCTTCTCCCATGTCCTCAAACCTTGGTTGCGCCACAGTGCCAGATAATCCACCTGCCTGACCTTTGCGCCATGTTTCAGCAGTAAACTCACCACATCCAACGCTCCTCTCGACCGAGCACACGCCGCTGACACCGCCGTCAGCCCAACGGCGTTCCGCGCATTCACCCTGGCCCCGCCCTCCAGCAGCATGCGTACCAGGGAAACAGCCTCACCTGGCCCGCTTGCGCCCCGACACGCCTCCAGCAGCGGTGTATCGAGCGACTTGGTGCGGGCATTGACGCGCGCCTCATACTGCAGCAGCATTTCAACAACATCCACGCTCCCCGCCGCAACAGCGAGATGCAAAGCGCGCTCGCCCCGCTCCGTCTCGGCCTCCAGGTCCGCAGAGGCGGTGAGCAGGAGTGCGACGACGTCGAGACGGGCGTGCAGCGCGGCCACGTGCAGCGGAGTCCAGTGATTGAGGGCGGGGGCGTCGGGGTCGATAGCCGGGTGGGTGAGCAGCGCGCGCACGACGTCCGCCTGCCCCTGCTGCGCCGCGTGGTGCAGTGGGCGCCAGCAGTCCTTTGCGGGCGCGCTTGGGTCGATGACGTGTGGGAGTAGGAGCTGGCATAGCGCCGCGTGCCCGTGTTTGGCGACGTGGTGCAGTGGCCGCATGCCCTCTGCGTCGGCGGCGTCGGGGAACGCTCCCGCGTACATGAGCAGTGAGGCTGCTTCTGTGTGGCCGTTCTGGCTGGCGAGGTGCAGTGGTGTCTGTTGATGTTTTGTTGTGGCGTTGACGTCTGCTTTGCCGAGATGGATGGCTGCTTTCAGCGCGTTTGTGTGGCCTTTGGCTGCGAAAGCATGGAGAGGAGTGGTGCCTGTGGAGTCTCTTGCGCGGATATCAGCGCCTAGTTTTACAAGCATTTCGGCTGCAGTGTCGGTCGCGACGTGGAGGGGTGTCCGATAGCCCTGAGCGCGTGCGTCCAAATTGGCGCCGTTCTTGGCGAGTACCTGGATCATTTGGAAGTTGCCCTTTTCGGCTGAATGGTGCAATAACGACGTGTTTGGGCTTCCGCGAGATACGTATCCGAGTTTTCCGAAGAATTGCTGCAGTCCTGACGCATCTTTTGTTTGGTAGCTTCTAGGTGAGGGATGATCTTTAAGCCGCAAATCTACGTCGAGGGCTTTGTGGTTTAGAGTCTCGGCCTCTGTCGTGATCTCATCAGAGCCGGCTCGTTGAGTTTCTTTGGTCAATCGTTTTTGAAGGTCTCGCTGGCTCCGGCGCTGTCGCAGATGTATCAGGTTTGTGAAATTTTGCCTTCGGAGCGATATTCCTGGAAAAGGACTGAGGGAATCCCCTGTCAGAGAGGGTCGTTGATCGCTACTTCCGGGTGTAAAATTTGTTGTTTGCGTTGTTCCACTTGAAGTGCTGTCTTTCCAGGTCTGGTCGTCGAGGTTCCACTCGTTTTCATTACCATAGATAGAGATGATTATATCTTCTGAGTTCCTAGAATGCATAGAACCCCGACGTGCGGGTTCCATAAAGGATTGGCCTCTAAAATATGTCTCAAGTTCATAGCGTTGTTCAGTATGCGATTTACTACAATATAACAAGATCTTTAGTCACTGGATCATTGAACATTCACTGGAATATGAAAGATCACTTACAGTAGCAAAATATTCATCAGAACACCCAATGCCGCTACTTGGGTGTCCAGACTGTGTTGTAGTTGCTGCAAAGTTGCTTCAGTGAAGAGATGCTTCAACTTCTCGGACCTCTTCCCCGAGGCAATTGGCTCGACATAACTGTAGATCTCTGCGACTACAAACTCGCATGCGCCTAACGCCATCTTGAGATCTTTCGCTACCCGATCACATACCGTTCGGCGTCTTTGGAGCAAAGATTCCAGTTGAGAGATGATTGTCGACATTGTGTCGAGCTTGATGATCAACAAGCTCATGCTCTGGTCGATGGCCTGGTAGCTTAAGACTAAGGTCCCAATGACCTTTGACGTTTTCAATATGATCGTTAAGCAGCTTGTCGTTACCGCAAGAATAGATGACGGCTCCATGGTGGTATACAAATCCTTCAGTCGTTAGCGGAACTGTCGTAAGATAATAATATGTAGAAAAAGGATATGTATGAAGCTTGAGTGGAGATGGATCTTAATACGGTCGCTCTCTCTATATAAACAGTGCATGCGCCTGTAATGCCGAAACACCGATAGTGCGTGCTTATATTTGGTTCGGCCCCCATCTGATATAATCTTGTTGGTTCCAATGGCATGTTTAATGCACTTACAGGGGTATAAAACTGTTCTAGAACTCTTAATGGGCTGAGTGGCGTCTATTTAGCCAGAAACCCGACTTAGATTCTTGGTAGCCAATCTCTCGGTGCTTACAACTTCTCACCTATTGCAATGAAGCTGCATGATGGCTTCTTAAACATTTTCAAATTATTTGGTGAATATCTAAGTACAGATTGCTTATGTTAATGAAACCCGGCCCAGCTTTACGTCTCCTTTTATCTCGTACATAGTAGCTAAGTAGTTCATGTTAATATCCACATGGCTAATCGTTAAACCCAGACCACAGCGACCTCATTTCGTACCCTTGAGTTATATTTCTCTTAGAACATCAATGCCAACGTTCATTATCGCTTCCATAAAATTCGCAAGCTTCCAGTTGGCTGGTAGTAAGATGTAGTTTTGGGGGTAACGACACTGCTTCCATGTTGGATGAATCGTAGAGACTTATTATACCACTGATAGTATCATTGGTAGTCAACGTGCTTAAGTGGCGAGAATTGTCGGTATGGATGGACAGAAAGTACGCAAGATTGCAAAACCAAGGCCCATCATGAGCCGGTATGGATGCTTGGTCTGTTGTCGTGGCGCCTCTATTGCGAGCTTGTTGTGCTGATGCTTTTGTTACAAAAAGGGTACGGAACGACCCAAGGCACGCAACTGTTAGAGCTAGGGATGGAGTAAATATCTAGAGTTAACTCTGGCGTATTGTTGTTACTTACCTGAAAACAGCTGGATGAACGACCACATTTCCATCCAAGTCACATCGAAGCTGGTGCTAAACCGAGTCATAGCAACAGCTCGTGCAATGGTGATGATCATGGTAATCAATGTGAAGGAACAGATGCTGCCCAACGCGAGTCTGCGCTTCAAACTTATTTTAGTTTTCCAGAGCATACTGATAGGAATGCAGAGAACTGGTGAACGGGATGATTAGCTAGCGAGCTTTTGGTTTGCTAGAGAGCGCTTGCATACTAGCCAAGTCCGTTAAGATGTCAGTGGCGCAGTTGAAACTGAGGCTGATCATGATCCGTTGGGAACGACTTGCAGATTGGAGGCCACATTTGTCGATCTGAGACAGGTATGGACCGAACTCGCACCTATAATCGATGGTACCCATGGCCACTGCCCAGGTCGCTATAACCATAGCAACTAGGAACCACCAAATGCGCATGACATGGCCGGCGTTTTGGTAGAGACGGCGGAAGAAAAATAAAAAAGATAGTTTGATGCACCAGACCGAGGTGTAGAAAAGCATCGTAAAGGCGGCACATGCGTTCTTAGTTATGGTGGTACTCTCCAAAGATTTCTGTGTTGGAGGCCATTCTTTCCTTGACATGACAGGAACGGCACGGTACATGTCTTCAGAAAAAACTTGCCACATAATCGTCGAGGAGAATGCCGTTACCCATGCTGCGGCGACCCATATATCATCCGCATAGAGTCTTCTGAAAGTTTTGATGCGAACAAAGAAGCGGAAAATGATTAATAGAGTAGCAATTGAGGTAAATACCCAAATAAGGCCCTGAGCACTTAGTAAGCGGTTGAAAATGCGCGCAACAAGAAGCGATAGCAATAGAACGCACCAAGAAGACAGGCTTGGGTATTGTAGCCGATTCAGTCATGAGGTCTGGTAATATTTGCGACGTAGATGTGGTGTTCAAAAAATCCCGTTTGGTCGGCCTTGGAAAGCATGAATTTGTTTGTTATACAGCTCATCCGGTATTCCTGACATTTTTATGGTGTTTTTAGGCGGCACTGTACAAAGCTTCATTGTGAGAGTAAGCATGCGCCTTGGAGAGTGTGCTGCAAGCTGACCTAAGTATAGTTAAATGCTGGTAGAATGTCAGCGGCTGTAGCGAGGCTGTGTTTTTGTTGCAGCCAGACTTCTGACTGGGGATCAGGCCGTTAATCTGGGGTGCTGCGCCGCACTTAACCAAATCAGGCAGGTCGGCTGGGCGGCTGAGCCCACCCCACGCTATATCCGTATTTCTACACCGCGTAAATACGTAACTACTCAATTTTCTTTCGACGTCCTCTCACCGTCAGGCCTCCAAACCCCACACGCACACCATGGACACATTTCTAGCTCTGCCTCCCTCGGCTTATTTTTGCATTGCCGCAGTTTCTATTTTTGTCCTCGCACACCGATATTCAGCCCATCCGACAGGCAGCAGAGAGCCTCCATTCATACCGTCTCGTCTGCCCTTAATCGGTCACTTGATTTGCATGCTCTGGTACGGTAAAGACTACTACCGTATGATAGAGTGTGTTGCCCATATCTACTATGATGGCCTCCGCTGATAACGGTGCACAGCGAAAAGTACGGCTACGACATCTACACTCTCCCCATTTTTGGCCAGAGCTTCTACGTCGTCGCAGGCCCTTCCATGGTCGCGGCCGTCAATCGCATTCCCAAAGCAGTATCTGTTCACCCAATTTCATCTGCTTTGACCCAGTCCATCAGCGGCTTGCCTGAAAAGGTTGGCCAAGTCAATTTAGTGGACGAAGATGACCAAGATATACACATCGCCCACCACGACATACTGTATAGTATGCTTCCCCAAGGTACCTCAATGGATGAAATCGCGCAAGAGCTACTTAACGGAGTAGCCAAAAATTTGGATTACCTGAGCGAGAACCAACTTGACCTGTACCTGTTTACTAGAAGACTTGTTGGCACTTCTATCATGAGCGCATTATATGGACCAGGATTTCCGGTGGAAGATCCCTCGTTTGTTTCCGACTACTGGGCCTTTGATCCTAAACTTCTGGATATCATTGTCAGCCCGTTCCCTCAAATTACGGCACCCAAAGCCTATCATCTCCGGGAAACGCTTGCAAAGAAGTTTATTACATTTTTTGAGAACGGCCTTGACAAGAGTGCTAGCTTTATGATGCGGACACGTTATGAGTTGTACCGCAAATACGGCTACACTCTTGAAGATATTGCTCGCACAGAGGTCATTTTCACCGTAGGAATACTGTCAAACTCTTCCATCACGGCTTTTTGGTATCTTTCGTATGCCCTATCTGATCCAAACCTATTCAAAGAACTCTCCGACGAGGCCTCGAAAGCATGCGTAAGAGATGGCGATGAAGCCGTCGTTGACATGACGAAAATCCGCTCTACGAGCGACTGTCCCCTTTTAAATTCGGTTCTTCGCGAAATCCTCCGCCATATTATGCATAGCGGTGCTCCGCGCAAAATCCTCTCCGACACCATGGTGAACGACCAATACCTACTCAAGAAGGGCTCGTTCCTTATGACTGAAGCCTCCGTGCTCCACAACAGAACCAGCATCTGGGGTGATGACGTTGCGGAGTTTAACCCACGCCGCTTCTACAACTCGCCCAACGGAACAGCATCGGACGGAAAAAGGGTCCACCCAGCAGCGTACCGCGCTTTCGGCGGGGGTGATGTGCTATGTCCCGGTCGTAACCTGGTGCGCGATGGGATAATTGGCCTCGCAGTGGCAGTCTTATTGGGCTTCGATGTGACAAACGTTGATGGAAGCCCGCTTACGAAACCACAAATTCGCTACGATAAGATGCCTACCAGTGTGTTTAAACCTGCTCATGAAGTTCCTGTTTGCATACGCAGGAAGGCTGGCTGGGAGAATGTTCAGTGGGAGTATCGGCTCTGAAGAGAAAACGCGGTTTCAGATCACGGATGAATATTTGTACAGAAAAGGCAGAGTAGTAAGCAGAGGAAGTCATAAGTAGTATGGGGACCTTGAAGAAGCTATACGGTAAACCTTGTAATAGTATTGTAGTATGGAAGTTAAGGAGAACTGTTTATTCATTTGTCTGGTATGAAACGGTGGTTTGCTGGTCACGAAGACATACAATAATGACATGGCGCCGAAAAATGGAAGACGTTCTAGAAGCGGCTTAAGAAGCACAAAGAGGGCTTGATTCTTGTTGATTCATGGACTAATCGTTGAAATGCTGCCAAACTGGCATTTTAAAAGGACCAAGTTTACTCACATTCAGCTTCAGTATCGATGATAACCATAGTTGTATTTATATATGTGATATAAAGCATTGAAAAGAATGTGCGTTGAACAAGCTTATTTAATGAGCGTGCCAAAGAGATAACACAACATCCCTAAGAGAACCTTGCTGTTCTTTGGCTATTCGCTCTCAGTCTCAACTGTGTCAAATTCAAACGGTTCTAGCATCGCCTTTCCCATTAAAGCTATACCCCTACGATTACCGAACCGTGTGTTTTATTGAAATTATTTTATTAAGTAATCTCTCTTCCCCAACTCCTTTCCAAGCAGGCAGAGCGATAGCAACAAGTAAAGCAGCAGTAGTAGCGTATCCAGCAGGGCGACTACAGCAGGTAAGCAATAGCAGATAAGCGTACCAGCTAGCGACACGGCAGGCAGAGTAACAGCAGGCAGACATCTCAGCGAACGACAGCAGTAGATACTCAAGGTAGAAAGCGCCGGGTAGATGATAGTTAGTTTTACAGTCTATTCACGTGTATTTAACGGTAGTTATACAGTCTCTCTACATGTATTTGCGTGTCAAACACATAGGAAAACAGTAGTTATCAATATAAATCACCTCTCTTTAAACTATTAATAGCAAAATAAAAGACACTGTTTTGTGCTATTTACAATTACAAAGTGAGCGTAACGCTCCCACCATTATGATTGCCATTCTTCCCATGGCCACTCGCATCGCGTTTCTCTTTCTTCTTAATACCGCCTTTCCCCAAACCATTGCCACCCTTACCGCGGCCCGTACCGGCACTCGCATCGCGTTTGCCACCATAACCACCATTCTTACCGTGCTTTTCATTATGCGACGGTCCTTTTGCAGCTCTCTTGTTGATAGTGTCTTTGGCCCAGTCGACGAACCATGGAGAGCCCTCGGTGTTCTTTGTTTGAACTGTTAATAAACAGTGAACACTGTTCGATAGAACGTGTCCCACGTACCTCTTCATCCGGAACAGTTTCGGGCTTTGGCAGAGCCTCTGTAACAGGCCTGGGTCTAGGCGGCAGCGCTGCGTGGGCTACAGAAGCACCAAGCGCGACCAGAGCGAGAACGAAGCTGATTTTCATCCTACTATTGTAAGCATGGGTTCTCCTAACCGGGGTTCTTACTTACTTGAGGAGTTGGTGAAGGATTGATGCTCTCTTACAGAGATGAGTGAGGATGATTTAGTTTCCAGTGAGGAAGGGAGTCCTCTTTTATAGACATAGAAGAATATCCCCTTTACACGACATCAGGCCTCCTTTCACTCCTCACACCTGTTGCTTGCATACCAACGCCTATCAGAATTTAGAACCATCTTCACATTCAAGATATGATGATGTTTTCTTCTGATGCTCACCATAAGCACTTGACCCTCTGCTCACATCGCGTAGTATTGCAAAGTCATTAGATCATCGCGCTAGAAAACTATAACCCACTAACTACGTGCATCCGCTTCCACCTCACGCCAGACTCGCAGGTAATCCTCGTATACAGCTCTTATTAATGGCAGCCGAGTCGAGTGGAGATAGACCCGGTTTCTCGATGGCTTTATTTCTACCCCGCACCGTCAGCATAAAAAGCAAAGTTTTCAAAATCTTCTTCAGCTCGCTACTTTTAGTGCCTTGAAGGAAGCACTAGAGAACTGTCACTGATGACAATGGGCGTGGTGGCGGGTGATGGCCCTGCAAGTAAGCTGCACTAGCGCCAAGGTCGATGAGGCAACATCATGCAGATGTAAGCGTGATCGTAAGTCAGCCGGCTTCCTGAACTCATGTCGTTCAACATATTGTGTAAAAACTTTCATATTGCGAGTCTCCATTCAATTACATTGACAGACGCTTCAGGTACTAAAATCGCCTCAACCGCTTTCTGAGTGACGCTGATCTGCTGCTTTTCTATTTTGCAATGAAGGAATATTCGACGCAATCATTTCTGCTCGGCTCCGAAGCTCGAGAGGGTGCTGATGTAGATAGTCACGAAGATTCTGTCTATCTCTCGACGAGAAATAAACATGGTGTCTGGAAAGTCATATTGTTCACTTCACTCTTGTTAAACGTTTTGGCACTCCTCCACCTCGTTTTGTCTTTTCTTTGGAGCAACAATGAAGACGTAAGAATCGTGTATTGTATTTCCCTTGGGTCTTTCATCAGTCAGACAAAAAATAACTTGATTCGTTAACAGCTCCCGCCCAAGAGTCCGTGTCTTACGAAAAAGTGCAATTCACGAACGGGTTCGGACACGCACGCTCTGCATACCAGGAAGATCCTGATGCACATCATCCATCTGACGAGGTTTCTAAGGCATGGAAGAGTCTTTACAGAAGTACACGTCCCGTTTCCCAGTATTCCAATTTCCCCCGGAATCAAAGCAAGCTCATGCTCGCTTAGCTACACTTACGGTACCGCGGTCTCAGGCAGCTCTCCTACCTAACAAGACAATACCCGTCAACCACGATGCCGACGCAAAATACATCATAGGATTGAACGCCATGCACGATGTAAGCCTAATCACTCCAATTCCATGAAAAACCCTCACTGACTGATGCCTCGCAGCTCCACTGTCTAGTAAGCCCGCCCCATCACCATCGCACCCAAAGTACTCACCACGGCACGACCATAGGACAAAATCCGCCGCGGCCTTAACTACTTCTATTACAAACAGTGGAATTCATCCGTGACGCCTTGCAACACGCCCATCGACCAGCTCGACCACGACCACGCGCCCCACGGCCAGCTGCACCTCAGCCACTTCTCGCACTGCATCGACATGATCCGGCAGTCGTTGATGTGCCATGCTGATATTACGCCGATGGTATGGCAGTGGTCGGAGGAAGATAAACGGGTCAAGCTTCATGTGGAGGTGGAGCACGAGTGCCGTAACTTCGACGCTATCAGGGACTGGGCGGATGAACATTATTACGCTGAGGGGTTGGATATTCATTCTCAGCCGGACGAAGTTGGGGGCTGCAAATTTGGTGAGAAGGTGTGCTCCCCATAACTGCAGTCCACTGTTACGGGGACAAGGGCCTCTGTATGATTAGTCGTGATGGCCCTTTGCGCGTTGATGTAGGTATGTCAGGCTTGATTGTGTGGGCTGGAAATCGACCGGGCTGAACTATACTGAGATGTAGTGAGCGCTTACTCTCATACCAACATAAGAAGCCCTTAAAGCACCACCAAAATGATTTATTACAGCCCCATAAGAGTAGATCGCGGACTTTAAAGAGGAATACTATCAGACCCATTCGAATCAACGGGGTGCTGAAGTTATGATGCTAAACAAAGCTACGAAGCTATAACAATGACCTTGTGCTGATTAAGCACCGCATCCTCATAGAAATAGTTCGTAAGGTCTTGAAGAGGTGAGTTACCATGCCTATTAAGACTAGAGTTGTGCTGAAGTTATCATGCCGTACAAGTCTACAACGTTTTAACACTGGGCTTCCACTGATTGCGATCTCGGTCCTACATAGAAGATAGTATCACCATGTGCAATTAGTAGAGCCTGCTGTTACAATATACAAAGATTCTTTGACTATGCTACATAGTGGTGTGGAGGCTACTCAGGTACAAAGTCCTCGTCATCACTGTCATCACACTCAGAGAGCACCTCTACCTCCTCGACACTTTCATCTTCGCCTTCATCCTCATGCTCCAAAACATCCACAGCACTATCCTCCCGAAGATCATTGAAGTCCTCCTTAGATGGGCGGTGCTCCGCCTCATAAAGACGACGAGAGACATGGGCCTTTTTGAGGGCGGTGACGTACTTCTGGTCCTTCAACAGGTTACTACGGTCGTCGTAGAGGGACTTCCAGTACAAGGCTTGAAGGAACAGTTGCTGGACGTTGGGTTGTATGGGGACTTTCCTCTCCTTGCGAATCAAGTAGAGGCTATGTGTTAATCAGTGCGTTCTTTGAAGACAATGATGAAGATGGCAGCACACTTACAATGTCTTCGCGCGGTCCAGAGCCTGAACGTGGTTGGTCCAAGCCTCATTTGCGGCTTTAATTCCTTCCTTGTCCTTGCGGTCTGTCTCCTGCCACTTCTTCCAAAGCTTCTCTTCTCCGGGGAACTCTGTGACCTCGACATACTGGCCGTCAATGTAAAGAGACAAGAGCCCTTGGATGCTGGCCATGAGCTCCTTCTCCAAGCGGCGAAACCTAAGCTCCTTGTGGTAAAGGCCCTGCTTGTTGCGCCATTCTGCCGTACTGTCCTCTTGGTCGCCCTTCCAGGCCGTGATGGGGCCCTCTGATTCTGTGTCACTCTCGCTGCTAGGCGTGTCACCATACAAGTCGATGAAGCCACCAGTCTTCCGAGTGATACGACGACGTTGGGTGTAAAGTAGAGCTTCTGTGAGACGTTTTAGTTAGTGCTGCTATCACATTCACGTTTAAAGTGCATGGGACTTACCTTGAACGGCAGGCGCTCCGGGCCCAAGGTCTCCGTGAAAGGCCCTCTTCAGGCCTTGCCTAGGGTTAGGCAGAGAAGCGATCTCATCCTGATCCTCGATAATGTTTGCGTAAGTAGCGGTTGAAGGGACATGCGACTGCCGCTTTGACTGGGGCTTCGTAGAAGTCGGACGCTCTTCGTCGATGATAACTTTTCCGAACTTATTCAAGAAGTTTCGCGAGTGCTTGAGAGTGGAGACAACAGCACGAAGATCGTCGACAATGACTTCTCTGACATGTCTGTTTTCATGATGTGGGGTCTTGTAGCGGAGGTGAACTTGGTTCAAGATTAGGTCCTTGCCTTCACTCTCATTGCCCTGGGTTGCCTTTATGATGATCTCCAGGTAGAAGAGGAGCTCGGTTTCATAGTCAGACTCAGGAAGTAAGGGCTCGTCCTCTTGGTCGATCCGTGCCTTGAGACCGGGCCTCTGAAGCGGACGCTGTCTAGGCCGGATTGAGGCGTCGAGAATGCCAGAGAGCGAGCCATACTGGTTGATGGCTTCTAACAACATCGCGTTGCCTTCTGAGGTCATGTTGCTTGAGCTTGGACTCGTAACTGCGCGGGTGGATGCGAGGGTGAAGGTGGGTGCGAAAAGACAGACTGAATTGAAAGTTAGTTGATTGAGCGAAAGAAGCGCTGCTGGCAGCGTGAATAAAGGTAGCTGGACTGACTAAGCCTACTAGCGCGTACGGACTGTTAAGACGGATCAGTAGCGTGGCGCTAGCGTCATGGAGGTGCTGGGGGTTTAAACATGGACTATATATAATGGGGTTTCAATCTCTAAGCATGGAATCGAGCACAACAAACTCAGTTGCCTGAACTCAAGTAATGAGCGCTCTGGTCTAGGGGTTAAACGGTAAATAATACTGTCCCGAACACAATTGAGTTAGAGTTTGGACTAGGGAGCCCAGCTGAGGAGGCGTGTTCGATTCCTATTTTTGTCATTTTGTTTTTTTCAGTTATATAACTTTTTTTTTTTTTCTGTCCTTTGTGTTCACACAAACCTTCGAGCGCTTACGCTTTTACACACGCTGCCGCCTTAACTGGCACCCAGAACCACATGTCTTTGCTTCCCCGCATACACGCATGGGCTTGGTCATGCCACGCACTGATTTGTGGTCGGCTTGTACGAAGGAAACTAAACAACCCGACCACATTCTCATGAAGCTTTCTTTTGGTTCTTTTGCGACAAAGTCACAAGCATAGCCACCTCAGCTCACGATCCTGTTTGTCCGAATAATAAGCACGTGTGGAGGTGGTTGAATGCTGGGTATGGAAGATGGCCGGTGCAAATGTTACCCCATCACAAGCTCTGGCGTCCGATCTCATATCCGATTGCAAAAGTCTTCGTACCTCCGTGACAGAAGCTGGGTTGGGTTCGGATGTTGTTGGTGTTGGTGTAAATGCCGGATAAGATGAAGTGAGGTCGGGCGGTGGTCCGTCTCCCCGCCGTCATGGCTGGTGTCGCTCCGCAACGACCCGGCTCATCGCAAGTAGGTAAGTACTTTCCAGCAAACAACGTCTGCGCTGTGCTCATGTCACAAAGGTCGACGTCCAGAGATTATCAAAAGAAGTTTCCAGAGCTAACTAAGTGTACAGAGCAAATTTTCCTAACCATTAACGCCGGAAACATTCCACGCAAACGCAAATTCAGATTCTAACGACAAAGACAACGCAAAGCATCAAAACAAACGCCAAACAATGCTTTTTGTATCCGAACAACACAATCCACCCATATGCACGCTAGCCAGCCGTATCCACAACCTCAGAGAACCACTGCCTCAGCGCCGTGGACAGCACGCCAGGAAGCTCCCTCACATCGCGCACGACGACGAACCAGCGGAAGGGGAAAGTGTCCATGTACCTCCGCTTGAGCAGCTTCCCGTCTTCGAACCTGACATCCAACAGATCCATGACGCTGCCCTTCTTCTCAGGCGCAGCAGGCGCAGCAGCGCCCGAGCTCGCGCTCGGCGCCTGGGCCGCCGCATCCACGATGACGAAAACAATCATGATGCGCTCCTCCTGCGCCTGCCGGACAAGCCGGGCGATCGTGTCGTGGTCGTTCGTGATGCCGTCAGAGATGATGACCGCCAGCTGCCAGAGGTCCGCGCCCGCGCCGGTGGCGCGCATGCGCGCGTCGCGGAAGAGCTCGATGCTGCGGTTCACGAGCGCCTTGACGTCCGTCTTTTCCTGCTGGAAGCCGAACTGGCGGAACACGTCGACGCCGGCTTCGGACGTGAAGGGCGCGTCGAAGGGGTGCGCGACGCGCACGTCGGCGCCGAAGCGTACGATTGTGATCTCGCCGGCTTCGAGCATGGCCAGCGCTTTGGAGACTAGTGCCAGCGTCTCGAAGGCGAGACCGGACGCGCTTTCTGCCATACTCTTGCTGTCGTCGAGGGCGAGCATGATTTGGTAGGCGCGTTTGGATGGGAGCGACCGGCGCAGCCAGATCTTGTCGCGCTTGTACTGCGAGGCGATGTAGGGAATGATAGCCTTCATGTTGAGTCGCTTACCAGTGCGGTGACCGCCGCGCATCTTGGTGGCAAGGGTGGGCGCGAGGATCAGGCGGAGGTGCTCGGTCAGACCTTGGGAGAGTGTGCGCGTGCCAGATTCGTGATGTTGCCAGAGAGTGCGAGCCTCCTCCACCGAGCGCGGGTACTGCTCAGAGTCGAGGTGGGCTTCGGAGAGTTGTCTGTCCACTTCTCCGAGGTCGGAGTCTTCGTCAGCTGTCTCGGGCTGCTCCATGTCGTCAGCTTGCTGGGTCGAGCGATCGGCGGCAGGCTCGCCCATGAAAGCATTAGGTTGCCCGCTCGGTTGTTCTTGTTCTTGCTGCTCTTGCTCTGGTGCACCCTCTTTCTGCGTCGGTTCCGCATCCTCCATCTGAACGTCGTCGGTCTGTTCAGGTCCTTGCTCAACCTCTGGAGGAAGATTCTCCGGCAGCTCAGCTTGATCATTAACGGGAAGGGCATTCTCTTTGTCCAAGGCGCGGGCTTGGTCTTCCTCAGCGGCGCCCAACGCTTGAGCGTCCGCTTCAGCTTCCTCGTCCGGAAGGTGCTCGAAGTCAGCATCAGCCATGTCAACATCCTTGTCTTGCGGCTTGGCTTCCCTCTCTTCCTTCGAAGCATTCTGGATCTGGCGCTGTTGGTTGTACCAGTTCTCGAGAACATCGCCAAGCTTCTTGAATGGCTGAGCTTCAGCTGAATCTTGCATGTCGTCGTCCCTTCCCACTGCATCCTGCTGTGAGGCCTGGCCACGTTCGCCCTTCTCTGCAGACTCCTTTTGTTGATCCTGTGCTTCACCTTCGGCGCCTTCGTCACGCTGCGCGCCGGATGACTGGTCCTTGCTGTCTTGTTGATCCTCATGTGCGTCGAGGCCAAGACCAGTCTCAGCAGCATCGTCATTGTCGGCCTTTTCGTTTTCCTTGTCGTCGGTGCCGCGCATTTGATCCTCGGGCTGTTCCTCCTGTTGCTCCTCCTGTGCTTCAGGTTCCACGGCCTGATCCTCCTTCTCCTGCTCGTCAATATCTGGAACTTCTTCCGCCTCCTTCTCAAGGTCCGGCGGGCCTTCTTCTGGAGGTGCGTCGCCGTCCTCCTCGCCTCCCTCCGGAGCTTCGCCTTCTTCCTCCATCTTATCGTCCATATCGTCCAGCTCGTCCATCATGTCCGATTCATCGTCTCCCAGTGACTTCTGATCGTCATCAAGGTTGAGCTCGTCGGGCAGGTCGAGTGTTTCGCCCTCTTGCATGTTCTGGTCCATGCCTTCCATCTCCTCAGCGCCTACGCGCTCTTCCTCCTCGGCGCCAGCTTCTGGCTCAAAATCATCATCTTCTTGCTGCTCCGCCTCCTTCTTCTCCTTTTGCTCGCCTTCCTGACCAGCACTTTGCTCCTGCTCGTCCTTCTTTCCTTGGCCTTCGTCACCCTCCCGGTCTTTCTCCGCGTCGTCACCGCCATCATCCCACATTTTCTCGTCCACCGTCGAGGGGCCAAGGTCATCAACGTCGCCAGCTTCCTCATCCATATCGTCATCCTCGCCCTCCTTGTCAGACTCGCCGCCTTCCTCATCTTCTTTCTCTGGCGCGTCTTGCATATCACCCTCCATCTCCTCATTGCCCATGTCAATAGCATCCTTCTCCTCTTCAAGTTCTTCCCGATCTTCCCTCGTGTCGGCTTCTTGCGCGAGATCATTCAGGTCTTCATCATCTCCAATGTCCTTGCTGATATCTTCAGCGCCCTCGCCTTCACCAAGACCAGTGCCTCCTTCCAGCTGATCCTGCTTGCCCTTTTCATCGTCAGATTTTTCCTGGGGCGTACAGAAACCGCGGTTTCCGACTATAATGAACGTCTTGGAAAGGCGGAAGAGCATCTTGCTTAGGGATTCGTGGAGTTGGCCAAAACGAATGACGGCGTCTTGGTGAGCAAGCTTGTACTCTTCGATGATGGGTAGAAGCGCCGAGAACATGGCGCTTGATGCGCGCAGGGCATTCGTATCATGCAGATGTTGCAGCTGGTTTAGCACGCTGCGGAGTGAAACGGTGATGTGCGGCACGTGAAGTGCCTTGCAGCTTGTTGATAATGCTCCGCTCTCGGAAACAAGCCAGGAAGGCTCTTCCACAGACTTTGGCAATGTCTCATGTGCCTTCTCGATATCCTGGACAGAGCCGAGAATGGAATCGAGTACCTCAAAGATAGACTGGCTGACCTTCTGGAGAGATGTGTTTTCAGAGAGGCCGTTGCCAATTGCGCCAGAGAAATCAACACTGTCGAGCCAGCCGGAAATCTGTCTCAGAACGCATTTGAGCAAAGGATGCGACTGTTCCCATTGGTTAATCGTAGATTTCAGCTCTTCAACGCCGGCGCTGATGCGATGTGTCACCGCCTCATGCGCAGTTGAAGATAGACCCTTCGGCATGTCAGGTAATTGCAACATCTCTTGCGTCAGTCCGTCCCACTGTGCAGCCTTGGCATGAAGGCCTTCAACGACCTCGCCGACCGCGAGTTTTCCAAGTTGAGCCTGCGCGTTTACGATCTGCGCGCCAACCCGGAGGATCGGTGCACCGCAGGCAAGCCAGCTCGGTGCGTAGGCATGCTTCTCAGAAACGACAGCTGTGCTTTCGCTTGACCCATCATCGCCAGTCTTCCACAGAGCCTGGACCTGCTTGACAGTCTTGTCTAGAACGTCCAACTCTTCGAGAGACTTAGAGATGGTTTCGCGCTGTTTGAGAGCTGTGTACAGCATGCTCTCGAAGTTTCCAAGACAGCGCGCCACTTCTGCGCGGGCGAGGTCGCCGTTGTGCTCTCGTGAAATCTCTCGAACTTGATCCATGAGGTTGAATGTTCTGTGCAGGTAACCCTCGGCGGCGCGTGCCTCGGCTCCACTAGCTTGAGCTGGCAAGGTCGGCATGCGAGATAGTATTTTGGCCAAAGAGTCCTGCTTATCCAGGACGTCGCCACCGACGTGAGCTCGGAAGCCCATTTCGCGAAGGTCCTTGAGCGTGTCATTGAAGAGCTTGCGCTTCTGGGATTTGAGGTGCTTGACCATAGGGGTGTTCTCTTCGGTCAAAGTCGCTGGCGTAGCCTTCTGTAGTTGAGCGATTGACGTCTGCAGGTTCTCAAGGAATTCTTGAATGTAGGAGACAGCGTTGGGTTCGTTACGCGGCTTGGACATTCTGTGCATGAGTTTGACGGTGGCTTGAACGTCCTTGAAACGTGATGGGCGCGAATCCCAGCTGGGTACGTCTTTTACGCAGCACTCCAGAGCGGAAAAATCGACAGTAGCATCAGTGAGCTTCGACTGAACATGGGTGGCAGTAAGCGCGGTAGCAGTTCCTTCTGGCAGGTCCTGCTTGAGGACAGCATCAACAGACTGGTTGAGTAGGTTTCGGAACTTTCGGACAAGCTTGAACAGCTTCCTGTGAGAAGTCTTTGCACTTTGCCTAAGTGCGTCGATGTTGCGATCCCTCCAGCTGGCGAGTTTGAGGACATTCTTCATATCCTTCTCTAGAGCCACACGTCCCTTGGCAATCGTGTCGCGCACAGGCTGCTCGAAGCGGGCAAAGTAGTGGACAAAGTTGCCAAGCGCGATGCGAATAGGCCTGACAGCAGGGGCATCGACTTCGCGGACGAGAAGATGCTCGCGGAATTGCTCAAGCAGCCGCAGGCGTTGAGCGTATTGGCCGGCCGGGGTCGAGAGCAAGAAACTTTGCAGAGTAACCAACAGTTCCCTCGAGTGGTCATCCATCGCCGTACCGTGCATCTCAAGCGATTCAGCAGCAGCGACAATGTTCTCATACGCCACGAACCACCAGCTCTTGGCATCTTCCGTAGCTTTCTCAGCTTCAATATCGAACAGACGTGCCCAAGTCGTGAGTTCAAGCTGCCTCCAGCTGATGAGCAGGTTGGTGATATTATCGTAGAGAGTGGCGGCGCTGTATTCCTTGCTCGCGACCTGCTGCCACTCGTAAATGGAAGCGTGCAACTTCTCGCCCTTAGTCAGAAATTTGGCCACAGGTTCGACATGGCGGAAAGCTAGGAGCTCGTCACAGATCATAATCACATCGCTGAGAGTTGCGTGCTCAGGCCAGACAGCTCTGATTTGCCTGAAACGCTTCTGGATCCGATGGACGAGCGTCATCAACTTCCTGGCCTCGCTGATATTGGCGTCCGTATAGAAGTTGTAGTTCCGTGGAGATGGCTTTTCTTGAGTGAGATGCTCGCTTTGCTCGTGCAACGCAAGGAAAACGGCAGGCAAAGTAGCCTGGAGGTTGTCTTTACCGTTTGCGCCCAGCTGTTTGGCATTGCCCTCACCGATAATCTTGATCGATTGATCAAGAAGCGCCTTTGCCTTATCGGTAGAGCCCGATTTAGCGATGAAGATCTCGGCATGGCATGCGGCCAGCTTACGAGCCAGCTCTTGCGGCGTCTCTTCGTTTTTGTCTTTGCCGGCTTCTTCGGTTTGCTGTTCGTAATCTGGGAACATGCCTTGCAACTCTTCTTCATTGGCTTCCTCTTCTTCTTCCTGGCCACCACGGTAACGGTAGAGCCCTGATTGCTCAGCAGCCTTCTCCTGATCAGCCTGCAGACGATCCTTCCATTGCTGATAAAAGCCGAAGAAGATTTCATTGATAGCCTCACGCTCATTCATGGTTGGGAGGCGTGTTGGTTCGAAACTCAACTTCATCGCAATGGAGCCCAGAGCATGCCAGCGAAGGTCAATATCACCCTTGTTGTGCACCAACGCATCGGCTTTACGGAAGTTCGTTCCAGGCGCCGAGTTTAATAATGGAGTTTGACTGGAGACGTACGCAAAAACGTCCGTCGAAGGAGAGGCATTCTCGTCTTCTTTGACAGCCAAAATCATGGCAATCTTCAAACATTGCAAGAAAGCCACCACGGGACCAGTTATGTCGTCATACGAACGATAGCCTTCGGAGAGTCGCTTGATGATCTGAGCAATGTTCAACTCCAGCGTTGGATCCCGCAAGATATCGCGTTGACCAGCGTCCGTCGCCTGTACAAGATCGCCAAGGATCCGCAGGAGGTTGTTGAATTCTCCGGACAATTGTGAGAGCTCGGACACAGGCGGACGGGCAATGGCAGGGACCTGTGGTTCATTGCCCATGGCATCAATGTCCCGTTCAACAAGGCGAGTCCGCAGGTTGTTAAGCTGGCCGGTAAAAGATTGCTCGAAATGGCGAAGTGCTGCTAAACTGGCGTTAAGACCTGCCTGCTTGGTGCTGAAGAGGCTTCTTTCGACCAATGGCCCGAGGGCCGGATCGAACGGACGGTCAGGTACGTATAGCCACAAGCAAGCAACGGCCAATGCCATCCATCCCTGGGAGGCTAGTGTTTGCGTAGCAGACTGCGGAAGATAGCTGAAACTGTCCCGAAGCAAATTCAAAGCAGCCCGGAAGTAATGGTTATCCGGTACGTCATTCCGAAGGACGGGTGAAGTCAACGTTCCTGGCTCAGTAAGCTGCTCATGTGCGGCAAGAACATCCATCAATATGATTTCGTGGAGCTGTTGGAGGTGCTTGGCCTGATCCAGCTGAAGGTTTTCAGCGCCGGCAACTAAAGACTGTCCGAGAACATCAATCTCAGATTTGAGAAGGTCCATCTGCGAGAGGGCAACATTGTTTAAGCCAGCAATGTCCTTGAGCAAAGAGACATGGTACCCTTCTTGGATAGCGATAGGGCCCGCGGCGTTGCTTCCACCAAGATACAACGATATCCTAGTGATCAAGAAATCCCTAACAGCCTGGGGCTCGACGGAGGACGTTCTCGTAGGCCTCTGAGCTAACAGCGCTAGTTCTGGTGACTGTAAGGATTTCTCAGAGCTCTTCGCTCCATTAAAGTTGGTCCGCGCAATGTCAGAGTACTGGCAAAGACCCTCAAACGAGTTCCCAAAGTATGGCGAAATCGGTGAACGGCCTTCTGGAATACTCTCTTCCAACCCAGCAATAGCAGTCTCCAGGTCATTGATGAGACTCTCCGCGTCGACGCCTTTGCTTGACACCAAATCAATAGCGTTAGCCAAGGCAAGGCGCACTCGGACCAACTCGCTGAGTGGTATGTCTACAAGCCAGACGCATGCATCGAAACGATCGGCGAGGGCTTCCAATTTGAGCAGTCCGATAAGCCCTTCGTACGTTGGTGGGGTCTGAGGCTTGAAACGCTGCCAAATGTCTTTCATACCCAAACCAGTGGTTAACTGACTGTCGATCTTGAGCGATTCCATTGAACCTTGCAGGCCCTTGTAAAGCGTCTCAGAAGCCTCAGTTGAGAACTCAAAAGACGCGAAAATTTGGTTGCCAAAGGTGAGATAGACTTGGAACACCGCCTCATCGACAGTTTGGGAGTCGACCAGAGCAAACATATCGTTCCAGAATTGACGTATGGGCTGGGTTGAAGTGATAGCGGCCTGTAAAGATGCCTGTTAGCTTCTAAATATCAACCAGCTCAAGTGAAACATACCTGGTCAATGACGTTCGCTTCCATAACATTATGCGCCCAGCCTGCCAGCGTCTCGAAGACGTTCGTAAGGAAAGGTCCAACCTTGGCCATAGAGTCCTTGTTCGTCTTTGATGCCGCCTTCGAAGGGACCAGCGAGCGGCCTAGTCTTGTGCGGTCTCTGACCTTGACACTGCTAGCCAGGTCTTGAGCATGCTGAAGAGAGTTTCTCATCTTTGAAAGCTCAAGGCAAAGGTCGAACAGCGCAGCAAGCCAGTATGCGTCGGCGGTGGAGCGATCATTGTATAGCACAAGAGCGGAGTTGTTCAAAGGATGTATTGGCTACATACACAGAATACCAATCAGCATGTCTAGTCCTAGTTAATACAGGAGAAGCGAGGCCACTGACCTGCGCATTGATGTAAGCTCCACTGCCTCCCATTTGCTCAACCGGTCCGGTCAGAGAGGAGCCCAATTTTGACGTCCAGCTTGCCTGTATTTCTGAGAAGGCAGCCATATGCGTTTGCAGAGCACTCTGTACATCGGCATTTGGTACGTCCAGGAGACCCATGGATACCTGCTGGAAATAGCGACTGAGTCGGGCCGAGTCGCTCAGAGATAAGTGATCCATCGAAGTAGAAACCAGTGTGTCAAATGAAACAGCTGCAGCATCGTGGCTGAAGTTCTCTAGGTACCGGAATCTATACATAGCAGATTCCAGGGAGAATGCATCCAGATGGTCATTGCGTGTAATATCGTCTTCAGGTGTGGGCAACAAGAATAGCTCTACAGCTCTGTTTCTCATAGCCCTGGATAGCTCACCGTGTCGAGGGTCCATAGTCATGAAAATCCGGAAGTTGGGGTGCGGTCTAACAATCTTCGCCTCACCGTCATTAGTCGAGTGCTCATTGACGCTCAGGTAGCCGTTGGGCTCCAACAGAGAATTCAGCCTGTCCAAGACAGACGAGCTGCAAAGGTTAGCATTGTCGAGTACAAGCCACTTTCCTTGCTCTAGAGCTTGCACAAGAAGACCATCAACCCATTGGAATTGGGCCTTGTCAACAGTGGCCGACTCTCTCTGAACGGCCTCAAGCTCGTTGAGAAGCTCCACCAATTCGGCACGGTGGTCCCGGTTTTGGATCTGTGTCAGTAGACTCTTGATACCTTCAAAACTGATTAAAGATAGATCTGCAGATGAAAGGCAGACGAGCTCAAGGTAAAGGGAAGAAAGCTCCGGCATGTTCTGAGCTTGGGTTTGGATGACAGAAGAACGAGAAAAGAGACTGAGTTTTTCAAGGAAACGAAGAACCTGCCGTGACGGATCGACTTGCTCATAACCTCCAACAAGGTCCATGGCATCAATGTCCGCGTTCATGGACGTTGTGACAAGCTCAGCACCAACAACAGCAGCAAGTTGCCGGATCATGCTAGTCTTTCCTGAGGCCGGCGGACCGACCAAGATAACAGGCCAGTTTAGCTGTACGCTAATCATCAAGGATTCCATGACCGGAAGTTGCGATTTACGGAAGCTGTGGTTAGACGAAACATGCTGGAAAACCAGATCGCGTGATACCAGTCCTAAGCCAATCTGCAGATGGTCACTGCCAAGGTTGTGGTAGAAGCTTCGTTGGCGAACCGGTGACTTGAGCACTTGGTTGAACAGAGCAAGTGCGTAACTTCTGTCGTTTTCTGTCCGGAAGCGCTGCGTGATGATTGTATCAAGGAAGTCCCGAACAGTACCGGTAGGAAGCAGGCCTTTTTGGGTTGTAAGAAGCTGCAACCACCGTAGAGTATCACGCAGGTTGAACTCCCATGGGCTACCAAGAAGACCGAACCTGCGGCCTGTCGTCTGAGCTTCCAGTTCAGAGATGAAAGCAATGAGCGTTTCAACGTCTTGATCAGTCGTGTTGGGGAATTGCTGCTTGCAGATGAGGACAAGGTCCTCAGACCTGAAAACATCCGCATATACCACGGTGAAACGGTTGACAAAGGACGCTGGAAGACCCTTGCGTCCACCACCCTGGTGATGCGGGTTCTGGGCAGCAAAGACTCGGAAACCAGGATGTTGGTGGAAAGTCTGATCAAGCTCAGACACATAAACTTCTCCTCTGTGATCCAAACAGGCATTGAGACCTTCCAGAACGGATTGCGAAGCCAGGTTCATTTCATCCAAGAGGACCCATTCTCCGTTCTTCATAGCTTTGAGGAAGGGAGCGTCTCTCCACGCGAAAGTACCAGCTTGAGCACCCTCAACTGGAACGTCGGAACCGAAAAGATCCATCAAATCAGTCTGTTCAGACAAATTGATGCGGGTCAAAGGTATGCCAACCGCCTTGGCTATGGCTGTGACCAGCGATGTTTTTCCTACACCTGGGTTGCCCTCAAGCAAGATGGGCTTAGAGAGTTGCAATGCGCGCAGGATTCTCATAGCGTTCGACTTGGTGGTTGGAGCGCCCATTGAGAACATAGGATCAGCAACAGAGTGACTGAGACGAGGTACTGAGAAGGAACCAATGCCGAGCATTGAGTCCGAAGTACTGATTTCAGCCGGCTCAAAGTATATCGCTGTCGCATCGGCTCCAAGAAGTTCACTGAGCTGCTGAAGGCACATCGCCCGCTCGCGATCCAGGTTTTCTGGAGATATCGCAAGCAACGCAGCGGGGTTAGCACCCAGCGTGTCAATGAAGACCATAGCAGCGCCATGGACAACTCCGAAAACAGGGTCGCTAACGCCGCAGCGATTGATGAAGTGCACCCAACCAAGAGTGTCACGGATGGAGATGGACGACGCTGCCGAAGTGTTGTACTTCTCGTTGAACCACTGCGAAAACTTGACCAAGGTATCGGCGTACTGGACTGCCGAAGGGAGGAGCTTGGCCTTGACAATCTGGGTAATATCCTCAAGGTCTGAAAGAGCTGGAACCCAGATCTCGGTGAAACGGTTTCTCAAAGCCGGCGACAACTCCTTTTTACCGTAATCACCGCCAGGGTTCATGGTAGCAAGGAACTGGAAGCCCTCCGAAGCCGTAATATCAGAGTCCATTGGTCCCTTTTCAGCAAGCAGCAGCGTTCGTGAAGATTCCAAGACACTGTTTAACCGCTCCAGCACCGAATCGTCAGCGAGAGAGATCTCGTCTAGGAGGAAATATTGGCCGCCCTTCATGGCATTGACAAGGCTTCCATCCGCCCATTCAAAGAGTGATGCAAGCTTGATTCGCTGCGAGTGAACAAGCAGGCGCTTTTCTTCAGGGATCGCATCTGGCTGAGCCTTGATCAATCCATCATACTGCAGTAATAGTTCCTCCAGTTTCGACCCAGCAAGGGTTTGGCTGGCATCAGCAAGAATAGTGCTGACATCCTGCAAAAGCTGTTCCTCGAGGAAAGCCCTGTTTCGAATTGGCCTTTGAGCACCGATAAGATCGCCAGTCTCGGTATTTTGATGAGCGTTGACGACGAAAAGCTGTTTGTCGAAAGCATCGGCAAGCATTTGACAGACGGTAGTTTTTCCACATCCAGTTTCACCGACAAGCAAGACCGGCTCGTTGTAACGGAGCGAGTTCGCAACGAGGACGTACAGTCTCCGCATCGCTCTTGTCCAAACAACGCTGCCAGAGTCAGAGGCAACATTTTGTTGGTACAGCTGGATTTCCGAGGATCTGTCCGCGGAATAAAGAACGTCCTCATCAATCTTCGTTTGCTTGATGACCTTCTCAATGATCTGCTTGACAGCGAGCCTCTCTTCAGCCTTCCTGACACGCTCAGCTAACAGCATATATCCATGTTCGGCGAGCTGCTGCGCTGTTTCAGGCCCTCGCATTGCCCAACGGAACAAGTCACGCAAGGTTGCAAAGCTTTTTTGCTCGAAAAGGCGGTTGGACTGCCGAAGCGCCGATAATTCCTTGTACACGTTGACGATGTGTTCGCACCACGATCGTGGTAACTGAGTCCGGCGTTCCAGGATGTATTTCAGTTCGTTGACAGGAATGTCATCGAAATGAAGCTCGAGGAATCTGTTGCGGAAAGCCCTAGATAGAGCCTTACGACCTCCGTACAGACCAGCAGGATTCTGGGTGGCGAAAAGCATAAAGTCTTCATGAGGGCGAACGACTTCCTGAGTCTCCGGTATCAGCAGTTCTCTGTTGTCGTCCAACAAGCGATTGAGAGCTTCTAGGACGTCTGTGGGTGCCAGGTTGAGCTCATCCAGAACGATCCAGTGACCTTCGCGGAGCGCCTTGACAAGGATACCTTCTTGAAACTGCAGCTTTCCATCATTTCCAGAAACGTAGGTCCCGAGGTACTCTTGCAAATCAGTGTGTTCGTGGTTGTTGATACGAACAAACTTATTGCCAGATCGCTTCGCAAGATACTCGATCATACTGGTTTTACCGGCTGACGTTGGACCTTGAATCAGGACTGGAAAGCGACGAGTAGATGCTGCGCGAATGAGGTTTGTCAAGTTGCGCCAGACAAAGTTGGTGATAATGTAATGTTCCTCTTCTGACGACTCGAATCTGCCTTGTCGAAGCCATTGAGGATCCTTGTGCGCATTTTTCAGCCAGTCCTCAAACTTTGCGTCTTCAGTTGTGGTCTTGTTGCCCTTGTTCCGGAGATCATGTGACTTCTTGCCGTCGTCGCGTCTAATCTGGACATATTCCCTGTCCTTATCCACAGGTTTGCGGAGAGGTGAACGAAGCTCTGGCCGAAGGAACTTGATAGTAGCGGCAGTCACGAGATCCTCAGAAGACTTGTCTAGGAAAGTGAGGAAGCTCATGCAGAAACCTTCGTACAGGGCGCGGCGGAGAGAATGAAGAGGCGCTGTGTCCTGCGCATAGGTGAGAGTTCTGGTTAAAGTACGGAGCGAAAAGTGAGGCTTCTGATTGACACCGTCCACAAGCCTGTTTTCTGCATTTAGTTTCTGGATCTCCAGATACAGATTCGCCACATCTGCAGAGATCTTCGTGTCCGTATGCAAGAACTGGTCGAGATAAGTTTCGACAACACTTTGCAAACTCTTGAAATCCCGGTCAGGACTCTCGACATAAAGCTCTGTGAAGCGAGAGCGAATGCCAGTAGGCAGATCCTTCTTACCAACGTCAGTGGCAGGGTTCATTGCCGCAAAGACACGGAAGTTAGGGTGAGCCTCAATTCGCTCAACGTTGCCGGTTTCCGTCAACAGAATCGAAGGGGTTTCGCCAGAGCCGCCAGTGAGCAGGTCGGCCAGGGCTTCCAATGTGTCTGGCGCAGCCAAGTTGATCTCGTCGAGAAGGACCCAGTCACCGTTCCGGACGGCTTTGACAATGTTACCTTCAACAAATTTGAAAGCGAATGCATTAGACTTGTTGGCAATCTGCGATTCCAAAAGCTTTAGGTCGTTGGCAAAGCTGTCCCACTCGGCTTGTGAGAAGGTAGCTGGCAGTTTCGGCTGCTTCTCAACCTTGCGTTTTTTCTTTTTGGGTTGTTCGGTGTCGGCGATGGGTGTGACCGCAGGAGCTAGAGCGTCAGCAGCCTTAGCCGCATCTGCAACCATCCTGAGAGCCTGCTGCCAGAACTTGCAAACTGTCTTCCATCGGCCCTTTGCCATATGCTCGCCGAGCTGTTGAAGAAAGAGGCGGTTTTTATCGTGAGAGAAGGTTGACAAGAACAATTCATCAAAACGATCCTTCATTGGCACCATCAGACTGCGCACGTTGATAGGCTTGAAACCACCAAGCAAATCACCGCTTTCGCTCTGTTGCGACAGATTGAAGACTTCCATCTTCCGGCCAAGCTCACTTGCAAGGTGTTGGATAGCCGTCGTTTTTCCAGTACCTGTCTCACCGACCAGCAATAGCGGTTCGCTGTGGTTGACCGAAACTGCAATCCTCTCCAACAGACGACGTGTGTGCTCGTTTGCCGCAAAGGGCCTCCTGTCCCTACGCCTCTTACGTTGACCCCGTTTCAGCATGGCACGGCCTATGACAACCTCCCCGGACACGTCGGTTCCAGTAGACTTGTAGGGAATTACGCGCTGCTGCAATAGGTGATCACGTTTCTGAGGATCCACGTGCAGTTCTTGCGCAATGCACGCCACTATAGCATCGCGGGCCGGGCCCAGTTCCAAACTTCCTGCAAGACAGTCGACGGCTTCGAGAAACATGTCATCCAGATTGCGAGGGGTAATTCGGCTGCACCACTTAAAGAGGTCCCGCGAAGTAACGGGGCGGAAAAGGCCAGATTTAATCGCGACGAAAGACCTATCCCTCGACAGTGTGTGCAGACTCACATACACAGCCATAATCTGTGGGACCAGTGCATCGGGAATGTTCGGAAAGGCCGCAGATATAATCTGTCCAAGCTCGGCTTCTGGAGGCATGTGGACAGGGATTCGATTCCAAAATCGAGCGCCAATCATGCTTCCACCAGGAGTGATTTGCTCACCACGAAGATTCAGCGTGGTGCGCAAAGTGGCAATGATCTTGAATCCGCGGGCAGCACGCACAACTTCGCCTCTGCTGGGTATCAAAAGCTCCCCGGATTCAATAAGCGGTAGCAGAGTGCTTATAACCTCGTTTGGCGCGCGGTCCAAATCCTCGATGAGAACCCAGCGGCCTTCCCTCACGGCGGTCGTGAGAACACCTGGCCGCCAACTGAAAGTTCCTGGCGTCGTTCCAGTCGTATACATGCCGATAAGAAGTTTAGCATCGCTCTGTTCGTTCAAGTGAAGAGTAACCATGGAGTCAAGCTTGTTGAGTTCCCGGGCAAGGTGCCTAATGATCAACGTCTTGCCCGATCCCGCAAGACCAGTGAGAACAAGAGGCTGTGGGTTGATCAGTTCTCTCGCCACGGCAGTTAGATTCCGAACAGCCATGCTAGTTGGAACCAGCTTAATGCCTTCGTCCACAGGAGGCGCAGAAGCGCTCGAGCGAGGCAACAAAACTCCGTATATTTCAGCGGTATGAGGGCTAAGGTCGTCGCGAGTGATGACCCGGCTGGTGGAAGTGGGGACGTAAGATTCCCGTTCCACACGCGCCTGCCTCAAGTTCTTGGTGACATCCTTATAACGTTTCTCTTCCCAAAGACTAAGAAACCGGTAGTCGATAGCCTTGCCTTCCCAATCTCCAAGTATAGCCTCTTCTCCCAGGTATTTGGAGACCATGTCCTCCAGCGCCGCATCTGCCGCGTGCAGGTATAGACATAATGTTCGTATGGCGAGATATCGTACAGGCCTGCTCGAATGCGCAAGCAACGGTTGAAGTAAAAGAGGCTGGAGAGTCTTCCCAAAGGTCTCATTGTCGCAGACTAGCAGACGGAAGAGGCCAAGGAGAAGCTGAACTAGGCGGTGTTCAGTCGAAGGTTCACTCGTAGCGGGATCATATTTCAGAGCAGCCGAGAGAACTTCGCCGCCCTGCGAGAGCAGAGCTTCAGCATGGTCGGAGAGATGCGGCGCAAAAGAGAGGATGCGCGCGTATGCGGGAAGGACTTCAATTAGAGGGTATGAAGCGGACCATATGGCGCGGACTTCGGCGAAAAGAGGTTCGAAAAGCGTAAAAAGATAGTCGGTAAAGCGCGGGTTCAGTGATAGCTGGGCCAAGTCGGCGAGGAAGTCGACATTGGAGCTTTGGCGGAGGAGAGCGCGCAGCTCCTCAGGTAGTTCGTCCTGGCGCGCTTGAAGGGCAGAGATACCCCAGCCGCACTCCATCTTGGTACTCGAAATTGGAGTTGTGGCGAGGCGATTGCAAGCCTTGACGGCCTCTGGTTTCCCAAGATTTTTTGAGCAGCGAGTCGCGCGGTGCCAAGCCGCCAAACCCGATCGGTGCAACTCGAGATTTTGTAGTCGATGTCCGAACTACGTGCAGCACACGGGACTCCAGTCAAGCCTTCTCTCCTCCACAACCGCATCGCCCCGCCTTACGCCGTCATCATGTCTCTCGCCTGTCAGTCCGCGCTGCGCTCCTGCGCCCGCGCCGCCAGGAGCTCCCCCGTCCGCGCCTCCGCCTCTCAGCTCTCCCGCAGCACCTCCGCCCGGAGATGGCAGTCCACCGACGCCGCCGCTGCGCCCACCAACCCCAAGATCGCCGGCATCGTTGACCAGATTAGCCAATTGACCCTGCTCGAGACTGCCGACCTCGTTTCCACGTTAAAAGTAAACACCGGAACCCATTGCCTCCACTTTCTAACCCGCCACTAACCGCCGCGCCTGCAGACTCGCCTGAACATTCCCGATATGCCAATGGGTGGCTTCGCTGCCGCTCCTGCCGCTGCCCCCGCCGCTGCCCCTGTTGAGGAGGAGGAGGCCGCCCCCGCTGCGCAGGAGAAGACGCTGTTCAACCTGAAGCTCCAAAGCTTCGACGCCGGCGCCAAGCCCAAGATCATCAAGGAGATTAAGAGCATGCTGGGCTTGTCGCTGGTGGACAGCAAGAAGTTCGTCGAGAGCGCACCCAAGCAGATGAAGGAGGCCGTGCCCAAGGACGAGTGCGAGAAGATCATCGAGACCATGAAGGGTCTGGGTGCCGTTGTGGTCATGGAGTAGAGTATAACAGGCGCGATGGGCTGTAGAAATTCAAAACGTCTCTAGAGCATAACGGGACTACGGAGGTTATGCCGTATGTGGATGGAATGGGAAACAAGGCATACTCGCGGTGTTTTGGCTGTATTTGTATAGGAATTGTGTCTTGAAGTGTACAAATACGCTTGGTATGATTGGTGCATATTTGGAAGACGATCTTCGACTACGCTAGGTTGAAGATATAATTCCTCTACGCCAGCCACTATTACGCAAGTAGATATGGTAGCCAAACGCAACCTGCAGGTGTCTGATGCCCAAACGCCGATGCCAGACCCCATTTTCCGCACAACGCCATAGAATGATGAGCGTCTTCTACGAGACGCTATGTGTCGAATTCGATCGCTTGGTTCCTCTCTTCTTTATCCTCCTCGGCACCTATGTAGTCATCATCCCCGATATCACTACTTTCCTCCCATAACTTTTCAAACTCGCCGTCTCCATCGTGATCCACCGCCCAAATGACTTCTCTTAGTCTCTTATGCCTCTCGCGGTCCTCTTCAATGCGCTGTTCGATTTGGCGCTTGTCTAGCCGTATCGCGCCGTTCGCGCGCGGTGTATGCCGTCCGCTTCCGGGGGCGCCGTTGGTGGGTGATGACAGAGCAGGGTGTGCGCCACCGATATCGCGCTCTTTGAGGCATTCCTCAAGTTCCTGGACAGTTTGTGGAAGAAGCACCTGCTTCTGCTGGAGGCCGTTGAGCACCTAGATCCCGTCAGCGAATCAACGATCCAACTTCAGAACATCCGCAGACCTACCCTCCGGACAACCTTCACATTCGCTGCCCCCGAGCCGTCACTGGGCGCTACCGCATCTACCACGCGAAGGATATCCCGCTCCATCATGCGCACGAACTCGAGGTGGTTTTCCCGTTGTGCCATGTCGCAAAGGTGTTCGATGAAGTACATTATATTCGCGCGGTTATTCATGTTATTCTGTGTACGTGTTAGCTCTTGCACCGTCAGAATTCGGAGACGCTCACCCTCTCCAGCTGCTCGAGGATGCACGAGTGCAAGTCCTCGTCCATTTCCCGGTATTTGAGAGCATAGTTGGCGGCTTTCTGCGCAGAGTTGACGGACGCGTTGAGGTGCTGCAGTTGGCTTGTAAAGCGCATGCGCACCTCAAATGGATCAGCCATGGTGGGCGGGAGCTGGGCGGGAGCTTCGCGGGAGCTTCGAAGTGTTGACGTGCGGTTGGCTGTGCGCAAGCTCCCGGGCACCGATGATGATTCGCGCGACAGGGCCTTGCGCCTTGCAAACCTCCGCGGCGGCTTTCGTCGGCCCCGCGTTGCATGACTCGACATCAAGCAGAGCGCTTTCGGCCGCGCTCGAAGACCTTCATCTTTTCCCCTCATCACCAATCTACGTAACTCAACACTCAAACTTCTTTCATCCAAAATGGCTGACACTACTGCGAACGAGGGTCTGACATTGACTGTCCTAGGCTGCGGTATGCTCTACAAATTCACCTAATTCTTTGCATCTTCCCGCTCGCTGACCCCCACCAGGCACCATGGGCAACGCCATCCTGGGCGGTATCATGGCCGCCTTGAACGACAAGAACGGCCCCTCCGACGACAACGAAGAGCTTCCCCCCAAACTTCCCGCCAAGTTCATCGCCTGCGACGCCTGGGAGGGCGCACCAAAGGCCATCGAGGCCGCATTGGGCAAATACAACCAGCCGCTCGAGACGTACGTCAACGACAACCTGACCGGCGCGCAAAAGTCCGACGTCATCCTGCTGGCCTGCAAGCCGCACATGTTCGGCGAGATTCTGGGCCAGAAGGGCATGCGCGAGGCGCTCGCGGGCAAGCTCATTATGTCTATTCTGGCCGGTGTCAGTGTTGAGCAGATTGAGCAGGCCATCTACCCCGATGGCAAGCCCGAGAACGCATGCCGTGTTGTCCGCGTCATGCCTAACACGGCTTCGCTCGTCCGCCAGTCCATGACTGTCATCTCCCAGCCCACTCCCCCACTTTCCAGGGACCAGATGCTGCTCGTCACGTGGATCTTCAACCGCATTGGCAAGGTTGTCCACCTGCCGCCTCACCTCATGGACGCATCTACTGCTCTTTGTGGCTCTGGTCCCGCTTTCGTGGCTCTCATTCTCGAGGCTCTGGCTGACGGTGCCCTTGCCATGGGCATTCCGCGGAAGGAGGCCCAGCTCATGGCTGCTCAGATGATGAGGGGTACCACCGGTCTGGTTCTGGAGGAGAACAAGCACCCTGCTATCCTGAGAGACCAAGTGTCTACTCCTGGCGGTTGTACCATTGGCGGTCTTCTGGCCCTGGAGGATGGTGCTGTCAGGAGCCACGTGAGCCGCGCTATCAGAGAGGCGACCGTCGTTGCCAGTCAACTTGGCCAAGGCGTCAAGAATGTCAACGGCACCAGGCCCAAGTTCGGTTAGGCGATATAGCAAGCCGTGGGGTTCTGCAATGGAGATTATTGTGGATGGTGATGCTACGAGAAGACCGCACGCTTTGCGATGTCCCATTATATCAGAAGTATAAGAGCGGGCATAATGGTCGGAATGGTACGTCCAAAAAGCACGTACTTTAGTTTTTAAAATCAACGCGAATGCTATCGAGGCACTCAGTGTCTTTTCAGACCCATCTTGGCCAGGATATGGTTCATAGAAACAGTGAAAACAATGACAACCGACCATCATATCAATCACGTTCGAGTCGACGCTTATCTCTGTGACTAAATAGAGCCTTCGTCCGTGGAATACCCGTGGAAGGACTGGTAAAACTCCGGTAAACCCGCGCGTTGCCTTCCATATATCTTTACAGACTTACGAAATAGAACTTGGACCTCAAGATCTCAATTTATCTTAATACCGGTAAATTTTGCATGACTGGGCCATAGTTGTCAAGCTGACCATGTAGTTTCGAAAACAATATTACCCAACATTGGCAGTTTCCAGACATTTTTATACCGATTCAAGCGCCAGCCATCACTGACGCACTACGGCAGCACCATCCTATCAACACACGGTTCGAAGAGCACTATAGTGGGAGTGGAAACAACAGAACTTCCAGGGGAAAGACCTCAAGTAAGTCCTAACCTAATGCGGGGGATAACTTTACTGTTCGGCACCCCACTCCGCGCTAAGATCTCGTGGTATAGTCATAATCGACCTTACTAGAGTCTATCCAACCCTTTTAAATGACTGACTGTTTCGTGCCGTTTTAGGCGGAGTCGGGGACAGTCGGCGTAACAGGAGCGTTGGACTGGAGTTCCTGCCTCCTACCCACCCCACACCCCACCGACCCGGACACCCCCACCCTTAATCCAACCCGCCACCCGATCGTCCACCCACCCCGCCACACATCACGTCCTCGCTGCAATTAGCCGCGTGTGCCGCGCCGCCCGTGCTCCTCGTCTCGCGCCCCAGATCCCGCGATACTGCTCCCTGAGGGGACGAGGCTCGCGCTCGCAGGTCGCGGCGATCGGTCCCACGCCTCGCATGCCGTGTGCCTTGCCGTGGCAAGTCGGCCTCTGGAGTGGCGAGCGGGGTGAGTGAAGCCGCGGTTATGTGTGTACGTACATACATATATGTACCCCGCGTGGAGAGGCTAGAGTATGGTGAGCGTTTGCGGCTTTATTACTGCCACTAGTCTTTCGATTCTCGACCGCGATTGCGACCTTGCCTGCACGAACGAGACAATGGGTCGGATACGGCTGCTTTTGCTGCTGCTGTTTAGCACGCATGTACGCGGTGGTTTTGTTGACGGACTGTCGCCGCACGCGCGGGACCTGTTCGAGCAGTCCATGGCGTGGATGGATGCGCTGTATGACCCGGCCGCGGGATACATGTTTGACTTCGCGCAGCGGGTACAAACGGGTTTACAGCATGATACTCGGGCCTCGGCCTGGCATGCCGTGGGGCTGCTGGCGAGGAACAATGGCAGCGATGTCGAGAAGGCGGAGAAGGTTATTCGGAATGTTGTCGGCGCGCAATTCAGGGACCCTAGGGATCAGTGGTAGGTTGTGTGTCGACGGCGCCTTTGGGCAAGTTTTGGAAGAGCTGTTGCGATGCTGACCACTGCCCTGCGTCTAGGTACGGCACCTACAAGAAATCTCCCGAGGAACCCACCGTCGGCAGCGCGACGTACGCTCCGGAGATTTACTCGAGCTGGGATCCGAACTGGCGCGGCTTCGTTGGCACCGCCTTCATCCAATGCCTCGAGGACTTTCCGCACTTGCTGACGTCCGATGTGACGGCGCTGATGCTCGAGTCGCTGCGCAACGCCACTATTGGCGACGGCTACCGCGTCGGCGGCGTCGACGGCGATAACCTCTATCCCGCGTACAGCAACCCGTCACTGATGCGCGCGTTCGTGAGTGGGTGGACTGGACGGCGATTGGGCCTCGCGAACTTTACACAAGCCGGTGATGCCAATGCCAAAGAGCTCGTGGAGCTTTTCGATCGCGCGGGCACCCTGGCGGAGTTTAACAGTGGGACGTATGCCGGCGTCTCGCTGCATGCGCTCGCACTGTGGGCACGCTATATGCCGTCAGACTCGGTGATGGGCAAGAATGGAGCGCGCATGCTATCCCGCACCTGGACCTCACTGGCCGAGCTTTACCATGCTGGGTTGAAGAACTCAGCGGGGCCCTGGGATCGCACATATGGTTACGATATGAATCGGTACCTCAGCATACTGGGGCTACATATATGGTCCCTGGTGGGCCGCGAGGCGTCACCTATTGCCGAGGAGCCGTATGCCATGAGCCATAGCTCAGACTTTGCATTTGCTCCGTTGATTGCTGTCATGGCGGTGTTCCACAATAGCAGCGTCGTACCAGAGGGCGTAATTCAGCGCTTGAAGGAGTTTCCGGGCGAGCATACGGTGCGAACGAGCGCGTTCAGTCCACCTTATGACACTTATCCACGTAATATCTCGGCGTGGCTGAGTGATAGCATCACCATTGGCGCAGAGACATTTAATGAGACGGAGGTCGGCGGCCCTAGTTTGAGCTCTGACAGCTTCAGCCCTGCCGTTGTGCAATGGGATGCCGGGGATGCAAACGGTGTCGGTTGGCTCAAGGTACGCCAGTGACAGCATCTTCACACCTTCTCTTCATTGCTGACGATCGTTCAAGTGGTACGCCACTGAACCCTCTCTGATCGCCAAAGTCTCGCCCGGCATCTTGAACCTCACATACCCTTACGGCAATCACTCCTCGATCTTCACTTTTTTCGTCTCAACATTTGTAGACAGGGTGGACGTAACTTCTTGGGACGATGTGCAAGCTGGAGGTCTCGCGGTCAACGTTTCAGGCAACGCGAACCTGACGTACGAGGTCAGCTTTAATGGCCAGTTTGGCGGAGCAGGTGAAACCATCAAGTGGGTTTTCTTTTTCCGAGTAGCACAGTGAGAAATGTTAACAGCATGACAGTGACTTTGTATTCTGGAACTTCACCTATGTCATGCCAGAGGAATTTGAGGGGAACCCGAATCTTGTTTTAGAGGTAGAGGTCATCTAGACACAATATTATGTGCCCTAGTGATTGAGGAAAAGACTTTCTGTAGGGATGGCAACGATGGATTGTGATGTTTGGTCAGAAAAGGCAACCGACAGGCATGGGGACACGGGAGATGGAACCTTTTTTGGTGAGGGGCCGACTCGCCGACGTTCCAACATCAAAGTCCCCATGAGGGCCCGGAGGCAATTCCGCCGATGAAGTTCCGGAGTCAACATCACACTTCAACGTTGGCGACCTCGTCTCAGCCCATCTCTTGTCATCCTCATCTTGTCTCACCCCAATCCTGTCATTATGGTGACCTCCCATCTGATTGATGTTCGTACGCCCGAAGAGTTTGCCACCGGCTTCCTCGGTGGCGCCGTCAACATCGAGTACCAGAGCATTCATCAGCTGGCCCAACGTCCCGGAGTGAGCAAGAGCGACGACATCACCCTCTACTGCCGCTCTGGGCGACGCTCTGCCATTGCGATGGACACTTTGAAGTCAATGGGCTTTGAGCGGGTGCGGGATATCGGCAGTCTGGAGGAAGCGCGCGAGACGATTAGTCGAGAGAGCGCTCCGCAGTCCACGACAAACGCGGCGGGACCGACCATCACCTCAGAGAAGGCCTCCAAGGAAACACTTGAGAGCTCCACTAAAGCGCTGCTGGACGGCCTCAAAGCGCTAGAGTAGCTTCGGCCCCAGTCCCTGCTGCTATCGATTTCGGCTCGCCATCGGATTCGGAATCTACTCCTACCATTTGTGCATTCAGGGGCTGACGATGCTGAAACCCGTTCTGCATAAAGTCCGAATAGGGAAGTCGTTGATGCTTATGAGGGATTTGTCCGCAGTTTTTGCTGGTGGGAAGCTGCAGATCTGCCTGCCGTCATCACCGGGGACCCATTGGTTACCTTGAAGAAGAAGACACCGACAAGGACTCCTGCGAAAGCATCACATCGAGAGCGTGGCCTCATGTCAGCTCACCGGTCAGCAACTCCACAGACATGCAGAAAGGACTCCCGTTTCCCCGACGTATATTAGCGAGTGGCGACAGCACAACGTAGTACCGCCATGGTGCCAGGCCCTCAATATTCCCATAGCTTCATGCATACTCAATGCTTGAAGATGCGGAATGCATCCAAGCCACTCTTTACACCCGACCTTCCCTTCGACCGGTGTTACAATATCGATGCATCCTGTAGGCATGATACCCAACGTCAATACTGCTTCGGCCCCTCCTTTCAGCCGATAATATTCTAGGATCCAAGATGGCATACGGATTATACCTTGGGAAAAAGCACTTACCTGTTTGATCGTCGTTCTCTTTACGCAGTGCCTGCAATCTACTTGCATTTGCCAACTCGCCGATTTGCCGTTCTGCAGCGTCCCCTCATGACCAGATCAGTTGCCATGTCCTCCATTTTGCGTCACACCCGCGCGTTTGTGACAAGCGGCCGCGTAAGTCCTTACATCTTTGGCATGGATGTTTCTTCTTTTCGGGGGGTTAAACTTCTTGTAACACGCTCTTGATCCACACTTTTCTGCGCCGGCTTCCCCAACTAGTAATCCCGGCGTTTGCAATTGCACTTTTTTCCTTTCTCAAAGCTTTCCGAGCGATTGCGGCTCCAACCGCGGCTGTCGCGTGTAACCTCCGCCAGCCGTCTTCATGCGCTCGATGATGATATCCACGGTTATCGGTGCGCGCAGCTCTTCCACTGGCATAACTGACGCTTGTCACGTACTACAAGCTTCTGTCCATGTGTCTGGCCTCGACTCGTCATCATCGGCTCGATTCGGCGTGGGTTGCTGGCGCTGTCAATTTTTTCGCGGAAAAGTTTGACCAGGCGTCGTCGGACTGGTGTGCGTGCAGCGGGAGACGGCAGATTCAGCAGGCAGAGGCTCCAACCGACTCAAGTTATAGCTAGGCCAGCGCGGGCAGCCGAAAAAGCCACGGATCCATTGGCCAGTCTCTGTTCCAATTCCGGGCTTGTGCAACTCGAAACCAACTGATTACTATTCAGCACCTGCAGCCTCATCGGCCCCCCTACAGCAAAGCACCCTTGCTGTGGCACCGCCGTTTTTCCCACACCAACACGCTCCACCAACGTTTCGACCGAGTTCCTGCATCCTCCAGGCGCCGTGGCGTCCAGGATCCAGGTCCGCCGCTCGTCCCGGACCCAAGGTTCGCCAGGCTGCAAAAAATCCCAGTTCCTGGCGAGCACGGCGGGGCCGGCGAGGAGCATCAGCACATGGCATGGCGGCCCACGGGCCCCGGTCAATCTTCATGCACGCCGCTGAGCGTGGCACGTCCCACGGCGTTTCTGCTCACCGTGGCGCGCTGGCTTTGCTGCTGCTGCTGCTGCTGCTGCACGAGGGCCTCATCGGCCTCGCGCTAGTCAACCTTGTTTTGACGGTCCGCCGATGCCGTATGTACGCATTGCTCTAGACGACTGCCCCCGACTGTGCCCTCGCGCACTATAAAACCCTGCAGCAAAACTCTAAGTCAGGCCACGGCGAGCTCAAGCTGGATGGCCTTGCAGAAGCGTCGGCCGCGAATAAGCACACGCCTGGCACGACGGGGGTCCGGGCAGCCAGGGCGAAGAATCCGGCCAAGGGTCATGCTTGCTGAAGACTGTGTATACACACGGTAGGCATGTGCTTTGGCTTTTTCCAATGCACTAGTTCCTTCTTCGAGACTGGGCTACTCTACATACGGCCCGCGTAATGAAGCGCCCTCTGCACGCCTTGCCCCCACATCGTCGCCCTCGTCGTATATGCGCCTCGCGCCTCCCTGAGACCTTCCCGCAAGCCGCAAAAAGCAGCAAGGAGCAAGGAGCAAGGAGCAAGCAGCAAGCAACAACAACCCTCCCCCCCCCCCCCCCCCCCCCCCCCCCCCCCCCCCCCGCATAAGCCGCAAATCGCAATCCTCAGGGGCCACGCCACCGCCTCCAACGCCACTCACTGCTACATACTACCTACACGCACGCGGCCACTGCGGCCTCGAAGCCGCCTCCCCGCCCCCAGCCCCCTTGGCTCTGGCTGCCGCCGTGTATGTAGTATGTAGTATGTATGTATGTAGATAGCACGATGCGCTGCGGGTCGGCGACTTTTCTTTTTCTTTTTTGTTTCTTTTTCGTTTCGTTTCTTTTCTCATATTTTCTCGTCCCCTGAGTTGAGCTTTTCCGCCCCTCCTCAACCTTGCACCTTGCACTGGAGAAGCGGTATGGGTGCCCGCTGTGCAGAATGTATGTACGTTGGTGCATGTGCGTGCGTGGAAATGCGAATGTATGTATGTAGTTTTTCATAACGCCATATGGCTTTTTCGTCTGCCTTTCTTTCTTCTTTTCGCGGATGAGCGCTGCTGCTGCTTCGTGCTGAAAGTATGTAGCACACGCACTCTCCTTCCCTCACTCTCGCTCCGCACCCCCACCCACCGCCAACAACAACAACCAAACACAAACACACTACCTCCCCCGTCCCCTCCCTCCTCCCCTCCCACCCCTCCCCCTTCCTCGCCCCCTCCCCCCTCCTCCCCCGCGCCTCCTCCCCCCCCCCCCCCCCCCCCCGTCCCCTCCCTCCTCCCCTCCCACCCC